ATATTATTTAAGCAATGTATGCATTTCAAAACGGGCGTATAATAGGGAGGATAGAGTTTTGTGATATTTTGTGGTAACCGATGATGAGGGGTCAGAGCTCCAAGTGGAATGTAGGCATGAGGACTCACTTCTGGTGAGGTTGCCTTCTCTCCATCCCTTTCTTCTGAACCCCTGAGAGAGGCCGACCCTGGCTGTTGTTTTTTTCCTTCTTCTTACTGCTAATTGTTTTAACTCTGAAGCCTGTCTTTCACTTCTCAGATCTTTCATAAATGTCTGGGACTCAGCATAGTCACTATTCTTGAGCAGCTTTCCATGATTCAGCCTTTTAGAAAGATGACAAAATAGAAACATTATCACCACATCTTCCAAATTCAGTATGAAAAATCTTATGTTCCATTCACACTGAAATTATTATAAAACATAAACAATACATCAAAATAATTCTGTAATTCAAGATGGAGAGGCATTTGTGCATACATTTGTTTAACAAGATTTGTCATTCACTTTGTGTATCAAAGCATCATTACTATGGCCATATGCTAGGATGGGAATCACTTCACTGTGTAAACTATATGCTAAATTGCTATTTTGTGCATTTTTAACAATTATTGTAAAGATCTTGATGTTAAGATTTTTTTCTAGGGTGTAATTGATAGCCAAATAAAGTATAAATTGATGGAATTCCCTGTTTGTAAAGGGTCATTTTATTAGTTTGCTATTTGAGAGACCTTTAGTTTGAACCAAGTTTACCAGTTCAGTCTGAGTCCCACAATTCTCCTGTATTTACCTTACTGCTTACCATATAGTTTAGCCACAGGGGACGGGTTATTTGAAGTGTCCTTCATTCTCTGATCATGAGGTCCTTGAGGACTGGACTTGTCTGAATCCTCATTATCTTGGCCTATTGCCCAGCCTTGAGTCACATGATAATTTTAAGTAAATGAACACTGAGTAAATGAGGTATGCTCTGTGTATATACTTTACTTTTGTTTGTACAATGTTCATTAAGTGTAAATCCTACAAGTCCTCCACCAAGACCAACATAAATAGTATCTCCCAAGGACCTTTAGTGAGCTTTCCACTTTTCTCTGAACTATTAAATCTTATGTAAAATTTCTGTGTATACTTACCAGTTTACCATGTATGATAGAATCACTGATACAGGCCTTATCCCATTTCTTCTATAGGCTTTTGTGCCAATTAGTTTTGGCTCTGAATACTCTACCACAGATATTCTTGGGCAGTCTTCATCTGTTAAATGGGGACTGTGTTACCTATACTTTGGGTCATTACCAAGAGCCAATGAGATAAGGTATATATATAAAGTTGACACTCACTATGGAAAGAACATAGAACCTGGGACACATTGACTCCCAGTACATATTTGGATTCTTCTCTCACTATCTCCTAACTCAAGCTAAGCTCCTGGGAAGCAGGAGTTAACGATATTTCCTTTTCCCTCCCAGCAGGGCCTCGCTAGTGCCTTAGTCTTAGTAGATGTTGAATGAATGAACAGAAATTGGGGCGTTCTTGGTAATAGTAATATTTATGACACTTTAAGAGTCAACATTAGATTAATAGACATTGAAAAAATTAAAATAGGTAACCTTGGGTATTTGTGTTACTTATTTAGTTCTTGGCCTTTATCCAAAGTTGACGTATCTCTAGATATTTGTGTAAAGAGGATAACATGGTGTAAATTATACTGAAGAAGTTCCCCCAAATGTAATATTTAGTCTGGTAATGTTGCATCTGGAATCCTATCAGCCAACAGAATTTGAAGTATTTTAGGAAAACTATAAGTTACTTAAAAATGCAATCCAGATTTTTTTTTTTTATTAATTTTTTTTATCCTCACCAGAGGACATTTCTACATTTTTTGTTCAGATAGAGTGGGAGGGAGAGAGAGGAAGAGAGAGAGAGAGAGAAACATCGACGTGAAAGGGACATGTCGAGTGGTTGCCACCCGCACAACCCATGCAGGGCCGGGGACAAACTGCAACCGAGGTACTCACGCTTAGCGGGAACTGAACCTGGGTCTCTCCGGACTGCAGGCCAATGCTCTAACCGCTGAGCCAAACCAGCCAGGGCGCAATCCAGATTTAAATGATTTGAACTCAGATTCTGATTTTTTTTACTGAATTTAATCATATTATGACAATAAAGATAATGTCTGACTATTTCTGTGACTGTTTTCACTTTAAGAAATGTTTTAAGGCCCTGGCCAGTTTGGCTCAGTGGTTAGAGCGTCGACCTGCGGTCCGGAGAGACCCGGGTTCGGTTCCCGCTAAGGGCACTTACCTCAGTTGCAGTTTGTCCCCGGCCCTGGTTGGGTCGTGTGTGTGGCAGCCACTCGATGTGTCCCTTTCATGTCGATGTTTCTCTCTCTTCCTCTCCCTCCCACTCTATCTGAACAAAAAATGTCCTTGAGTGAGGATTAAAAAAATAAATAAATGTTTTAAGTATATATAGAGTTGGGTACATTAAAATGTGAAGGAACCTAAGAATAAGCCCCTTACTTTTTACTCAAAATTTAAAAGATGTGTTAATAAATATGTGAAATTAGAGACTTTATGTTTGGGGAGAAATTTATCAATTTTTATAATTGATAGAAAATCTCTTTAATGAATGTTGAAAAATAAATTCCTAGGCTTTCCTCAATGCTATTGACTTTGTGTTTTAAAAAACCAGAGTAGCAAAAACAAATGAGAGCAACACTACCAAAGACCAGCATTCGAGCACCAATCTAAATGGGCACAGTCGGTGTGCCCACCTCAGTGATACATGTTTTTGTTTTTTTTATGCTTTTCTGTAACAAAATATTTCCTCACCCACACCCACTCCCCATAAGACCTAGAGTAAGGCCAAACTTAAGGTTATGATTGGGTTGACATCCTTTTTAGTTCAGAAGAAATGTGTACATTATCTTTTCCTGCTCATGTCCAGCATTTTCTGAGTGGCCAGTGTCTGTCTGTCACTGCGCTAGATGCTTGAGGATACAAAGATGGACACGACTCAGTTATTCCCCAGAGCTCACAGGCCAGAGTAACTTCTTACGTCATGTTTCCTAGCTCTCCGCCATCCCGAGAAATGTTAATCAAGGTTCCGGGGCATATAGTTCGTATAGTTCTATAAATTTAGTAATAGTGAATGCGTCATCTCCATCTTGTTGACGGGGTCGAGAAGTCTTTCAACAAAGAAAGCAGTTCAACTTTTTAAAATTCAATGTTTTCTTAGCTTATTTGACCATGGACCCTTTTTATGTGAGTCACATACTAAGTCGCGCGGGCTGTGAATGCTGCACAGCACACTGTGTAGGGACCCGCACAGAACCCACTATGACGAGATGCGTGCAGTGAGCAGTCGGGGAGGGCGTTGGGTAAGTCTCCAGCAAGTGACCACAAGTTCGACCAAGTCTAGAGTGATGAGTGTACAGAGGAAGGGAAGGGCACTTCGGGCGAGGCAGGAAAGCAGGGTGTGAAAGCGCGTTGTCTGAGCGCGAGGTGTCTGAGCAAGTGCCACGCAGCCCAGCGCTAGACCGAGTGGGAGCGAGCTGTGCGCGAGTGATTCGGGGCCCTGGGCCTGGACCGGGACCCTGGAATGGCATGAGTGGTCTACAAAGCAGGAAGTACTTTCTGGATTTCAGTTAAGTAAGGATTTATCTTTATATTTAAAACTAATTTTCCAGAGAGAAAAGAAACATTTCATATTTATCAAAAATTAGCAAAAATATGAGGTAAACTATTGTGGTTGAATCATCTACCATGTGCTGCTATTGAGTTCTTAAGTTTACTTAATGATTCTTTTAAAAAAATCGAGTCACCTGTGAACATTTAATATAGTACATTAAGACTGATGAAGAACTTTTCCTTTTTAAAGTTTTGAGTTAACTGATTTCTGCTTTGAAATTAATTGTGGGAGAATTATCACACATGAAGACAGAACAATGAGATATCATTTTTATATTTCTAAATTTAAGATTTAACTGAGCTTTCTCTACCACATTGATTTTCATTATAAAATATTGGAAAATATAGAAAAATTCCTTGTAAATACCACATTTAAATTCCACTATAACATTCCATTCAAGTGGATATACTCTTGTTTGTATAGCTATAGTCTTCAGTTTTTCTCACCATATTTTTAGATGGTTTCTAATTTCTTTGTTAGTATAAATGTTTTGTTTATACAGTTCTAGATTTGGAATTAGTGGGTCGAAAGTAGGAATATGTTTTCTTTTTTTTTTTAATCCTCACCCGAGGACATTTTACATTTTTCCATTTTTTGTTCAGATAGAGTGGGAGGGAGAGAGTGGAAGAGAGAGAAACATCGACATGAAAGGGACACATTGAGTGGTTGCCACCCACACGACCAACCAGGGCCGGGGACAAACTGCAACCGAGGTACATGCCCTTAGCGGGAACCAAACCCGGGTCTCTCAGGACCGCAGGCCGACACTCCAACCGCTGAGCCAAACTGGCCAGCGCAGTAGGAATATGTTTAAGGCTCTTGTGAAGTATACTTCTACTGGAAGTGTATCAAAGTGTTTATTTCGTTAGGTATTGAGAACATCATTAAAAAAACAAGACAGCCCTGGCCAGTTTGGTTCAGCGGTTAGCGCATCGGCCTGCGGACCGGAGAGTCCTGGGTTCAGTTTCCACTAAGGGCACGTACCTCGGTTGCAGTTTGTCCCCAGCCCTGGTTGGGGTCGTGTGGGTGGCAACACTCGGTGTGTCTCTCTCACATCGATGTTTCTCTCTCTCTCTTTCCCCCCTCTCCCTCCCACTCTATCTGAAGATATAAGCAAACATGTCCTCGGGTGAGGATAAAAAAAAGACTAAGTAAGAAAGCAAACTTTGTTGGTTCAGTAGTTTAAAAATATGGACCCATGTTGTTTTGTTTGTGGTTTTAACAATAAGTGATATGTCATAGTTTTTAATACTTTGTGTAAAGAAAGGGAAGGATTTTCTCTTGATATGAAACTCCTTTTTATTTTTTAGGTATCCATCACGAATTGAAAAAATTGACTACGAGGAGGGCAAGATGTTGGTCCATTTTGAGCGCTGGAGTCACCGTTACGACGAGTGGATTGGCTGGGACAGCGACAGGTTGCGAGCCCTGGAGAGGCCTGCACTGAGAAGGGAGGGCCTGAGGGATGGGCAGGATCTCTTTGTAAGTAGCACGAGCTTTCTGGTCGCTAGATATGTAACGACATGTTTTAAACTAGATTCTGTTAGAAAGCTTGTTTTTATTAAGGAAACACTTATTTATTATACATGATATTGATCTTAAAAGTTGTTTAAACTAGGATTTTAAAGCTGGAGAAGAAGTTCTGGCTCGGTGGACAGACTGTCGCTATTACCCTGCCAAGATCGAAGCGATTAACAAAGAAGGTATGTATCTGAAGTGATCTGAGATTTAAAATAGGATTAACAGTAAGATTTTAGCTATATTGCTAACTTTAATTAATGCCTAAATAGAGTGTTTAAATTAATAGAGGTAAATAGTTGGTTAAATATTTTTAGCTTTCTATTTTAGCTTTTTGTTTCTACTTTTCTGTTTCCAGTTTATTGTCTAAGCTAATTTTAGATGCTTATCTCAATCAGAGTGAGATGAAAGATTAAAGACAGAGGGAATTTCAGATCATTTCAACTTGGAAGTGAAATACTGTGCATAATTTTCTCGGGAAGGAGTATGGAACTCCATCAATTTGAGGATTTCCTTTATTGCATCTTTTTCCTGCACTGTTTTTCTTAATTTTTATAGGTAATTGAGGGTCAGTTTTCCTAATAGCCTTCGAATAATGATACTGAGCAAAAGTTACTGAGCTGATCCGAAATGTTGAAACTAACCCAGAGATCAGGTGTGTTAGTGTGGCATAAAACCAGTAAATCTATTGTACAGGTAGTGAATTTAAAGAACAGAACTTGTAGAATGATTAATTTGAAAAGGTATAAGAATATTTATTATTGGAAATATACTTATTTTACTTTTTAAATTTATTATTTAGAATAGCCTTTAAAACAGTTCTGAAATACTTATAAGTTTATCATTCAAGTCAGTAATACATGAGTTTTTCTATTACAATTATTTCTTAAACTTGACCACTCATTCTTTTTACTAAAGAAACACACATTGTGTGACAACTTCTTTGCAAGAAAGGCATTTAATCTAAGTGAGGGGACACGTCCTTTAAACTGAATCTGAAAGGCACACACGTAAGCTGGACACGGAAGGCACCACAGCCCTTCCGGCTGAAGTGGCGCAGGAGGGGAGGGGAGGGGAGAGGCCGGGGCCGGGGACCAGTCTGCGGGCTGGAGCGAGGGCTCCTCTCCAGGGACGCGGCAGCCGGGCACGGGGTGGAGAGGAGCAAGGACGGCTACGTGTCTCTTGTAACCTTGCTAAAGAGTTTGAATTTTATTTGGGGGTGATGGGAATCATGGAAGGGATTTAAGCTGAGGTTTTAAACTAACAACAGACCTTAGGAAAAATAGGAGATAAGAAGATAGAAGAGGAGAACATTTAAAAAGATATAGTAATATTAGGTGTGAAAAAGTAAGTCATAGTCATCTAGCTAGAAATTATGATTGTAACTTTACAAAGGTCTTATTCCAATTTATTGTTTTAATGAATTAAAATAAATATGGCTGTGGTTTTATTACCACTAGTCACCTTACTACAGGAAGAGTTGTGACAGCTCAATTTTCTCCTTTCTAGTGGAGCCTTTATCTGACTTAGGCTTCTGGCGAACTCTGTCATGGAGCTCATATTCCCGTGCCTAACGCACGTGGGCTCCCCAAGGGTCAAGTCCAGAGCCTAGCACAGAGTAAGTAAGCGGTCAGTAACAATTTGTGGACGGAAAGGAAGAAGTAATGAATCAGTTTTGTTGGATAATAGTATCCACCCAAAACATAGCAAAGTTCTACAATGCTATTTTAATTAAGAGCAGTTCTCTCAGTGAGCTGAGCTTTGGGACCTCCCTTCATGCTTCCAGCTCCTCAGGAGTGAGCGTAGCCAAGTGCATGCATGTGCATACAGCACACTCAAACAAAACCGCCACTTTCTTGACCCTGTCCCATTGTCTGTGCACATGTGATACAGACGATGAAGCTTACATTAGTGGAAGAGTGATGATACTGATTGCAATTTCTGCCATTTTAGGTGCAGTTTAAGTGAGCCCTTAGAGAAGCATTAGCAGATATAATTTGTTTTTTGAAAAATCATTGCTGCCTTTTGACCCAGCAATCCCACTTCTGGGTGTATGTCCTAAGAATCCCAATCAGAAAGAATATATGCACCCCTATATTCATAGCAGTGTTATTTATAATAGCCAAGTTCTGGAAACAGCCCAAGTGCCCATCAGTAGATGAGTGGAGAAAAAAACTGTTGTACATTTACACAATGGAGTACTACGCAGCTGTAAAACAGAAGGAACTCTTGCTCTTTGTGACAGCATGGATGGACCTGGAGAGCATTATGCTAAGCAAAATAAACCAGTCAGAGAAGACAAATACCATATGATCTCACTAATATGTGGAATCTAATGAACAAAAATAAACCTGTTTTAGGTCCAGAGGCATGGGACATGGAACAGACTAACAGATGTCAGAGGGGAGGGAGTGTGGAAGCTGCATAAGGGAAGGTGGAGGGAGTAGCTAAAGAACATGTGTGCATAGCCCATGGACACGGACAATAGTTTGGTGAAGGCCAAGGGAAAGGGGACGGGTGGACAAGGTGGGGGGAGGAATGGGGACTTCTGCAAAAGTGTCAACAATAAAAAATTTAAATAAAGAAGAAAGGGAAGGAAAAATGATGATTAGATAGGATCTTCCTGACCAGCCAGTGGGGGCTGCCCAGGGTTCAGAGCCTCCCTTCTCCTGGGAGCCCAGAGCTATTATGGGGAGCCAGGAGTGGGCTGCTCAATTCAACTTCAGGTAAACCTAACCGATCTTCGTTGAAGAAAGTCAGATTGGCAGATTTTGGAACAAAGTATGTACAACAGAAGATCCTAAATGAACTGTGGTTTAAGTCATGATTTTAAAAAATGAATTGTAGAACACATAGAAAAAACAAAAACCTGTATATTCATGTATATACACTTAGATGCTTTGAAAAAGGGCTATCAGTATAGACATCAAATTATTAACAGTCATTACTAACCCTGAGGAATGGAATGAAATGATGGAAACTTAACTCTCTTCTTTTACATTTCTGTATTATTTGATATTTTAAATACAACTTTTGTAATTAAGAATAAAATGTGGAAAAATCTTTAAAAAAAAAAAGAAAGAAAATGCCTCTTGGAGGTAGCCCCACATAGTGGATAAGCTTCCTCCTCACCCCCCAAAAAAAGGAAAAAGGAAAAAAAAGGCAGATGAAGCCCTCAAGGAGCCCTGTGTTCACTACAGAAGCTTAACAGAACAAAAGGAACGTAAACTGTTTAAGTACCTGTGATATGTCTCTAATAGAGGAGGCCTGTCAGTGTGGACTGCAGAGGTCAGGGGGCAGGGAGGTTTGCATATTATGCATGGGATTGGAGAGCTGATCAGCACAGTAGGCTGGAATCGGGAGAGGAGGGAGAGGAGGGAGGCGTCAGGACAGAGGAAGATGCAAGGAAAGCAGGGAGGGAGGGAGGCGCAGTCCTGTCGTGAGGAGCCCTCTGCCTCTGTCCAGAAGCCACCTTGGAGACAGAAGAGGACTGCTGCAGGGGTGATGGTAGTGTCAGGTAGATGTGCCCTGTGGCATGTCCAGAATTTTCCATCTTTATCTCCTTGCTAGTCAACTGATCAGTATTTTTCAAAACTTGCGATGAGATCTTTATATTTGTAATATTGTGTATTATGCTAATTATAGGAAGCTATGAAATTCAAATTATAAAAAAAAAAAATCTTTGGCCCTCGCTGGTTTGGCTCAGCAGTTAGAGCGTTGGCCCACGGACCAGAGTGGGTTTGATTCAGGTCAGGGGCACGTACCTCAATTGCTGTTCAGTCCCTGGCCCTGGTTGGGTTTGGGTGGGAGGCAACCCGTTGATGCTACTCTCTCACATAGACGTTTCTCTCTCTCTCTCCCTCTCTCTCCCACTCTATCTGAAGATAAATGGAAAAATATCCTCCGGTGAGGATTAAAAAAAAAATCTGCACGTATGTCATTGGCTTTGTGCCAAATACAAAGCCAGGAATACCGGTGATCACATGTATCAGTGATCACATTTATTGTTTATGTTTCTTTTGTAAAGGTCAGGTGTCTTTACAAAGTGACACTTACAGTGGCACTCTCATTTGTACAGGCAGTGCTAGAAAAATACTGGAATTTCCTTAAGTTAAAAACTTACATAATTTATGTTTTCTAATAGTACTGACTTTTATTGACTTCAAGTATGTAGTCTATTACAAGAAGTCAGTATGCTCTGTAGTAGACATGCAGACAGGATCTGGAGGCCTTACAACAGGACAAGTTAGTGGGAGAGGGATGGGGATGGGGTGTTATGGCTGTGCTGCCGCTCAGCTGACTGTCATTGCAGGAGCGTGTAGCCTCCCTGGAGTCTAGTGGTTTAATCTGTTCTGGAGGGTTGTTTTTTTTTTGGTTAATCCTCACCGGAGGATATTTTTTCATTAATTTTTAGATAGAGAGAGAGAGAAAAACAGAAAAACCTCCATGTGAGAGAGAGAGACTGATTGGGTGCCTCCTGCATGACCCCGACTGGGCCAGGGATTGAACCTGGAACCCAGGTATGTTCCCCTGACCGGGAATTGAACCCTTGACCCTTTGGTCCATAGGCCGATGCTCTAACTGCTGAGCCAAACTGGCCAGGACATGTTCTGGAGGACTTTTATCTTGATGATCTGCAAAGTATTTTGTAGCTTAAAAGCCTGTAAATCTATAATTCTTACTTGCTAGTTCATTGTCAAAGAAAGAATCCGTTCCTGAGAAAATGTTTCTTTCCTATACCACATCTTTCTGTCTGTTCATTGTAAGGAGACTTTGAAAGAGAGTAAATACTTATAGAAATAAATACTTTTGTGAATAATAATTGTATTTTGTCCACATGTATTATAACATACCTGACGTTATTTAAACATATATATAAATTATTAGAAAATAAATTTGAAAATTCTTCAGTAAAAACGATGTGCAACTAACTTTTCAGGATTTAGTTTATACACTTTTCAAAGGGAAATCAGAGTTGTTTTTAGTGGGAAAGAAAATAAACTTGATAGAATTCTGAATAGGAGTGTACGTTTGCAGTTAAGTTAATCACAGAGACTTGTTTCTAGCAGGGCGTTATGTGTTAGGTTTCATGCGTTGCTGTAAGATTGAATTCTGTTTTCTAATGATTCTGACTTGCTCCTATTTCAGGAACATTCACAGTTCAGTTTTATGATGGAGTAATTCGTTGTTTAAAAAGAATGCACATTAAAGCCATGCCCGAGGATGCTAAGGGGCAGGTAAGAGTGTTCAGCGTTTTTAGCTACCCAAAGGGATGTCTTGAATGGTGACTGATCAACATACACATATATTTTTAAAGTGAACTAATTGTAGGATTATGTGCTGATAGCCCCAAATAGCAGCAAGAAAAAGAAGCTTAGAATGTAAATCATACAGTTGATTTTTGCTCCTTTGGTGTTAGACCTGCTGAAGTTATAGGTCACTAGTTTCTGTTCCAGGTGAGACCCCAGCACCCACTAAGCTGGTGTTGTCCTATCGACCCAGCTGGATCGTGTAACCAGTCTATGGGAAGTGAGGTGAGTGCCTTTTTAAAATTTCGTTTTGTTTTTCCTGGTATATAAGCTCATTTAGAAAGTTAATTTTTAATATAAAATTTTATATTGAGTTTCTTATCTTCTTCTTTCCTTCTATAAATCATAGTTATTACTTCTTAAAAGGCGCTTACCTGACACTCTGTAGGCTATTTCGGGTAGGGCTCTGAGTCATATGACGTAAGCAGTGTGTTACATGACTTGGCACTGCTCAAAGTGAGAATGAACGGTAAGCCCTTGAAGGAGAATCTGGGATGCAGTTAAAACCATGATTCCATTGGTTGACTCTGTTCCTGAGATAATGAAAAGAAAAGGTGCCAGTGGAAATTTAAAATATTTTCTTTTATGTTCTGCTGTTATTTGGGATTTTCAGCACCTGGACCTACAATTAATTTTAAGAAATTGAACGTAAACTATAAACATGTCTAAAATGGAAATATGCTACATATTTGTTCCATACCATGCAGTGAAAAATGTCATCCAGAAATTTGTTGAAATCACCTGGTCAGCCCCAGGCAAGAGTACACATCGAGTTATCTGGAAATGTAGACCATCTCATTAAAAAATGATTTTTGGTATCTTCTGAGAAGTGTGATTGTCTTAAATCACCTAGTTTTCAAAAATCTACTTTTGAAATGATCAGCTAGCAGATTTTTTTCTCCAATTAATATGAACTGCAATTGAAAATAGAAATGCTTTTGATCAGTAAATTGCTTTGTGTCTTCCTACTTATATGAATAAATAAAATGTTCTTTTAAGCATTCAGTGGTGTTATTTCTTGGTTACTGTATAGAAACATTAAGTAAAACATTGTGAACTTAGTTTAATATATACCCATTTAATTAAACAAAATTCTGTGTTTTTTTAAACTATTATTTATTTTATTTTGGTTATTCAAATGTTTGGGAGATGGCCCTTAGCCGTAAAACTTGATTACTTTCCAAATGGAAACATTGAGCTAATTTGGCTTGTGATAAAATTAGAAGTTGTTAAAATTAGTTTATTGAATGTATTGAATATTTATTTTTAATAAGTATGTTAGTCACATCATGATATAAATTAATATTAAAATCAATGCCAAAATATAAACTACTAAAAGAAAATATTGGTAGCAGTGTACTTTATTTTATTTTACATTTTTAGTCATAATTTTAAATTATAAACACATTAAAATATTTGTAGAATTGTTTTCAATAAAATCTCATATTATGAGAGTCATTTTCTCAAGTTTTTGACTTGTTTTCATCTAGAGAATATGCAAAATCAGACATTATTTGGGCAATGCTGAGAGAATCCAACTTTGTATATTCTCTTCTACATCTTGAGTACTTTGAGAATTCCTTAGTAAGATACACAGTAAAATTTCTTTTATTAAACTAGCAAATACGTGCACTATAGAAATGCTCTTCTCTAAGCTTTCTGTAGGTTTTTCTCCTATTATTTTTCTTCCTGAGTGTGTACCGATAAAAATTTACATTGTAACTCACTAGTGGTAAAGATTGGCTCATAGGAAAGGTCCTCTTACTATTTTGAAAACATATCTTGCATACATTACTTTATTCAATTTTTGTAGCAAATTCTTTGACATAGATGTGGCCGATATTTTTATTTCACAGTTGAGGAGTTCAGAACTTAGAGAATTGAGTGGCTGACTTAAAATTTCACTCGACCATAATGTGGAGAGTGACTCCGAGCTCCGATCTGATTTCAGATAGTCTTGTTCCAGCGCACCCTCCTTTATGTTAAGGAGAACTTGGCATGTGTAGTGGGGTAGTCAATAAAAAAGTTGGTAAATGAATGTGTCAGGTACAGTCACATTCTGTTTTCAGTTCATTTCAGTCAGGTGGGAAAGTGAGGGACATGGATTTTGTTTGTTCGTTTTTACTGGCTTATTGTCATCCTCACCATATATTTTCAAGACTGAGCAGCCATCAACTTCTATTGCTTAATGACCTATGTTTGTTAACATAGCCCATCAATTGAATGCATCTGATTCTGTGAAATTGTTTTTTAGTTGTTTGGACTAAGAATTTAATGGATTACTCATTTTGATTGAACCTGAATTAGTGACCTTCAGAGGAAAGGTTAATTCTCTAGAGATATTACAAAGAGTAGTTTAAAAAAAAATCTTTGATTTTGAAAATTTAAATGTTGATACGACTTCTTCACATCTTTCCATATTTTTTATTATAAGCATTTTAGTTAAAAATAAAAGAGTAGTAACCTGACCATTGTGGCTCAGTGGTTGAGCATCGAACCATTTATCAAGAGGTCACCGGTTCGATTCCCAGTCAGGGCACATGCCCAGATTGTGGGCCAGATCCCCAGTGCGGGGTATGCAGGATGTGGCCAGTCGATGTTCTCTCTCATTGATGTTCTCTCTCCTCGATGTTTCTAGCTCTCACTCCCTCTTCCTTCCTCTCTTCCTAAAATCAATAAAGAAAACATAAATAAATAAAAGAGTAAATGTATTTAGCAATAAACAAAAATATAATGCAGGGAAAATAAATATTCACATCTCAAAAGAATAGCAACTAACACAGGCCCAGGAAATTATAGAGGAAGATAAATGAATCTGGAGTCTGTCTGACAGTGTGTACTTTACTTTGGTCAAGTCAAGTGGCTCTTTTTAAACAGTTTTTATTACTAATATTAAGCTGTTGTAACTGGTGTCTGAACTTAAAAAGCTTTAAAAATTAATAAAACCACACCTTGATTTCTGTGAAATTGACCATACTTTGACTACTATGCTCTTCCTGTTAAGGAATACTTATTACCCAGTGGAGTACACTTCTTTTTATTTTTGCAGAACTGCAGCATAAGCATTTCTCTCTTACTTCTTTTATGGTCTACTGCATCGCAGAAAAGAATTGCAACTCGGCATTTAAACCCCACAGTGCTGAGGCAGAATGTCATGCAGTAGTCCATGTTTGTCACAAAGTTTCTTGTTATTTTAGATTTTATTCCTGAGAAAATATACCAAGGGAACAATTGTTTGTTATTGAATATTTTTCTATTTTATATAAAATTATAAATCCAACTAACCCGTTAGATTACTTGGTAATCTGCCATGTTGATGATCTACCTTGTAAATAGAGTTGATTCGATTTTTAAATTTGTGTGCATGTGAAAGTAGCTTTGAAAATGTGATACATGTTTTTATTCATTAGTGTAATTAAATTTTGATTAATGTTTAATGCGTCACATGTTTTGTGTTTTCCTTTGGAGGATTGGATAGCATTAGTCAAAGCAGCTGCTGCAGCTGCAGCCAAGAACAAAACGGGGAGCAAACCTCGGACCAGTGCTAACAGCAATAAAGAGAAAGAGAAAGATGAGAGGAAATGGTTTAAAGTACCTTCCAAGAAGGAAGAAACTTCAGCTTCTGTAGCCACACCAGAAGTTGAGAAGAAAGAAGATCTGCCCACGTCTAGTGATACATTTGGTACAAAATATGTTCTTACGTTTACTCCTTACATAGTGAATAAGGAACAAGGCAAACCCCTTGGCTACCTGTAATTTGAACATGCAGTTAAATTATTAGGCTTTTCCCCAGCATCATATGATGGTTAACTTTTAGCATTTTACAGATCTGAAGATAAATGGTCTACAGGTACTTAATAATGAATACCTCATTATTTTTTAATAAAAATGAGTTGAGAATTTGATTTGTAACTTATTGGTAATAGGTTTAGGGGTTTTGTTGTTTGTTTTATGTTTCTAAAGAAATCTTTTAAATGCTGCTGCATGTATTTCAGTATATAATATGGAAAAAAGCAACAAGGCATTCTCTTCCTGCTTTTCTTTCCCAAAGAATACCTGCTTAGTATTTTTTATTTCTAACATAACAGTCTGGAGAGATTTGTGTTTTTATAAAGTTCTGTGTCAAGCACTAGATTAAAAAAAATTAGTTGCAGAGCATTTGTATTATTTGCTATTTTAAAAAAGTCATGTGTTTCAACTTTGGATTCTATATAAACTCTCACATATGTGTTCTGTTACAAGTAGGACTTCATGTAGAGAACGTTCCAAAGATGGTCTTTCCACAGCCGGAGAGTGCATTGTCCAACAAGAGGAAAAATAACCAAGGCAACTCATTTCAGGCAAAGAGAGCTCGGCTTAACAAGATCACCGGTAAACTGCAATGATTCTTTTGTGGGGGAAATGGAGGGTTTAATTTTAGAGTAGTTTGTTTTTAATAAAGCCAAGTGTCTTTTGGGTTAATTAGAAAGACAGTATTTTTTATGGTTCTTCAAGGTCAACATCTTTCAGAACTGTCAGCTTTTTGTGTTGTTCAATGTGAAAAATGTCACACGTCTTCTACCTACCTCACAGGGATGTTGTGAGGATTGATAGGATCAAAGTTTACGGCTCTACAGTCTTCAAATCACCGTGGTGGTGGGAATAGTTTCTATAAGAATTGAATTGTCTGCTTTTGTTAACCTGTGATGACATGTCTTGATCGGTCTCATTAAGGATGGAACGTACATGGTTGGAAAAATGAACAATGAAGCTGTTCATTCCCAATGTAAAAGTACTGCTATACGTTTTTAACATTTCTATCCTTATTTTCTGGGTGGACTCTAGAATCTGGGCTTACTTCTCCATGCTTTGTCGTAATTTAGGAAGTAGAGTGCTAGGATTGATGGGAAATACTGAAAACCCTAGCCTGATTAGTGTTTATCGAAGAAGGGAATTCAGTACTAGAATTGGGGCCAGTCATGCTAGGCCCCATCATGATTCTAGTCTCTAAAAGAAATTGTGGACATACATAACTTTCGTGAGTATATATGTTGAAAGGGCAGTTAAAATACTTTAATTATTCTGTCATATGTTATTCTAAGGACAGAATGATTTTAGTGCCTATGGCTTAATAAAGCTGTATACATCTTTGTTGGCATTCTTTTAAATAATTTGAAGGAGCTTGGTTTCATTGTCAGATTCAAGAATAAATGTGAATTAAACATTTGTCCATTTTCTGAAGAGCGGAAGCCCTCTGAAGGGTGGCTCCGGAGCGGAGGGCTCTTTCGAACCACTGCTTTATTACAATATTCTGATTATACTTGATTTTAACAGGTGAGACTTTTTCAGTCTTTCCATTTGTTAATATTATTTTTGTGCCTTTCTCTGATAAAGGATATATTCTGTCCCAGTACAGGAAATATTTAAAAATCAACTCATTCATTCCACCCTTTCTTTAGAAACTGTTAGCTTTGGAGAAAGCCAAAATGTTACAGGTGATTGCTATGATGGCAACTTGAGACTTCAGTTTTGCGTTAGAATAATGGACCCTAGGCTGCGTGCTGCGGCAGAAGTGGAATCGTACTTCTAACTCCTGGGATACCGAGATTGAAACACTTCTGTTGGAGGAGAGCCAAGATCCAGGACGATGAAGTGACACCGACCTGATGCGGCTGCCAGCTTACTAGTGCCACCTGGGTTTTCCCACAGTCTGGATGACCTGATCTTATTCTCAGTCAGCATACTCGTGCATGTGCTTCACTGAGAAGTTCAAGCTCAACATTCACAGACATAGAAACAAACAAAGTGGCTCATTCTGCAATGATGCATTACATCTGCATGACCTTGAAAAGACAGTGGGGATCCGGGAGGAACCATTTTACCATGTGCCTCAAAGGAATTCTAGTACTGGTTGTAGTAACACCCTGTGCCCTCTGTGGAGGGACTTTGACTTCACTTCCCCTTGGGAATCTTAGATGAACTCGTGATAGTTTGGCAGTGGTAGAAATGCAAGATTTTAGAATGTGAAACTGCTATAATTTTCCCCCTTTGTTTACTTAGAAGATTTCAATGTATGATAATCCTTTTCTAATTTCATGTTACAACTATATCATGCAGAAAGACATTAGGCATTATAAGCCTGTCTTTGATGAGTAAAACTCAAGCTTGTCCCCCTACAGTAAATTTTGTTTGTAGACCATAAAAACAGATGATAATATAAAAATAGCGATTTTTGTTCTGGAATTATAGTGTATTTTAAATTTATCAAGCTCACTTATACTTGTCCTTTTATCCCTTTGCTACTGAGAAGAATAGGGCTGTGACTATGGCAACATTTCAGCCTGCTCTGATGACTGCCCAGCACTGTGTAAAATCGTTCACGCTGGAATCCAGTGGACCAGCCGCTAGATAAATTTAATTCACATATTTATTTATTCTTGTTCTTCCCCACATATACACCCTACAGCAGTTCTAAACCTGATTTCTATATAGGGAATGGTATTGAATGGCTTTTTTTAAAAATACGTTTCCAAATAGGTAGACATTGAAATTATGGTTGCAGTGTGTGTGTGTGTGTCTGTATGTGTGTGTGTGCGCGCGCGCGCGCGCGTGCTTCCAGAGTCTTATTTTTCATTATGTAATGTACCTTATGGATATTTGTAGACTTTATGCATATTGACTTAGAATAGACAGATTTACAGAGAGAAACAGGAGTCCATATTTTGGGACAAAGTTTCAAGCAAACTACAAGCAAACTTGAATAGATTTTAAAATACAGGTTGGCCCTGGTTGGGTGCCCAGTGGTTAGACGTCGGCCGACGGACCAAAGAGTCTAGGGTTCGATTCCAGCCAAGGGCACATACCTGTCTCCGGCCCTGGTTGGGGTCACGCGAGTGGCAACCAATTGATGTGTCTCTCTCGCATCGATGTTTCTCTCCCTTTCCTCTCCCCCCTTCCGCTCTATCTGAAGATAAATGTAAAAATATCTTCGGGTGAGGATAAAAAAATAACAACAAAAACCAAAAATACAGGTTATCAGCAGAGTAGAAGAAATGTCTGCAGTTGGTGTGTGGTATGTTTGTAATAGTTCTAGGAGCTCCTAGAATTTCAGCCAGCTTAAATTTATTCGTGCTGCTTAAGGAATCTTAAAAATAATTTTAAAAACTTAGAAATTTGAATTGGCCAGTAATATGTTATTGAAATTAATATCAAGAATATTTGATTCATAATCCTAGGAAGAAATATTGAGACTTGGAATCCCTGGGCCACAAATTCAAATGCTTTGCTCTCTTTCCTTCCCTTTGCTATCCCAGGGTGCTCTGGCCTCTGCTGCTCATTCCTAAGCACACTGAGAGGCCACACACTTCAGAGCCAACGTGTAGCACATTGAGAGACTATAACTTTGGGGGGGGGGGGCTCATGAATGTGTGATATTCTGCTTCTACTTGATATTTAAATAATTTCTTAAAATGCATTTTGTTGATACTCTATAGTTACAGTCTTTTGGAGGAGGACCTGTTAGTAATATGTTGATAATACATATCTGCAAATAATTAAAATTATTTTTATTTGTATCTATTTCCTCCCAGTTAATTCTCATTTTCTGCAGATATTGTGTTTCTCCCCAGAACATTAGCAGGCCAAAGCAATAGATTTTGGACCAGCCCTTCAGGCGGCAGTAGTGAGTCCTCTCCTCAAGGACATGTTTTATTTTCTGTCCCCTTTATTGTTTATATTTTTAACTCTTATGTAAGGTGACATGCATATAAATATGCAGACCTTTTAATTGATTGTATTGGAGGCTTTTGAATTTACTAGATACCAAGTATTGTATTTGCTAATCTAATTTTAGGTAGCTCTTACAACTGCCCCGTTGCTTTTTGTAAGAACATTACAAAGCTTTATTTTTTCCTTCACAAACCATTAAGTGGGAATTGCTTTTCATTCATTGGGTCTATCTATAATGGCCTAACTTGAATTCATAGAGTGTGGCTGAATTATTTTGTTTTTCTAAACATGTAGTACCTTTTAATTTTGTAGTTTGTGATCTAGTCCATCTATTGATGACATTTAAAAAAGTATTTTCACCACCTATGTGAAAGGGGACAAAATATGAGATATATTTAATAGATTAAGTACCAAATATCTGTCCTGTTTGACTAGCCCTTAGAAGTAGAATCTCTACTCGGTCCCCCCACAAAATAACTTGATTTTCTAATTTTTTTTTTTTTTTTTAGTAGTAGTGATTCTCAAAAATATTAGCTAGGGAAGAAAAGCCTAGTGAAGGTGGTTTTAAATGTTAAAGAACTACATCTTTATCTTTCTCAGTCACCTAAAAATATGTTCAAGAGTCAAGTTAATATAATTAGGATTGAATTTATGGTTTATACACTATTTTTGTAAAATTATGTATTGCTTTTTCCCCCATTTAAATTAATACTAATCTTATATTGTATTTAGTTGTATAGACAAAGCCCGTACTTAAGATTATGAACAATCTAAGTAATATTAGGTTTTTGGATATTAAGCCATAGAATTTTAAGTTTTTACAGAATAAGTGTGTATGCGTATAGTGTTTTGAGAGTGTCTTTAGGAGTAATATTTAAAACTAAATATGTAAGCAACTTTCAAATTCTGATTCATTTCCTTGAGTCATTATTAAACACGTTTGTATTTTTGACAAGCAAACTTTTGAGACAATTTACTTCCTGTATATTAGAAAGTATGGGGGATTTCAACTGCTAAAATTTTTGTGAAGTTAATTAGGGTGAAAGTCAACATTTTTTCTAATAAGCAATTTCTGTACAATTTTTCTCAAGGTTTGTTGGCATCCAAAGCTGTTGGGGTGGATGGTGCTGAAAAAAAGGAAGACTACAATGAAACAGCTCCAATGCTGGAGCAGGTATGAAATGGTAGCATTTGATTTTTTTCAAGGTTCCCAACTGGAATGGTCACGGAGCTATAATATCCACATAATTGAAATTGCCCTTTTGGTCATATATGGGAATAGGAAGCTAATTAATTGATATATTTTTAACTCTGCCTTCTCCAAGGTATACAAACTACAGACTTCATTCATGTTTGTTTTTTAATAGACTGACATTAAAGCCTTTGTCTCCAACATTTGAAGGCCTGGAGACAGGCATCCAGGGTATAAGCTTCCGGCTGGATCACCTTTAACTAGCTTACAGAAAGACCCTTACACAAGTACTTTCATTTGTGAGTCCAGACAGGGTTTTTGACATCTAATAAAGCTTCTTTTGTAAGAAGTTTCTTTTATATTGTAACAATTGGTGTTGTTAGACTGACTATGTGTTTTACGAATTGATCAATGAGCCATACATTTTTTGCTAGGATGTATATTTTAATAACTACACAAAAAAGAGTTTTAAAAAACTATTGAGGGTCTGTCTTTAAACCACCTAACAGAGGAATTTAAAAGCGAAGGTGGCAGTTGCTAGATTTTTGCCTTGGCTGCCTTCAGATTCCCACAATACCTGTACATAGTGAACTGTGTGCATGCTTTTCCATCCTCTAAGGGCTTAACTTCTTGGGCACTGTAAATCTCTGAGACGCAGTGATAGCCATAACTGGATCTCCTTGGTTCTCCTGTTTCAAAATCTGAGCCTTAATGTAGTTAATATATCCTTTTTGTATTCTTTTAATTTTCTTTCTTAGTAGCCTAGTAAAGAAGAATTTAAAATGAGTATCTTTTGCTCTTATCTATATGCGTTTTAAAAAACACTCCAAATTTAATTGATATTGTATTGAGTTTTTCAGGGTTATTTTAGGCCTGATTTGATAACAATGCATTGTTTTGGTGCCTCCATTAATGTTGTATTAAATCACTGGTTTTTAAATTGATTTATATGTCAGCAAATCATACCTTCTGAGTATCTGTGATCATCAAACGGTTAAGTCTTTGCCGTTACTGTCAGTATATCAACCAAATTTTAAGTGACTTTTTTTTACTGTGTATTACTATATTCAACGTCCCAGATATAAAATTACTTTGTATTTTCACCACTGTTCATGGTATTCTCAGAATGCAATAAATCAGGGACTTGGGTAATAAAATCTTTCTGGAAAATTCATTACAATGTCAATCTTTCATTACGCACAATCCTGCTGAGGGGAGCGTGGCAGTGACTTCGCAGGGAGTCAGTGTAGGGCAGCGCCCTGCAGAGAGAAGGACAGAGCTTCCGGGATTGAGTTTAAAAGAAAAAGAAAAATTGAGTAACTCGGCTGTTTCTGTTTGCATAACCTAAAGAATGTGAGAGTCCTTGCCAGTTTTGTAACAAAGAGACCAATGATCATTAATGACAACATTTTAAATTGTCGAATTTTAAGGAACGTAATGCTCTTCCTTCATTTTTATTTGTCGTTCAGGTTGATTTGAGTGTGGAAATGTTTGAAACCAAATTCAGACTTTTTATGTTGTTGCCCTGCTTCAAAGTTAAAAAGCCGAGTTATAAAACTCTTACTGACATCTTAATTGGTATCAACAGTAAACTTAAAGGAGAGGTGTTGATTGTCACTAACCTCTGTTGTCCTAATGAGTAAAATAGTGTCACTCATGACATAGACTTTTAACAGGCCTACAGCCAAAATTTACTGTGCTAATAATGGATTTATTTTATTTACATTAAAAACATTCAAACTCTGGTTTTGAACCCCAATTCTCAGATTATTAATTATAGAATACTTAATTGTATTAGGGAATTGTTATGTTATATTTACTTTTGGATAAAACCTGCATTAGATGCATAATTCAGTAAGTTTTAAAAAATGTTAATTTGTCCTTGTTTAGAAGTTAAGCACCTTATCAAGATATTAATTTAAGTTTTAAAATCTTGTTTTATAACTTTGTAACTCAAGAGTAATGGATGCTGTAGTGATGTCTCTCACATATGTGAAGATGAACAATAAAATTGTTTATTTACAAGTAATGGCTCTAATTACTTTTCTGGCAACACCTTTTATGATAAGCTTAGGAATCCTTTCCATTTATGGAGTACTTCTGCAAACGATTAATGTGCACTTACACACGTGTGTAACGAGCAAATTCAAAAGTAGAAATGGTGACAAATAAATGGGACACTTGACACCAGCCCTTTTATGTGGTATGTCCAACATGCCATCTCTAGAGCATTTAGAGCTGCCCTGCTTAATGCCAAATATTCACTTTTCTCCCACCAAAAACTGAGTGCCTTGTATTTTAGTGGGAACAGAAAGCTGTTCGATCCCCAGCAATGATCTTTCATATTCTGGAGAACTGCAGACTGCAGGCCCAATGGTCATCCCTCACAAGAGACATGGAAGTTAAAAGGTTTCTTAGGGACAAGTATATTGGTCAGAGTACTAGCAACTTGATTCTTTATGGAGGCCTATCATAGTGTAGATATAAAAAAAAATGTATCTTATGTCCTTACAAGAATATCAGAAATACAGCATAGGCATTCTAACACCATAGATGACAAATCCATCTAACGTGGCTATTGTCTGTTGTCTTCGGACACATTCACATACAGTTTTACACGTGTAGGAAATTTTATTGCTAAATAAAGAACTGACAAAGTTCTAATTTTTTTTTAAAAGTATCAGTTGGCAGGAAGAAGGTAAAAACTCATCTAAGAATGCGACGTATTTTGTTTTTAAATCCAATGTTTTTAACTTACACTTGGTTTTACTCCTTGGTTTTTTTTTTGTTGTTGTTGGCTTGTTTTGTATTGTTTTTTAGTCTTTTAACTCTGTACTGCTGGTGGCTTTGATTTCATGATGCATTATGCTTATGAAACTCTAGCTCTCAGCACTGAAATGAGTTAAAGATAATGTTTCGTTAATTTGATCATTGTTTTCCTGTTGAGATCTTTCTTTAAAGGGAAACTGTCTACTTAGACTTCTGTATTCAGCTCGATAAAGGAAATTATTTTATAAGAAAACATCTGAAAGTCAGAAGTTTAAATGTATTTCTCTAATGCTCTAAAACGGGGGTGGGGAACCTTTTTTCCGCCAAGGGCCATTTGGGCATTTATAACATCATTTGAGGGCCATACAAAATTATCAACTTAAAAATTAGCCTGCTATATTGGGTCAGGCTAATGTGGTGAGGCGTGTGATGTTAGCTGGTACTGATTTAGAGGCCTTCAAACGGCCTGTGGGCCAGACATTCCCCACCCCTGTTCTAAAACATGAAAATCCTGTTTATTTACCTAATTATTACTAATGTCATTGATAATTATGGCTTCCAAAGAGGTATACTTTAATTTAATACTGGAAATATTTGTCCAGTAAGATAACATTTTATATTCTGAGACTATGAATATATTTTTTAAAAGCCAAATTTAGACAAAGTTGACAGCATCCCTTTAAAGACAGCCTATTCAACTTTTAGTTAATAATTTGTGGGGTTCTTTTTGGTTTTTCATTTGTAATAGAAATGTTATATGTTGCTTAACAATGTTTTTGGATACTAAAGTTGCTTAACAGTCAAAATAGAATACAAGAACAAAAATGAAGAAACCAAAATAAAAATATCAATTTTTTATTATTTATTCAGGCGATTTCACCTAAACCTCAAAGTCAGAAAAAAAATGAAGCTGACATTAGCAGTTCTGCCAACACTCAGAAACCTGCACTGTTATCCTCAACTTTGTCTTCAGGGAAGGCTCGCAGCAAGAAATGCAAACATGAATCTGGAGATTCTTCTGGGTGTATAAAGCCCCCTAAATCACCACTTCCCCCAGAATTAATACAAGTCGAGGATTTGACGCTTGTATCTCAGCTTTCTTCTTCAGTGATAAATAAAACTAGTGAGCACAGATTTTTAAAAAATAGTTCCTTATCCTATAAGATACCTGAAAAACAGTTTGATTGTAGTTATATTGTATTTTTATGAAGTTGCTTTTTAAAAATTCAAGCTTAAGCGGTTACGCTAGGGAAGGCTTGCAGCCATTTCAGGGGAAAGACCACCTCCCTCTGGGACCGGTGTGCTGTGCAGGGGCTGCGCTGTGGTGGAGAGTCGTACCACTCAGCACCGCCCACTCCACCGCAGCTTGCTCTCCGCTGAGAATCCGAGCGCAATGAGAGGCCTGATTCATTACAAAAAACAAAGCAGATGTGAAGACCTGTGCTGGATCTTTCTCCGGGAGTCCTGGGACTGGCCTTGTGGAGAGGTGTAGTTGTATTCACACTTTCTGGACCCTCTGCAGCTCATCTTGCTCATTCTCATTCTGGTGTTTAGAGGACGAGCTTCGGTTATTCTTATTAATGAAAGAAGACAAATGCTTCCTTGATCTTATTTTTAAAGAATTTACTGTTTCAATTCCACTAATCGTTCAAGTTATTTCAGCCTTTTTAAAAATAGCCTTTCAACATGGCTTTGGCTGTGTCTCAGACAGCATTTTTGCTGATCTGTTTCTCATACTGGTTGAGTATTCTAAGTTAGAAAATAGGAGAGCCAGCTAACCTGTAAATCACTTGGTAAAAGACCCCTTTCTTTTGCTATTTATACAGCAAATGAATTAGTGTCCTGATTAGTAAATGAATCTGACACATTCCCCTATGAAATCTTCCGCATCAGATCTTCCACAACAATGAAACTCGTTTGCAGTGGGAAGACTCAGTCAAATAGATTCATCTCATTCAGTTGCCATAGCTTCTACTAAGCCATAGTTATTAATTTTTGATACTTTTTTGTTTTTGTTTTGTTCTTTTTAATAAATGGGTAGAAAGGATGAAAATAGAAAAACTCAAGTGTGTCCTCATTATGGCATTTATCCTGAAATAATGTCAGTAACCACAACAGTGTCTCGTGACATTATTTTATTCTGAAATTGTACTTTGGCATTATAACCACAATGTGGCAGAAATTGAATTTTCTTTTGTTATTTGAAATTATCACCATCTTTTTTAAAATTTCAATTTCTGTAAAATTACTTTTAAATACCCAAAGCATCAACCTTGTTAGACCACTTATTTCTTCCTTCTAAATGAACATGACTGCGTTGCCCTTCGGTAATCCTGCCTATTCTAAATCATCAAACGTTTACCTGCCACATGGAGAGAAGAAAGCTAAAGGTTAAACAAAAGGCAGGGGTTTTCAGACTTCTGTGTCACAGCTAGAGGATGTGTAAGACTCACCAATTTAGTTACTCAAAACCAAACCAAACCAAGGGCGAGAACAGAGTCACTTCTAAAAACCTCATCATTTGCCCATAAGAGGTACTTAAAGTTGTGTTCAAATTTTTTTTTTTTTTAATGAATCAGGCCCAAACATATGCTTATAAAAATCCATTTAGGGGAAGGAGGGTGGGATAAAATTATTTACCTTAGTTTTACTTTGGCAAGTAATGTAAAGCACTAATTACAGTGCATGTCAGATTTTTTTCACCTATGCCCCCGTCTTTATATCCCCTTAGAGTTTCTAGATTTGTAATGTAGCAAAAGGCATGTGTATTTTTAATCTTTGGCTATACAGAGACTGTTTTCCCAAAGGAAAAATGGCAACTAACACAACCATCTGCAATTAGAGAATCAACTGTAGTCTTTCACCTGGGGAAACTACCTGAAATTCATGTTCCATGTTATTTTCTTGTGAGTTTAGTAGGCTTTGAGTTTAGAAGTTTTGATTAACGCTTTTTGTGACTGAGGGCACCGTTTTTGCCTTCGATTCCCTTTGGAACGTGCTGTTCCGTGTGGATACCTTACGACATCAGAGGGCAGTATTGAAATCCTTTTCCCATTTACCTGAAATATTATAAGATGATCCCAGAATGTATCTGCTTCGTGAACATTGAAGATCTTTTTCTAGGTCCTCCACAGCCTGTGAACCCCCCTAGACCTTTCAAGCATAGCGAGCGGAGAAGAAGATCTCAGCGCTTAGCCACCTTGCCCATGCCTGATGGTTCTGTAGAAAAGGGTTCTCCCTCTCCAGCCACTGATGGGAAAATATTCTCCATCAGTTCTCAGAATCAGCAAGAGACTTCAGTACCAGAGGGTAATGTATATTGATTTCCTATAGAACCAAACATAAAAGAAGATAAAGAAATTACTAAGCGACAAAGACTATTAAAATATTAAGAGATTTGTGCTTTTTCCTTTTTACATCTTTTGGACTTAAAAGCACTTCATTTTTTCTACAAATAGTTATTGAGTGCTGCTTTGTGCCAGGCACTGTTTTGCTTATGTAACATTTAAGTCCACATGGATATTAACTGAGCCAGTGTATCTGTGTTAATACTATATTACATTCTTTATTTTGTGTAGTGCCTGATGTTGCACATTTGTCACTTGAGAAGCTGGGACCCTGTCTCCCTCTTGACTTAAGTCGTGGTTTGGAAGTACCACTAGCCTCAGATCCCTCTTACCATAATGAGTGTCCCAGGGCAGAAAAGGAAGATACACAGATGCTTACAAATCCTTCCAAAGCAATGCCTGAGGGAAGAGGAGCTCCAACAGTGTCAGGTAAAAATGATTCGTTTTACATGGAGCTAGGCTTGCATTGATAGGCTGTAAGCATTTCCATGTATGACTGCGTTAGTGGAACATGTAATCCCTCTTCACAGATACTGTATTAACATCTGTGGGAGATAGGGTTTCTCTTTCTGTTTAGAGTTTCTCTGTGCCATCATGTGCTATCATATGGCCTGGGTGTACTTCTTTGTCACTTGAAGACATGTATGTACCGTATGAAGTGATCCCCCTGTAATTCGAGCACTCACCTGGCACCACGCCTGGTATTGCAGCATCGTCAACTGCGTCCCCCGTGCTGCACTTCGCAGCCCAGGACTGCTCGGTAGTGGCCAGTTTGTATTCTGGTCCCTTCACCTTTTCACCCGCCTCCAAGCCCCTCCTACCTGCAAGCTTCAGTTTGTTCTCCTATCAATGAGTTTGTTTATTTTGTTTGTTCATTTATTTTGTTTTTTAGATTTCCACATGCAAGTAAAATCATATGGTATTTGTCTTTATCTGATTTATTTCACTTACTACCCTCTAGGTCACAAGTAATAAGATTTTATGCTTTTATGTGGACAAGTCATAGCCCACTGTACACACATACCGCGTCTCTACTCAGCCATCTGTCAGTGGGCACTGGGGTTTTGTTTTCTCAGCCATTCAGCCACTCATGGTCTTTTGATGGGAGCACGTAATCCATTTACATTTGAAGTCATTATTCATAGGCATGTAGTTATTTCCATTTTATTATTCATATATATATATTTTAAAGAAGTCTATTTTTTTTATCCTCACATGAGGATATTTTTCCATTTATCTTCAGATAGAGAGGGAAGGAGGGTGAGAGAGAAAGAGACAGAGAGAGAGACGGAGACATCGACTGCCTCCTGCATGACCCCAGCCAGGGCCGGGGACGAACTGCAACCGAGATATGTGCCCTTGACTAGAATCGAACCCGAGACTCTGGTCCATGTGCTGATGCTCTGAGCGCTGAGCCAAACCAGCCAGGGCTTTAAAGAAGTCTCTCTCACATTTCCTGCATTGCTGATCTGGTGGTGATGAACTCCAGTACCTCTTTCTTGTCTGGGAAGCTCTTTATCTTTCCTTCAATTCTGAAGCATAGCTTTGCTCAGTAGAGTGATCTTAGTTGTAGGTCCTTGCCTTTCATTACTTTGACTGTTTGGTGCCAATCCCTCCTATCCTGCAGTTTCTGTTGAGAAATCAGCTGACAGACTTAAGGGAGCACCTTGTAGGGAACTGTTTTTTTCTTGCTGCTTTGTCTTTAACCTTTGGCATTTTAATTGTGATGTATCTTGGTGTGGGCCTCTTGAGTTCAGTGGTGCAGACGTCCTGGTCACCTGAGTCTGTTGTACTTGAGCCTTGATTGCTGTTGGCACATCAGTGGGTGGGATTGATCGTCAGGCTGCTGTGAGGACTGGCTGTGACTAGCTGACAAGCTGGTATGCAGGGGCTGACTCCATGGAGTGTTTACTGTCGCCTGACTGGGGCCTGAGGAGTCCACCCTTTGTGGAGCTAAATGGGTGGTGCTGCGAAGCCCCCCACTGGGTGTGTTGGTTCTGGGGCCTTTTGGGAGGGACTCTGTCCAGGCCCACATCAGCTGCTGCCTGTGCTCACCTCCCGGCCACCTGAGAGGAGCTCCAAGGTGATCTAAGGTTGGGAGCTGCCTATACTGGGCTTGGAGGTGCCTGGGAGAGGCTGTGCTGTGGACCAAGGCCAGTGGCCACTACCCTTGGACTTGGGGCTGCTTAGGAAGAAGTACAGGGCACATCGAGGCCAGGTGCTGCTCGTTTGGGTCTGTGGGCCTTCCAGTCCACAGCATGGGCCAGCACCAGCCACTCACCTGTAACAGCCTCTGACCCGGCCTGAGCGCTAGTTGAGTGGGGCGGGTCCTGAGGGAGTCACCAGGGTGGGTGAGTTTGATGGAACTCAGGTTTGGCTTTGGCCTGTGCTGCCAGCTTGCTGGGGAGGCCTTGGCTAAGGGACAGATGGCGGAGAAAGCTGCCCTCACATTGAGCACGTCCGTTAGCCAGTTAAGTCTTGTGTGGGCCCTTTAAAAGCAGCGCCTGGGACTCCAGCAGCCGTCCTACTCATCCTGGACCGAATCCCTGCTGATTCTCATAGCCTCGGATTGTGGGGACTTCCCAGCACTGGGACCCTGGGCTGGGGAGCTTGGTGTCGGTCTGGGAATCCTGGCTCTTCAGGGCCCAGATATCCCTCCCGATTTTTAATGCCACACGTGGGTGTGGGACCAGTGCCCTCGCGACCCTGCCCTTCTACCAGTCTCCATGTGGCTTCTTCTTAATATCCTTAGTTATAGGACTCTGTTCAGCTATAAGGTGATCCTCAAAGGTGGCTGTCCCATAGTGTAGCTGTAATTTTGATGTTGTCATGGGAGGAGGTGAGCACAGTGTTTTCCACTTGGCCATCTTGACTGCAAGTCCCCTCCCTGCTGCTCTCTCACATCCTGTTACTAATTAGGAGTTGTTAGAGCTAAATGTAATTACGGATGTTTTTGGTTTTGAAGGCAGAAAATACTTTAATGGGATCGATAATTAGGTTTGAGGATTTTAATAGAACTTTATATTTAAGAAATGCTTAGCTTAAATTTAACTATATACCTGTATCTTATATATCCTATATATTGGGGCAGAATCTCTCAAATTTAAATGTAATTTGTTATAGTGTTATTTTGGGAGGTTAATAGTAAAATCAGCCATGCTCAACATATTTTTGGGATGATATTATAAATGTAAAAAACTTTCAGAGGTGTTTTACCAAATTGATATTTTAATCTAACAATATTTATATTTTCTTTATAAGGTTACATTGTTTTATTTAGAAGTTTTATTGAATTTTAATCTCAACTAAAGAGTGTATATAATAAAAAGAAGTCAAATACTAATTTCAAATGCTTGTCCAGTAAATTTCTAACTTGGAATTAGGTGGTTGAAGGAGGTCTGGAATTTCTGTACTGAAATGGAGAAAAATATAAGACTTTTTTTTTTTTTTGCAACCTAGAGTATTGGGATAATTGTTTTTAATAACATCTTTCCTGAAATCACTTTATCAGCTTCTTGGATGAAGCATAAAATAGAGCTTGCTTTTTTCCCATGGTGGTATACATTAAAACAAAGAAACATACACTTTTTAGATTACTGCCTTTACATTCTTATTCCTCTTTCAAAGTAAAAATGGAATTAATATTGCATACACAGTTTTCTACAATTCCATTTGATTAATGAAGATTGCAGTTATTTTGTTCCCAATAGTGTTTCTATACCTTATTTTATTTATTTATTTATTTATCTATCTATCTATCCATTCATCCATCCTCATCGGAGGACATTTTTCCATTTTTTGTTTGATAGAGTAGGAGGGAGAGAGAGGAAGAGAGAGAAACATCGACGTCAAAGGGACAGACACATCGAGTGGCTGCCTTCCGCACGACCCCAACCAGGGCCGGGACGAATCTCTCAAGGCAAGTGCCTTTGATCGGAATCGAACCCATGAGTCATTGGTCCGCGGCCGATGCTGTAACAGCTGAGCCAAACCGCCCAGGGCTCTATACCTTGTTTTAAAATAATCAGTGACCAAATCTGAAGATTTGTATGTTTTGAAAATTTCTATTGTTTCCTAAGTCTAATCCACCGTCTTTTAATGCTTTTTCTAAGCCCCTCCTAAGCTAAGGTAGTTAATTTTGCTTTCCCCTTTCCACAAGATTTTTGGGTTACCATGGATCCCTTCAGACATTTTTCCTGAGGACGGTCCCCTGCAGTTCTTTCCCAGTCTGGAATGTGTTGCTGTGCTGAGTGTATGAAAAACGTGTTCAAATTATAATGCCCTGTGTCCATCGAGGAGGTTGTGTGTACATGTGCATTTGAAAGATCTGTATTTTCTTTATATATGTGTATGCACACACACTCAAGTAAAACAAGATCAAAAGATCAATATAAATAGCTATATAATAACTAAATTATGTCAGCCAGGTGTATTTTCTAAAATGTCAGAGTAGTGATTGTGCGTGGACATCCCTGATTTAGATGATTTTGCTTCTAATCAGAGTATTAACCTAGTGTTTTCAGAATTTCTTGCATATTTGTGGAAACGTGGGTAATTACCACTGGGATGTGGTTCTTATTGTTTCCCTAGTGGTTAAACTGTACTGGGGTAGAGGAAAGGCATGATACTCTTCTTCTTTTTAAGTATTGTAAGTAACTGAGTCAAAGTAAGACGGTTTTCTAGAAAAGTGAAAGGTAGAGAGGAGTGTAGGTTTGTAATAGGATGAATTTGTAAATTTGTTGAAAAGGAAGGGTCATCTGCGTATGTTGATGGCTGGTGATATTGTTTAAAAATCAAGGAAATGCATGATTTTAAATATTAATTACTAAAAGTCCGTTTATTAGAGGGTTAACACAGTTACAATGTTTGAATGCAAGGTGGGAGGAATTCTAATTTATTTCTGTTACCCTTTGCAGTTTTTATTTTCTGATGGAAGTAATGGAATTCAGGTCATACTCTAATTGGGCACCTTTAGGTTAAAAACCTTGTGTTCCTGTGTGACTTGCATCAGAACCTCAATGATCGGCATGCTTTCCTCTCAACCTTTTTATCTGCCATCTCTAAACTGTTCTGCAGCAGCTGCTGGACTTCTGTTTGCTCCCAAGTTGTCTTCTATCTCGAGTTGAAGTCCCAGGTGTTTTGTTTCTGTATCTTCTTCTTCTTTTTTTTTAAAACATGTTTGCTTGCTTGCTTGGTTTTCCATCTTAATTATAAAAGTGAATTTTGTTGCTGTTGAATTTTAAAACTTTTATAGAAAGCATTATTTACCAGAACTTGTATCAAAGACATTTTCTGGGGTCTTTCTGTGAAGTTGAAACTCTTGTGTTTCAGGATGAGGAGAACGCTAGTCATGACCTGTGAAATTGTCTGTAAGCAGAGCTGGAGTTTACTTTTCTGTGTGAGAGATGTGTGCCCACGGAGCTTAGCAGTCCTGGTGAAGGGCTGATGCGATGATGCTAGTCACCCAGTTATTAGATGCACCTCTCGACCCGTGAAACTCACGTTTAGTTGTTCTGCTGGAGAGAGAACGCGTTTGCGCCAATCCTTCTACATTCTCCCGCTGGGAAGCATGGGCATTATGGCTAGCCAGGCTTAAGAATGCTCTTGTTGCCCACAGTACCATAATGTCATTGATCTCCGTACAACAGTTGACGGCTTGGTTTTCATTTTATTATCAGAATGCTTTGTCTAACGGCCAGCTAGTTTGAGGTGAGGAGCGTTCTGGCTTGTCCAGAGCCTGGGGCTTCCACGGAGTCTCGGGCATCGCCTCGTGTCCGGTCCGCCAGGGAGCGGCTTGAGCACACGGCCCCGCTGGGTCTCCCCTCGGTGCAGGGGCATGGTGCGGAGAGCACCCTCCCGCCCTTCACGTAGCTCCATTTGCTTTTGAGTCTGCTGTTTCTTTTTTTGGGTTTTGTATTATGCATTGGATTTCATGTAGTATCTTGTAGATAGAATTTAGTTTAAAAACCACTGTTCTATAACCTAGTAGCTTGGTTCCTCAGCTCTGCTATGTGGTGAAATGAGGACAATGTAGTGAACTTCTCATGAAACAAAGTTTGTTTTTTTGTTGAATTCCTGCATAGGTCCTTTTTGATTTTGTACTTGGGCTTGAGTGTGTTTAAAGCCCTGCCATTGTCGCATGTATGGATATATGTCGACAAACCCTTTGTTAGTCAGTCCCCCGGTTTTTCTTTTGAAATGTTATCAATTTAGAAGTGTATAGCCCTGGCCGAGGTGGCTCAGTTGGTTGGAGCATCACCCCGTACACTGAAGGGTCTGGGGATTGACTCCTGGTCAGGGCTCATACCCAGATTGTGGGTGCAGTCCCCGGTTGGGGTGTGCATGGGAGGCAGCTGATCGGTGTTTCTCTCACATCAGTATTTCCTCTCTCTCTCCCCCTCTCCCTTCCTCTCTAAAGTCAATAAAACACATGTCCTCGGGGGAGGAGTAAAAGAAAAATAAGCGGAAAGGTTTGGGAGAACTGAATCTGGAGCTGAAGCCCCCTGGGCTGGGCTCGTCTGCTTGTGGTGCTGACCCGTGTTCCGAGTGAGATTCATAACCATCTTGTCTTCCGAGTACCCGAGGGACTCCCACACTGCAGTCATAGGGCAGCCTCTCAGGCAGCTCCTTCCTCTGGGTCGGCCCAGGGGATGGCGCTGTGCTCCGCCTTCACCTGGCAGCCGGTGCTTCCGAGAACCAGGGACCCGCCAGGCTCAGCCTGATCGCGCGCTGCTTCTGCCTGTGTCTGCAACACGGAGGGTTAGAAAGAGGCCTCGTGGTCTGCACTGAATATGCCGCGTCATCTTGCAAAAAGTCACGTCAGGGTTGTAGGGTTTTCGTGGTGCCGTTGCTAGGAGTCAGTGAACAGTGACTGGTAACAGGAGCGATGCATTTGTTCAGCAGTCTTGGTAATAAGGAGATTTAATTGCATTTCTCTTTGCTCTGGTGACCCTTTCATTTTTGTCACGGAGATTGTCAATATTCTTAAATGTGAAACTTACTTATTAGAGCTTTATTAACTTAATTTAGATAGAGTGGTGTTTTTATATTTTTACTGTATTTAAATTATATGAAGTATTTGAAGCTGATAAAATGCTAGCTTTTGTGATACTGTATTGAAATGATTCAAAAATCAGAGAACTCGTAAATGGTGATATTAAAGCATGAGTTAATGGACTAAATTGTATTTTAAATGTAATATAGTAGCGCTGGCTGGTTTTGCTCAGTGGTTATAGCATTAGCCCACAGACCAATGAGTCGTGGGTTCGATTTTGATCAAGGGCATGTACCTTGGTTGTGGTTGGTCCCCGGTCCTGGTGCAAGAGGCAACCAGTTGATGTGTCCCTCTCACGTCGATGTTTCTCTCTCTCCCTCCCTCTCACTCTATCTGAAGATGAATAGGAAAATATCCTTGGGTGAGGATTAAATAATAAATAAATGTAGTATAGTGTTTTTCTTAGATTAGACCTAGACATGTGTAAGATATCAGCACTAGGGATGGTTGACAATGAGTTGAGAAGCTTGGTCAAAGGTATCTGTGTCAGCTACACAATTATTGAGGTGCACTATTGGTTTAAAAATGTATTGGGGACAATTATGCCCTGGCCGGTTTGGCTCAGCGGTTGGAGCGTCGGCCTGCGGTACAGAGAGACCCGGGTTCGGTTCCCGCTAAGGGCACGTACTTCGGTTGCAGTTTGTCCCCGGCCCTGGTTGGTCGTGCGGGTGGCAGCCACTCGATGTGTCCCTTCACGTCGATGTTTCTCTCTCTCTCTCTTCCTCTCTCTCCCTCCTGCTCTATCTGAACAAAAAATGGAAAAATGTCCTCGGGTGAGGATAAAAAAAAAAAAAAATGTATTGGGAACAATTAGATAATAATACCTAAATGTCACTAAGGTTGAATATTTTTATGTGTGAATAAGTCTGTGTATTTTAGATAAAGGCCAAAAATAATTTGTAAAATAATTCCAATTTGGCTTCTATCATTATGTAACACCACATTCATGATGGCATTCAAAGTATATGTTTTAGGTGACTGAGGTAAAATATTAGTTGGAAAACTTTATGCCGGTTGTTGAGACCAGCATGCTTCAATGTGATACCGTCAGCGGACGGCCCGAGTGGCGCTTCCTGGCAGGCCCGCCACGCAGCAGACGTGCCCGGGCCTGCACTGGGCGCTCGCGCCTCCCGGCTTCCGGAGGCCGGCGCGGTGCACCCGCTGAGCGCCCGTGCGTTCCGCTCACGCGTTTCTTCACGTCGAGACCCACGCGGAGTCTGGCAGTGATGTCGTCTCCAGGCATCACCCCACCACCCAAGAGAAAGTGAAAGCAGCACTCTTTTGTCAGACACCGGTCTAAACATTTTACTTGGACACGCAAGTCCTGGACCAGCACAGAGGAGATACCCTCATTCCTATTTGGTGGATAAGGAAACTGAAGCACAGAGATTTAATCAGTTATTCCAGGCCATACAGCTCATGTATGGTGGAGCAGGATTATTTTAATCTGGTAGTCTGAAGGGGGAAAAAATCACCCTTAATTTATCAGGCTTTTTTTTTTTTAGTTAAAAATTTTTTTCGTTATTGATTTTAGAGAGAAAAGGAGAGAGAGAAGGAAACAACAACCAGCTGCCTCCGGCACGCCCCCCACTAGGGATCGGGCCCACCACCTGGGCCTGGGCCCTGACCGGGAATTGAACCAGTGACCTCTTGGTGCAGGGGTCGACGCTCAGCCACTGAGCCACACTGGCCGGGCTAGTTTATCAGATTTTTGAAGAAGTCCCATGTCCTTATTACTAGGTTAAGCAATAAAAATCATGGAGACCTTGGGGGAAAAAGAGTCTCATGTAGTTTTGTGACTGATTGTAAATTAATACATTGTTTTATACTTTTAACCCTTTCTGATTAAACTTACATATTTTCTCCCTAAACCTGCAGGAATATCGAAAACAGAAAAAAAAGTGAAATTGGAAGAAAAAAGCTCAACAGCATTTGGTATGAACAGAAAGTAATCTTTAAGCAAAAGACTATAGATGGCTTGGAGTGGGAGGACTTGGTCTGTCCCTTACTTTTACTGGTAGTGCTTGCTCCCTTGAGTGTGAGCGGTGTTTGAGAATGTGTTAGTGTTGTTCATCTCCAGATCGATGCTTTCTTTAATGCACATTTTATAGTCGTTCGTATGTGTACTTTTGTCAATGGAGTTTAAGGCTTTCTCTGAGAACTGTGTTTTTAAACATCTTTAAAACTATGGCTAATTAAAAATAAGCTGCCATTTAACATTGTTGAGACTTTGAGAATGGATGCTAAACTAAAATAGTCATTTTTTTCCAGGCTGTCTTCTTTAAACTACTGCATAAAAAAGTTACTGAGTTTTCTGCTGTCTTTTCTAGTGTCTGTGCTATATAATGCCTAAAATTTTTGGAATAATGCATGATAGTCTTAAATATTCTACAAATTACTTACCTGGAGCTTGGGTCACTGAGAGCTGATTAAACATGGGTGATAATTTGTAGGCTAACCCATTCTGAGTTGGAATAGTAGTTGAATATATGTGATAGATTACTTTTAAATAAAATATTCTAGGATGCTGCTTTAATATCGATTTATAAAGTACATATGATTGGGAAAAAGGAATAGTTTTAAATTTTAGAAAAAGTGAATTTAACGGAATACGTTTTTTCTTTGTGTTTTTAGTGTTCATTCTTGTACACATTGGGGAAATATTGAATGACTGAAGGAATTATTTATGGGTTGGTTTAATCTCTTTTATTTTTCCAAAGTAAAAGATCATCAAGGTTTTAAAGATCTTCTGATACATTTTAATGAAATGATATATGGAAATGCGAGTCTCCCAGACAGGGCTTAGATGATGGAGCTTATTTCTTGCCACATCAGGAAGCTGAGTTCTATTACTCGTCTAAAGGTGTTAACTGCTGTCTGTGTTAACTTCAAGGTGTCAGGAGTTGGGATTTCTCAGCACTGCTAATGAAGATCCCTCTTATAGTCCAATAAGCTAATCAGGAGCTCCAGACTCAGGACAGAACAGTTTAATTGAACCCATCCACTCTGGGCAGGTGACTGACTGGCACAGCTGATTAAAACGTAAACGCTGCTCTAGGGTGAGCACAGGAGTGGCTCGGGGCCAGCCAGGCTTGCTCACTTGCCGCCTCCTGTCTTCCAGGCAAAAGGAAAGAAAAGGATAGAGAGAGAAAAGAGAAGAGAGACAAAGATCACTACAAACCAAAACAGAAGAAGAAGAAGAAAAAGAAAAAGAAATCCAAGCAGCATGGTAAGTATGTTAACATGGTGATTCCTTTCTTTTTATTGTTTTATTCTGGGATTCTTTCAAATTTCCTCTCCTTTTACCAAAATGGAGGTCGGATGAGATGGGCGCTCTGCTCACGCTGCCCGCGCCTCTGTCTGCATCACAGCGCCAGTGGGCTCGGGGAGGGCGGTGGACTCGTGGCACGTCCTCCTCTCCTCGCAGACTGAGTGACTTTCTGCTGCGTTTAGGATGGGGCCTAAGCGAAACACCTTGAACCCGATCTGGCTCCTGTCACTCCAGCCTCACGTCTTCCCTCCCGTGCTTCGTGCTCCTGCCGTCTCACATGTGTCCTTGCACCTCGTGCCCCCTGCTTCAGAGCCTTCCACGTGCCGAGAGCCAGACCCCCGGTGTCTTCCATCCCCCGCTACACCCCACTGTCCTGGAGGCTGCACACGGCCTCTCCCCTGTCATCTGCCTGTCTCATTCCACACTGAGGACAGAACTTGGAGGGATTTCTTTCAGGACCAGTTAATTTCATTCACAGAATTTTTGCTGAAGAATTTGTTGATCAAATGATCACTATAATAATAGATATGCTAGACATGAAAACATCTTTACATATTGCAAAAAAAAACCAAAAAGGGTTATTGCACATCTTCCTGCAGACATAGCTGTGATTATAATGAAGAGAGAACGTAGAAGTAATCACTTTTCACCCAGGACTGCTCCACACGAATCTAATGGGGCCAGTTACCTTTAACACGGTGAACTCTGCTGCGCCTATGCTGTCGGGCAGTATTCCAGGTGTCCCTGCCAGACCCAGTCCATCACGGGAGGGAGCGGTGGCATGAGTGTTCTGTGTCCTGACACGTGGCCGTCTCCTTATCTTTACAGTGGCTCTTCTTGATTACCTGACACTACTGATATTTCTTTATGTGTCTTATATTGCAGACTATTCAGACTATGAAGACAGTTCCCTAGAATTTTTGGAAAGGTGCTGTTCTCCACTAACTCGATCTTCGGGTTCTTCTCTGGCTCTGCGAAGCATGTTTATGGAGAAAAATACAACATATCAGTACCCAAGGGCAATTCTGTCTGTTGATCTCAGCGGTGAAAGTATGTGTAACTGTGTAATGCTTAAACCAAGTCTTACGATTCTTAAGTATAGAACTGAGGATAAAACGTACTTTATGGAGGGCTTGTCTGGGTACAGGGCACACAATTTGAAAAGTTACTCTATAATATGGAAATGTCAACATTAGAACTTTGAGCTACTCTTTATATAAAGTAAATTTGGCTTTATATACTTAGTTATAGGACAGATGGTAGGAAGAAACTCTTAGTTTCTACCACATTCTGGTTTTCCTTAGGTGTTTTTACATATATTTTCATATTCTTCACTACCAGTTTATAAAGTAAATATTCTTATCCACACTGCAGAGATTAACAAGTAGAGTTTGTATGTTAAGTAACTTTTGGGGCTAATATAATTAAAACTCAAACCAAGGTCTATCTTAACTCCAAAGATAATGCTTTTTCTCCAAGCATTTATCTTAGTCTTAAAAATGGACTTTGATTTAAAAAAAGAAAATCAATTTTAGAGAGGAAGGGAGAGAGAGAGAAACATTGATGTGAGAGAGAAACATCTATCCACTGCCTCCCACATGCACCCTGAATGTGGATTGAATCTGCAACCTGGGCATGGGCCCTGACTGGGAATCGAACCCAACACCTTTTGGTGTACGGGACAACACTCAAAACAACTGAACCACACTGGCTAGGGCTGGACTTTGAATTATTATTATTATTTTTTTAGAAATGTTTTTGCCGATTTTTTATTTTAGAGAGAGAGGAAGGGAGAGACAGAAACATTGATGTGAGAGAGAAACATCAGTTGGCTGCTTCCTGCACGCCCCCTACTGGGGATCAAGCCTGTAATCTGGACATGTGCCCTGACCAGGAATAGAACTGGGACCTCTCAGTCCATGAGATTACACTCAATCCACTGAGACACACGGGCCAGGCAGTACTTTGAATTCTTGCGTATAGATACATTTGTAGCCAAAGGTGTAAGATGCTGGTCAGAGGCCCACCGGGTGTGGCTCGGTGGTTGAGTGTCGACCCTGCACCAAGAGGTCGCCAGTTCGATTCCCGGTCAGGACACATGCCCAGGTTGTAGGCCTGATCCCCTGTGAGGAGCATGCAAGAGGCGGCCAGTTGATGTTCTCTCTCATCGATGTTTCTATCTCTCTCTCTCCCTTCCTCTCTCAATAAAGAAAAAATATTAAAAAAAAAAAGAATGTGGTCAGAGCAGTGACGAGCACAGTCAGGCCCTAGGCAGCCTTGTGGGCGGAGGCCGGTGAGGAGGCGAAAGCAGCCTGGAGCCGGGCTCGGGCTGTGAGTCCTGCAGGGGAGGGCGCTGGGACTCTTACCATCGTGCTCTCAGCCGTGACAGCAGCGACTCCCAGCTCTAGACACTGACAGTAGTGACTTGAGACTAGAACTCCAGCAGCATAGGGCCTGGAGTCAGCGTGAAGAGGAAGGGCCGGGTTGTCTTACGTGGAGCCCCGAGAGCTCACTCCCTGTCTCTCTCGTGCGCCCCACAGGGTAGCGACCAGGGTATGTTGTCTTTTGCACAGTTACTACCTGCTGTCTTCCAAACTACCTCCTCTCCTGCTTAATATAGAGAAAAGCATGTTCCTTCCTTTACCCTAAAATAACCACACAGCACTTTTGAGAGTTTCAATTTAAAAAAATTGAAAGAAGGAGGATTAGGAAAAAGTCAGAGCCCCCCCCCCCCCCTTTCCCATTTATAAATACAAACCTGAAACCTGGAATTTAAATCAAGTTGTATGTGGTGGTCCTCCATGTAACCTAATTTCTAGAATATAATTACTAATATTCTAAAAAATTTTTATCAAAATGGAATTTTAAAATTCCTAAGGGAACTCATGATCCCGGTATAAGGCATGCTGGTGAAGCCGTCGGGCTCACAGGCTTTAGAGTCGGCAGGCCTGGTGTGCAGTGGCCTTTGTCCCTCGCTGTCTGCATTACCTGCGCGGTTACTTAGCTTCCATCTACAGTGCTTAGCATCGTACCTAGTGCATATTAAGTGCAGCGGTAGCCGCTAGTACATTGAGAATATTGATGCTAGACCCTGGCAAGCCTCTGCCTCTCACAGGCGCGCTGGTACAGGTAAGGAAGCCTGTTCTCTTTACCAGGAGGACCAGGAGGGGAGCGTTTGGGAAAGCACTTGGCAGCCTATACAGATTTAAATTATTAATATCAACCCTAGCTGTAACCTCTGAACTCCAAGACTAGGGGATACTTTCTGAGTTACCTGTAACAGTGTTTACATTAAGATGTAAAGCCATCATGATTACCCAGATTTTAAAAACCATTTGTTTCTTTGTCCAGGGATCATCTATTCCCATTTATTTGCCCTCAGTTGCTAAATATGTGATAGCTTATAGTCACTTCCCATAAAATAGAAAAGTATGCCAAGTGTACTTTATGTATATTCTAGACTTGACAGATGTGGAATTCCTGGATGACTCTTCAACAGAGAGTTTGCTTCTGAGTGGGGATGAATACAATCAGGACTTCGACTCTACCAATTTTGAGGAATCTCAGGATGAAGATGATGCTCTTAATGAAATTGTGCGATGCATTTGTGAAATGGATGAGGAGAACGGCTTCATGATCCAGGTAGGCTGCCTTCCCTGCAGTGCAGAGGTCGGGCCCTCAGGTGCTCAGCAGGTGCGCTGCGCTCTGTGCTCCCTGCTCACTGGCCTGTGGCAGTGCAGGTCTCTAACCGAGGCTTACTGCCCGTGGTGATGACGGGCATCTCTTCCTCAGAGAAGTAGGCTTCTTACTGGACGAGCACGCTCCCTTTGCTCGGGTGTGCCGTTCGAGGCCTTCAAGCTGAAATTCATTTCAGGAGCTGTTAAGAAGATGGGTAAGCGTCACACTGACGTGTGGACCATGGCCCTCCGTCACTGGTCTGGACGCTGTGGGCGCAGTAATGTGCTCGTGGTCTCCCTTCAGCGGGCACCTGCGGCAGCCGTTCCCGCCGTGCCCGGGTCAGGGGAGCCTCATTGCGAAGGCAGCCGTTACACACAGCCCCTCCCTCGAGAGGGTCTTGAAGGGAACAGGGAAGCCTAGCACATATTTTGTGATGACATTCGGAAGATTTAGAGATGTTAGTTATAGGAATGAAAAAATAGTAATCTCCTTGCCCCTCCCCCTTTTCGGTAGTTTTCTCAAATAAGGGAAATTTACAAGTTTACAGGTAATACTTGAAGAGAGTGTTGTTATGGGCACAGATACAAACTTGCTTTTAAAAGCTTCTTTTATGCACTTAAGCTATTTTTTAAGAGTTTAAAACATACAGTTGCCAAAAATCAGTGGGAAATAGATGAGAGAACTCGTTTTATGACTTGATGAATCAAGTAATTTATCAAAGCACATCTTAATGGGAGCAACAAGAGGAAGTTCCTGAAATAGTTGACTGTTTCAAAAATAAAGTTTGCCTTCCGCCCTCACTTGCTCTTGCTGGGGAGCGAGACCGAGGAAGGGCCTGCGGGGTCAGCGGTGACGGGCTCCTCTGTCTCCGCAGTGTGACGAGTGCCTGTGCTGGCAGCACAGCGTGTGCCTGGGGCTGCTGGAGGAGAGCGTCCCGGAGCAGTACACCTGCTACGTCTGCCGAGACCCTCCGGGTAAGACTCCCCGCCGCGCGCCCGCCTGGGCTCCTGCTGCTGTCCGCAGGCGTCAGCGGTGTGGCGCTGCTCTGTCCCTGCCGGCTAGACCGCCTCCGTGGTGAACTTTCCAAATAGTTTTCATATTAATGACCGGGGCAGAAACGTTACCGAAAATTCATCGCCATCGTTCGTTCCTTACTGGAAGGACAGAGTTAAGGCTTTTTCCTGGAGAGGAATTAGCCCCTTAGTACACTCCCATGTACTGATTTCTAAGTAGGTTTAGGCATGGCTATTTCAATGGAACCCTGTTCCGAACCTACACTTCTGACAGTTCTGTCGAGTTCCAGTAGTGCGGTATATCCAACGAATTTCATCACAGTTGGCATCTCAGATTGTCACATTCGGTTCTTTACTTCACTGCGGAGGCCGCAAGGGCACAGCAGGTCAGATGTCTTGTGCAGAGGGTAGTGGTGGACGTGGCAGAGCCCAGTGAGAGCCCGCTGCTTCGGAGTGCTGCTCGTTGCTCTCCACCCTCCGACAGCGCTCTGGACCCCGCTCCGTGCACCGTGTGTGCTTTCAGCTTCGGAGGCAGAGAAAACTAGATATTTCATATGAGAGGCTGATGACTTGTTCTCGTGTCTATAAACAAATGAAGTAACATTAAAAAGCAGGAGGATATGAAGGTAGATGTTTGTCCATTCGTTCAGCAGCATTTACTGGGTGCCTTCTGTTTGTTAAACACTGGGAAGAGGTAAGATGATTGATTCTGATGACACCTTCCACTGTCTCACAGTGTAGTAGGGGCGCAGAGCCATAGCCAATCATAGTAGGAGGTAATTACTGCAGAATCAAAGATGCACGTCACATGGGTTCTGCCAGATCTCAGACATGGGAAGGGTCCCTAGTCACATATCTAGAACTCTGTTTTATCCACGTCACCACAAAGGTTAGAGAAGCATGTGTCCCTGTCTAGTTTCTGTCCAACCCTTCAAGCCGTTTAAAATTTTTTTTTTCTTTATTGAGTTTAGAGAGGGGAAGGGATGGGGAGAGAGAGATAGAAACATCGATGAGAGAACATTGATTGGCCGCCTCCTGCGTGCCCCCCACTGGGGATTGAGCCCTAACCTGGGCATGTGTCCTGACTGGGAATCGAACCGGTGACCTCTTGGTGCATGGGTCAACGCCCAACCACTGAGCCCTGTAAGCCCTTTTAGAGGAAAAATGACAGAACGGAAAGCAGTACACTCCAGGCTCCCCTCGCAGGAGTCATCGGTGCCGACACTCCTTCGCGGAGCCTGTCCTTCCCGGGCAGGAAATCCTCCCAGTGCAGCTGCTCCTTCACGGAGCCTGTCCTTCGCGGGCAGGAGGCTCTCCCAGTGCAGCTGTTCCTTCACGGAGCCTGTCCTTCGCGGGCAGGAGGTCCTCCCAGTGCAGCTGCTCCTTCACGGAGCCTGTCCTTCCTGGGCAGGAGGTCCTCCCAGTGCAGCTGCTCCTTCACGGAGCCTGTCCTTCGCGGGCAGGAGGCTCTCCCAGTGCAGCTGCTCCTTCACGGAGCCTGTCCTTCGCAGGCAGGAGGTCCTCCCAGTGCAGCTGCTCCTTCAAGGAGCCTGTCCTTCGCGGGCAGGAGGCTCTCCCAGTGCAGCTGCTCCTTCACGGAGCCTGTCCTTCGCGGGCAGGAGGTCCTCCCAGTGCAGCTGCTCCTTCAAGGAGCCTGTCCTTCGCGGGCAGGAGGCTCTCCCAGTGCAGCTGCTCCTTCACGGAGCCTGTCCTTCGCGGGCAGGAGGCTCTCCCAGTGCAGCTGCTCCTTCACGGAGCCTGTCCTTCGCGGGCAGGAGGTCCTCCCAGTGCAGCTGCTCCTTCACGGAGCCTGTCCTTCGCGGGCAGGAGGTCCTCCCAGTGCAGCTGCTCCTTCACGGAGCCTGTCCTTCGCGGGCAGGAGGCTCTCCCAGTGCAGCTGCTCCTTCACGGAGCCTGTCCTTCGCGGGCAGGAGGCTCTCCCAGTGCAGCTGCTCCTTCACGGAGCCTGTCCTTCGCGGGCAGGAGGCTCTCCCAGTGCAGCTGCTCCTTCACGGAGCCTGTCCTTCCCGGGCAGGAGGCTCTCCCAGTGCAGCTGCTCCTTCACGCAGCCTGTCCTTCGCGGGCAGGAGGTCCTCCCAGTGCAGCTGCTCCTTCACGGAGCCTGTCCTTCGCGGGCAGGAGGCTCTCCCAGTGCAGCTGCTCCTTCACGCAGCCTGTCCTTCGCGGGCAGGAGGTCCTCCCAGTGCAGCTGCTCCTTCACGGAGCCTGTCCTTCGCGGGCAGGAGGTCCTCCCAGTGCAGCTGCTCCTTCACGGAGCCTGTCCTTCCCGGGCAGGAGGCTCTCCCAGTGCAGCTGCTCCTTCACGGAGCCTGTCCTTCCCGGGCAGGAGGCTCTCCCAGTGCAGCTGCTCCTTCACGGAGCCTGTCCTTCCCGGGCAGGAAATCCTCCCAGTGCAGCTGCTCCTTCACGGAGCCTGTCCTTCCCGGGCAGGAGGTCCTCCCAGTGCAGCTGCTCCTTCACGGAGCCTGTCCTTCGCGGGCAGGAGGCTCTCCCAGTGCAGCTGCTCCTTCACGGAGCCTGTCCTTCCCGGGCAGGATGCTCTCCCAGTGCAGCTGCTCCTTCACGGAGCCTGTCCTTCGCGGGCAGGAGGTCCTCCCAGTGCAGCTGCTCCTTCACGCAGCCTGTCCTTCCCGGGCAGGAGGCTCTCCCAGTGCAGCTGCTCCTTCACGGAGCCTGTCCTTCGCGGGCAGGAGGTCCTCCCAGTGCAGCTGCTCCTTCACGGAGCCTGTCCTTCCCGGGCAGGAGGCTCTCCCAGTGCAGCTGCTCCTTCACGGATCCTGTCCTTCCCGGGCAGGAGGCTCTCCCAGTGCAGCTGCTCCTTCACGGAGCCTGTCCTTCGCGGGCAGGAGGCTCTCCCAGTGCAGCTGCTCCTTCACGCAGCCTGTCCTTCCCGGGCAGGAGGCTCTCCCAGTGCAGCTGCTCCTTCACGGAGCCTGTCCTTCGCGGGCAGGAGGCTCTCCCAGTGCAGCTGCTCCTTCACGGAGCCTGTCCTTCGCGGGCAGGAGGCTCTCCCAGTGCAGCTGCTCCTTCACGCAGCCTGTCCTTCCCGGGCAGGAGGCTCTCCCAGTGCAGCTGCTCCTTCACGGAGCCTGTCCTTCGCGGGCAGGAGGCTCTCCCAGTGCAGCTGCTCCTTCACGGAGCCTGTCCTTCGCGGGCAGGAGGCTCTCCCAGTGCAGCTGCTTTTTCACGGAGCCTGTCCTTCGTGGGCAGGAGGCTCTCCCAGTGCAGCTGCTCCTTCACGGAGCCTGTCCTTCGCAGGCAGGAGGCTCTCCCAGTGCAGCTGCTCCTTCACGGAGCCTGTCCTTCGCGGGCAGGAGGCTCTCCCAGTGCAGCTGCTCCTTCACGGAGCCTGTCCTTCGCAGGCAGGAGGCTCTCCCAGTGCAGCTGCTCCTTCACGGAGCCTGTCCTTCGCGGGCAGGAGGCTCTCCCAGTGCAGCTGCTCCTTCACGGAGCCTGTCCTTCGTGGGCAGGAGGCTCTCCCAGTGCAGCTGCTCCGGGCGCTGCTGGCTGGTCTGTTCTCTCACCGGGCTCGCCTTGCTTCCAGAAGGGGTGCTAGAGGGTGGCGGCTGAAAGGGAGCCTGTAGGGCTCCTTTGTGACTGACACCACTTCCTCTACAGGTCAGAGGTGGAGTGCAAAGTACCGTTATGACAAGGACTGGTTGAATAACGGGAGAATGTGCGGGTTATCGTTTGTAAAAGAAAACTATTCTCATCTTAATGCCAAAAAGATAGTGTCCACACACCACCTTCTTGCCGACGTGTACGGAGTCACGGAAGTCCTGCACGGCCTGCAGCTGAAGATCGGCATCCTCAAGTAAGTAGGGCCGGCCGGGCCGCTCTGCGGGAGGTGGTGCTGCACGCGGCTCGCCTGGTCTTTGAAAATCAGGGGAGCAGTTTGGAAGGCAGAATAGTTATTTGAATGAGTTTTAACTTACAAAAGGAAAGCTGAGTGACTTTTGGACGACAGTGACCGAGGAGTGTGAGCGTGGCTAAGGTAGGAGCAGCCTGAGACCAGCGTCAGTCCCTGCTCTGCTCACACGCACACAGAGCGCACTGCTGCCGTGAGCCCTGCCCGACGGCCTTCGGGATCCCGTCGGATGAGTCAGCGGTGTAGTTTCAGTTCAGGGAGTGACTTGGACGGCTGCTGGCGGATCACTCATCCCCCCTCTGCTGTGCACCAAGTGCGTGTTAGTCGGCCCAGACACTGTCCCATAGAAGCCCCCTTCGCCGCCTCAGCAGACTCTCTTGGGCAGTCCCTGTCAAATACAAGTGTGCATACAGCATCAGCAGTCCACATCCCCAGAGAGTCTGACTGACGTGCCCACCTGTGTGCAGAGGTACGGTCTGTCGGGGTTGGCTGGAGGGGCAGCTGTGGTACGTTAACACTGCGTGGCCGCTAGACTGAAAATCAGGAAATCTGTGTGCTGACGTCCAGACGTGACCGTGAGGAACGCAGATGGTGTGCGCTCCACTCGTGGAAGATGAAAGGTGTGTGCCTGCCCCTTTCAGAAGAGTTCTGTGTAGACACAACGTGTGGGTGCCACCCCGGCACGTGGCATTGCCATAGCTGGGCATGTCTGCTTCGTACGAGTTGTAGTCTGACTTTTTTTGTCATGAGCAGGTATCACTTTTTGATTGAATAAAGATTTTAAAATATGCTCACATGAAAGTTTTTCATGTCATACAATTAAAAATATAGTAAAAATTCAGTTGTAAAAGAAATGCATGTATCAAATGATGAGAAATATCAACAAATTTAATTATTATTGCTTTTAACCCATGAGTACTGTTTCTATAAAATTATGGGAATTCACATTTTGGGTGGAATTTGGGGGCAAGATAACCTAAAGAATATCTTTGTTTTAGTCTCGAGTCCTTAGCCCCTCCTAACCCCTCAGGGCCAGCAGGGGCCTCCCTGGACAGCTGGGGGCAGTCGGCCTGGTCAGGCACACTCAGCATACAAAAGGCAGGCATAACCAAGGGTAACTGCATACTTTTACACTCTGAAACTTATGCTATTAAGTTTCTTTTTGAATTGCTATTTCTCCCACTTTGCTTTAAGGAATAAGCACCATCCTGACCTTCATCTCTGGGCCTGTTCTGGGAAGCGAAAAGACCAAGAGCAAGTCATTGCTGGGGCAGAGAGGAAAACAGCGGCGCAAGACACGGGTAACCTTGAGGACAGGAAATACCACGTGCAGAACCATAAGGAACCCCCACGTGTGCCCCTAAAGATGGAAGGAACCTATATCACAAGTGAGCACAGCTACCAGAAGCCGCAGAGTTTTGGACAAGATTGCAAAGCTCTTGCAGACCCCGGGAGCTCAGATGATGATGGTAGTAGTTTTGAAGAAGAACACGAGTTCCACAGGAGAGAGAAGAGCGGTGGCCAGTACTCGGTGAAAGAGGATGGGATGCCTGCAAAGGTACGACTAGTTCCTGTGCCTTTGCTCAGGAAATGTGATAGATCAGCAGAGGAAAAGAAGAACCATACTGAGTTCCCAGATTTTACTTCCATTTCCCAGTTCACAAGTACCTTGTTAGGGTAAAGACATTTTTTCTTTCTTTACAAGAAAACGCTAGCCATTTGGACATTTAATTATCCCCTAACTTAGAATTGTTGTATTTCAGTGAACTATGCCCCAATAGAAGTTTCAATTGTATAAGCACACCTCGATAGCCACAAAATAACCGCCGTTATTCCAAAGGAGAGTGTGTGTGAGAACACCAGCGTGCACGTGGGTGTGCATATAATTTCATACGATTTATCATTTTTATGTGTTTCAGATAAAAGGTGGTGCTTGAATCCTCCTTTAAAAACATTAGCATATTTGTCAGTTCCATTATGCAGTAAGTGGAATTCTGAGAGCTCTGTGTACCGGGAATATCTGTGAACTTATTTTTTTTTTACTGGGATTGTCTTAGACACGTTGTGTCTTCATTTTCTAGAAACTGAATTTCAGTTGGTAATGCCACTTTAAAATTAGGTCTTTGTCTTCCTTTATCAAGTAATCACTATAACTAAATATTTGACTGAATTTGGGAAGCTTGTATTTCATAAAACTTGTGGAAATGATGTTGTCAAGTTAATGTCCCTTTTATGAAACGGGTTCTTCCTGAGCTCAGACGTGCCGTGTGCACTGAGCGGTTTGCACCGGCCAAGTTTTTTAAAAGTTTATTTCTTTATTTATTTTTATTCTTCACTTGAGGATATTTTCCCATTTATTTTCAGTTCGAGTAGGAGGGAGAGGAGGAGAGAAACATCAATGTGAGAGAGACACATGGATTGGTTGCCACCTGCATGACCCTGACCAGGGCCGGGACAAACCGCAACCGAGGTATCCAGGCCCTTGACTGGAATCGAACCCGCGACTCATTGGTCCGTGGGCTGACTCTCTAACCACTGAGCAAAACTGGCTAGGGCTCATTTTATTAATTAATTTATTTTTGTTATAGATGTTTCTTCTTTTTCTCCCATTGACACCCTCCTCAGACTATACCTTTAAAATTTTTAAAGATTTATATCTTTCTCTTGCCTCATTGATTTCACTGTCTCCATTAACTGGTCTTTATGTTGGTCTTTGTCAGCCTCCTTGGTTTTTCCATCATTGCTTTTTCTTGTTTTTGGTATGTGCCCCTAGCAGGAACTGGACCTGGGACTGTGGTCCACAGGCCGACGCTCCAGCTGCTGAGCCAGACTGGCCAGGGCTCCATCTTGCTTTTTTGCCGCCATTTACTTCTGTTACCAGTTTCGATGGATTAAGGAGGGGTCAGTCTAAGTTAGCTGGGCATTCTAATTGTAGAATAGCATTAGTGACTTCATTTATCTAGCATGTTTTAGTCAATGCCTTGACGCTGTGGCACTTTGCTGCTGGGCGTTGTGGAGGGACGGAGGGGAGAGGTCCACCCTTAAGAACCATCAGATGGACTTTGATTATGGGCTGTAGTTCCTTTACAAACATCCTGGGATGCCTGGTGCGTGTGGCCCAGGGGACTGAGTCTTCCCGTGGACTGAGAGGTCCCGGTTCGATTCCCGGTCAGGGCACATGCTGGGTTGCCGGCTTAATTCCCCATGGGGGGCGCATGCTGGAGGCGACCCATTGGTGTTTCTCTCTCACATTGATGTTTCTAGCTCTTTCTCCCTTCCTTTCTCCCTAAAAAATTAATAAAAACAAAGAAATAAATAAATAAAAACGTCCTAGGAGTTTGATTGGATGTCACTGATCTTTGCAGCTGATGAGGTGTTTTAATGTATCTTTTTCTTTATGACAATACATTACATCCGACTCTTTATTTTTTCCAATGGTTTCTTGGAGAAGAATGCAGCTGAAAAGAGCCCGGTGTTTGTCTGTAATGACAGAAAGGGCACCGAAGACCCCGGCGACGCACACCTGCAGTGGCAGCTGAACCTCCTGACGCACATCGAGAACGTGCAGAACGAGGTCTCCAGCAGGATGGACCTCATCGAGAAGGAAGTGGATGGTAATTGGAGAGCTGGGATGCAGTTACCGCAGTGGGAGGGGTGTGTGTATTGTTATGAAGACTGTGCGAGACTTAAGTTGTGGGCTGGAAACTGCAGCTGCTCGCCCGCCTGCTGGGTGCCCCGCCCTCCTGCTGGGTGCCCCACCCTCCTGCCGGGTGCCCCGCCCTTCCCAGTGCCGGAAGCCGGCAGGCCGGCCTCAGCGAGACCGGGGACTGGTTTTTGTCGTTTTTAAGGTGGGTATTTATGAAATATTGCCCATCTGCCAGGCTCACTGTGGAGCACATATGGGGTATTTATTCGTTTTACTGTGTTTTCTTCGGATGTCTGCATAAGCACTTGAAGCATATTTGAGATACGGGGGAAAATGTTCTGAAGTTTTGTTTTCACACTGGTCACATCTGTTAGGAAATGGACGACAACAGAAAACTCCTGCAAGGTTTAGTAGGTCAACTTCAAGTTTGCATACAAATATATTTTCCACTTGATCACACAGGAGCCCTGAGGAGTAGACAGGAAAGATAGTAACCCCACTTTCTTTTTATTCCTCACCTGAGGATATTTTTGTATTTATCATCAGATAGAGCGGGAGTGAGTGAGAGAGAGAGAGAGAGACAGAGAGAAACATCGATGTGAGAGCACGACATGGACTGGTTGCCTCCTGCACGAACTGCCGGGGACGAGCTGCAGCCGAGGTCCGTGCCCTTGACTGGAACCGGACCCGCGACTCATTGGTCCCCAGGCTGACACTCTAACCGCTGAGCCAAACCGGCCAGGACAGTAGCCCCACGTTGTAGTTGAGAAAGGAGAGTCACTGAGATCACCCGGTTCCTAAGCCAGTGTTTTCCCTGTGCTTTGACTCCTGATCCTCCCCTAGTCTCAGGGTTGCGTCCCCTCCTCTCGTTGATCTGCAGAAGGATGTGCCTTCCCTCTGCCTGAGTCACTCCACCGCTCCGTTCCCTGGGCAAGAGGACGTGGGGACTCGGTTCAGAAGCATCTTCCACTTGGTTATACGTTAACCATAGAGTTAGTTTAATGATTTAATTTGTAAAGAGAGAAGTTCAGTGTGACACTATCCCCTATTATTATTTTTTTTTTTTTTTTTTTTTTTTTTTTTTTTTTTTTTTTATCCTCACCTGAGGATATTTTTCCATTTTTTGTACAGATAGAGTGGGAGGGAGAGAGGAAGGGAGAGAGAGAGAGAAACATCGATGTGAAGGGACACATCGAGTGGCTGCCACCCGCACGACCAACCAGGGCCGGGGACAAACTGCAACCGAAGTACGTGCCCTTAGCGGGAACCGAACCCGGGCCTCTCCGGACCGCAGGCCAACGCTCTAACCGCTGAGCCAAACTGGCCAGGGCTCCCCTATTATTATTAATAAAAATTGTAGAGTGCAAATTAATTGCATTCTGCCTAGACTTCTAATATGCTTGAATATTTTTAGAAAAGTAATGAAATATTGAAAAAGGACACTGGGAAATTGCCACCTCCTTTCCTTTGTTAAAAATGAACTTATGGATGTAAAATAAAAATGGTTAGAGTAGCTAAGTTTCCTTTAAAGTGAAATGGGGACAGTTGAAGCCTCGATGAGGAGGCAGCGAGCACAGGGCACCGTTTCCTGTTCCAGAAGAGGGTGAACGGAGGCCTCAGCGTGAGGTTAGTGTAGATACAGGGAGGGGAGGACTGTCTGGAATGACAGCGGCCTCAGGTTCCAGGAGGGCCTGGGGCCTGTGGGACAGACGTGCAGCTGCTGTGCGTGGCTGTGCGTGTCGCCCTCGAGAGAAGGGAGCGGGTCCGTCTCCGTCTCCTTGCCACCCTTCAGGTCATGCTGCTTGTGACTGTTCCGTTCCATTCACATTGTTTGTTCTCTCTCTCAGTTCTGGAAAGCTGGCTGGACTTCACAGGGGAGCTGGAGCCACCGGACCCTCTCACGAGACTGCCCCAGCTCAGACGCCACGTCAAGCAGCTTCTAATGGACATGGGCAAAGTGCAGCAGATCGCGACCCTGTGCTCGGTATGACAGCAGCGAGCACGTGCGGAAGGTTCTCACACCACGATACTGCCGGGCGGGCATCGCAGAGCGGAGTGCTGTCTGGTCGTGTGTTGATTTGTGACGTCAGGAGGATGGCACCTTATAAAGGAAACGAAGAACAGCGATCAAGGAAGCTACCATGAAGACATTTACGGCCAGCTGCGAATGGTAGTGTGTTCGATCCAAGGATCAGTGACAGCAGAGCACAATCTGTGCTGAGGGAGCTGAACTGGCAGGATGGTTGAGAGAAATATGCTGTATTTATATTGTTTTAGTAAGAAGACCCTCGTTTATAAACCAGCATTTGGCCAAAACCAAAATAGTAGAGGAAACCTACATCCTGTAAGGCGCCCTAAGGACTGTCCCCTGCAGTCGATCAGCTGCGTGGAGGTCAAGGGTTTGAACTCATAGGGCTGTGAGCTGTTTCTTAGGTGACGAATGTGCACTGGAAACTGACAGTGGCATTCTCACTTCTGGGGGGAGCAGCTGTGGAATCTTACTCCACTCTGATGTGTTCTAAAAACACCACCAAATGATTGGAATTTATTGCGGGCATTAAGCTCATTGACAACAAATGGGTTGCAGAAGGTCAGTGCCAAATGAGGACGATGCGGCCGGAAAGAACCTCAGGTACCGTGGGAGTTCCCATCGTACATATGCCATCGGTCCTTCAGACACGTGTGTCGCATGTTCCATGTGATAGATGGTGACTGCAGCATGCCGCGTCCGTGCACGTGGGACCTGCGCGTGCTGGTGTTTGCCTTCAGGACAGCGGCAGCAGACCCCGAGCTGGGACGATGAGGGACAGCGGGCACGGCCGTCTGTGGCCGCGTGTTTTTAACTGCTGGTAGTGGAATACTGGAAACGCTTCATTTCCGAAGATGCATTTTATTTTTAGACAATACATGCACTCAGAACTTGTAGCTTGGATCACAAGTGGACACATTTCTGAAACCAAAGGCAACTAAGTTGCTGTGTCAGCTCTTGCTGGAGTCCAAGCCCAATCCTCCGTCCGCAGTGCTCAGCTGTGTGCCCGGCGCCGCGGGCGGACATGGGGACGCTCGTTTGAGACAAACACACGACGTGCGTATGTGCATAGCCCACACGTATTTATATCTACACACACCTAGTTTTATTACTATAGACTGTAAGAGTTGGTGGTTAACATGAAATGTTACCTTTTAAAGACTGTTTTTAAAAATTAAAAATGTATGTACAGGTTTTGAAACTTTTAAAAAGGGGGAAAAGGACTGGTGAGAGGAGCTGTTTGATGACATAACACTTGAATATTTTGTCTCGTTCTGTGTGTCAGTTCTAGCAATCTGTATAAATGCATTCAGAACTGACAGACAGGAAACTTGAATTTATCTTTGATAAGAATTCATGCCACTGTACATTCAGATATTATTTAAATTTGCAAACACTGTTCTATATGTAAGGTACTGTATGTAAAACTTTATTAAAACTATTCCACATATCTGACAATTGCAGCTTGCTTTTTGCGGCCTTATATTTTGATGTCAAGATAATTCAAAGAATGTGCAAAATAGTCATTAGAAATTCTCTTGCCTTTTGCAATTCTCCAGTGTGACAGGTGCCAGAGACCTGAGGGCCGGGAGCGTAGTGGAGGGGACATCTTGGGGTCGTCTCTTCAGTTGCATATTAAAGTAAAGGGTGCCTGTATCCCACATGTGGGGTACATGTGCTGATGTCTGCATTTCAAGAGTGATACTGTATCTTTCATTTGTGCCTAAAAATAATAGCTCTGATCTTTTCCCTATGGTGGTAAAATTCTAGACATTGAATTCATATCTTCTTTTTCGCAGAAATGGAGCAAGTAGCCTCCTTAACCTATGAATAAGGATTCTTGATGCTAGGTTCTCGTCACACACAAAAAAGCCCCTTTGTACCTAGTAACACTGATCTTCTGGATCCCTGGGGACCCTGGTTGAATTAATGGGCATTTGATCTTGTGTCTTAAACTCAGGTCACTGCCTTTGTCAGCAGCAGCAAACTGCAGTTCTGACAGATTGCTAAGATTTCACTCTGCTTCTGTGTGTATCAGTTGAAGTCTGAATTTTTTAATTTAGATTTTTAAAGTAAACATGTATCAAATTTATTTGTATGTACATACTCATTTAATGCAGAGTGTATCAACAATTGGTCAAAGCCTTTTAGCAGCTAGTGGGCTGAGCTTCCCTTATTTAAAGACAGTGTATGTCCACCGGCCAGTGTGGCTCACTGGTTGAGCGTCGACCCTGCACCAGAGGTCGCTGGTTTGATTCGTGGTCAGGACACATGCCCAGGTTGTGGGCCTGATCCCCAGTGGGGGGCGTGCAGGAGGCGGCCAATCAATGTTCTCTCTCATCGATGTTTCTATCTCTCTCTCCCTATCCCTTCCTCTCTCTCAAATCAATAAAGAGAAGAAAAGAGTGTATGTCCGTTGTGAGAGGTTTCAGATGAGTTCATTTTCTTCCCACTTAGTCTTTAAAAAACCACAAGTGTGTGTATATACACTGAACAACAAACTAGAAGAGGGTTGTTTCTTGAAAGGTAACTTCGTTGCTGCCCAGACAGCAGAGTGAGTACGGTGGGGAGCAGCCATTCAGTGCGTTCTGTTACTGATAGATACAATGGTGCTTCCTCATCCTGGTGTGTGGCTCTACCGAGTTACTGTTTTCAAACCTCAGGGTCATGCCCTCTCTCCTTTAGGGAACTAGGTTGTTCTCATCATTTGAGGTAAAGCCCCCTTTCCCGACTCATTTCTACAGACTCACTTCCGGACGGTCCTACTCCACGTGCCGGAACAGCCCGTCCCCTCCAGGCGCCGGGTCTCCTGCTGACCTCGTTCTCTGCCAACAGCCTCTCCTAAGCGCGCGGCTTGAAGCTCGGTCTCCCCATCGCTGCTGCATCACTGGGTGGCTGGGTCCTCAAAAGGGACGGTGTCTTCCCACCTCTCGGTCCCCCTGCGAGTACACCGTGACTCATACAGGTCATGTGGACGCATCACGGCTGGATCTGGACTTGTGTCCGTGAGGATGGGACAGTCCCTTCCAGCAAGAGGATGGCCTGAGCCAGGCGTGTGCAGCTCCCCACCGTCTGACTTCGCTGACCCTTCAGGTTGACATTTTCCTGGTTCTTGGTATGATGAGTGGTTTTGGGGCCAAACCTGGCCGGTTGGGTATGGTGTTAAGGAATTCTAGATCTCATTTAAACTTCCTGTTTCAGTGGAGCTGACCATGGTGGTGGTCGACATGGGACACCACCTCGGTGCCAGGTGGGGACAGAACCCACATCTGGCTGCACCTCTGCTGACACCTGGCAGGGATGTGCTCCTGCTACCTGCCGGTCAGGTGGGGCTGCAGGCCCCCCCCACCCCCGGGCCTGTGTGCTGGGCGGGGGGATGCCTCCTCATGGCTCCCCTGTGACCTCCAGGGACTCCGCTGGGAGCTGGACAGCTGATGGGGTTTTAGAATGTGAAGAATGTGAAGTCTGATGTGAAGCCATTTCCTCCCCTGTGTTCCCCGTAGTCCCCCTCCCCCAATGCTCGGTAAGGACACGTCGTACGGAGCACACCCGCCTCAGAGCAGGAAGGGGTGAGGGAGAAGCCGACATGGTGGTGTTTGGGGCCAAGGAGGGTTCAGAGGCCAGCGGCCCGAGCAGCAGGAGGCTGGTGAAGCCAGGCCAGGGCGTGGCCACCTGGAGTGACCGAGGAGCTGAGTCATGATGAGAGGTGCCGGGCGAGGGGCAGTGCCCAGGCGCGTCCTCGGCTCACCGCTCTGCTGCGTGGTGGAGAGAAGCACCTCTCCCGGGGGCTGTGTGCGTCTGCAGGGACGTTCCTGCCCGCTGAGCTGTTTCACAGGCGCCGGGCATCACCCTGCTCCAGGGGGGTCTGAGGGGGCGTCCGCTCACACGGCACTCTTCATCTCAGGGGTGCGAATTCCAGTGTCCCCAGAGCGCCAGACCCAGTGGAGCGGAGCTGCCCTGGCTGGGGCGGGAGGCGCTGACCCACTCTGTCCCCAGGGCCCAGGCCAGCGAGGATGACGCAGCACGGGCAGCCCTGTGCGCGCTGTCCCTGCACTTGGGGTGGGCTTGCAGCCGTGGGCTGTGACTTACATTCCCGTGGCAGGGACCTGCTGCTGGCTCTCCACAGCATGGGCGATCGCTTGGTCCCTGCAGTTGGGGCAGCAGGCGGCCCGGTCAAGGGAGTTCCTCCTCCTCGGTTTTCTTTACCAGAAACTACCAACACATCTTCTCAAATCACCTAAATCTAAGTCTCAGTCATAGTTACGCCTGCTCCCCGTGGCTAAGTGGTCGCCAAGGCCTTCCCGTGCTTCCTCCAGAACACCCCAGGAGTGTGTCTCCATCCCCAGCAGCTGGAGAAGCAGCCTCCGGGGCCCAGGCTGGGAGTGGGGAGGCAAGGAAGAAGGCTCTGCTGGTCGGTAGTCTGGAGCTGGGGGGCCCGAAGGAGCGGGGGCAGTGAGTGTGGAGGAGGGGCCCGTGCCCAGGGAACGGGAGCGAGGGCTTGTTGGTAGGGTTTGGAGGCTGATGAGACAGGAGGGCAGAGGTTGAGGATGGCACTCAGGCTTGTTATTAGACAGCAGCAACATGCCAAGGGGCAGTGTTAGAAGTGTTGGGAAGCTCCATTTGGGACGTAGGGAATTTGAAATGTGTGGAGCACCCACGCAGAGTGGACCAGAAGCCTGACAGAGAAGTCTGGCTGGTGCTGGAGCTCATGTTGGTGCTAGAGCTGGACCTGGAGCCGGTGCGAGATCTGGTGCTGGAGCTAGAGCTGGTGCTGGAGTTGGAGCCTGGAGCTAGAGCTGATGTTAGAGGAGCTCATGTTGGTGCTAGAGCTGGACCTGGAGCCGGTGTTAGAGCTGGTGCTGGAGCTGGAACTGACGCTGGAGCTGGAGCCTGGAGCTGGTGCTGGAGCTGGAATGGGTGCTGGAGCCTGGAGCCTGGAGCCTGGAGCTGGAATGGGTGCTGGAGCTGGAGCTGGTGCTGGTGCTGGTGCTGGAATGGATGCTGGAGCCTGGAGCCTGGAGCTGGAATGGGTGCTGGAGCTGGAGCTGGTGCTGGTGCTGGTGCTGGAGCTGGAATGGATGCTGGAGCCTGGAGCCTGGAGCTGGAATGGGTGCTGGAGCTGGAATGGGTGCTGGTGCTGGAGCTGGAGCTGGGGCTGGAGCTGGAGCTGGGGCTGGGGCTGGTGCTGGGGCTGGTGCTGGTGCTGGGGCTGGTGCTGGAGCTGGAGCTGGTGCTGGTGCTGGAGCTGGTGCTGGAATGGGTGCTGATGCTGGAGCTGGTGCTGGTGCTGGAGCTGGAGCTGGGGCTGGTGCTGGGGCTGGGGCTGGGGCTGGGGCTGGTGCTGGAGCTGGTGCTGGAGCTGGTGCTGGAGCTGGTGCAGGGGGTGGGGCTGGGGCTGGTGCTGGGGCTGGAGCTGGAGCTGGAGCTGGAGCTGGGGCTGGGGCTGGGGCTGGGGCTGGTGCTGGAGCTGGTGCTGGAGCTGGTGCTGGGGCTGGTGCTGGGGCTGGAGCTGGAGCTGGAGCTGGTGCTGGAGCTGGTGCTGGGGGTGGGGCTGGTGCTGGAGCTGGGGCTGGTGCTGGAGCTGGAGCTAGAGCTGGACCTGGAGATGTTGGAGCTGTGGGCTGGAGTGATTCCACAGGAGGCATATGCAGAGCAGGGTATCTCACCTTGTTTTAACCCTGTACCCTGTCAGAGTAACTGTTGAGCTTTACTTTCTGTAGTTTGTATCACAAACACAAAAATGAGATAGTAACCAACACTGAGTACTTATATCCAAGTACTGTTTTGAGCACTTTCCTGATGTTAACTCTTGCGATAGCCATAGCGACCCTGTCACATATACCAGGCACCGTTCTGAGGTCTGTTTCCGTCATTTCCTCCCCAGGCAGAGCGTGCTCCACCTCCCAGTGTCCTCCTGCCCATCACTCTCCCTTGAACCATGTCTCTCCAGCATCTTGCTCGCCCTGCATCTCCACTCAAGTGCCACATTCTCAGTGAGATCCTCTTTGCCCACCCACCCCCTGCCATCCTGACCTGTCCCCTGCCCCTCACCCTGCTGGGTTCTTCTGTGCACCTGTCTGTCCCTGGCACCATGTCATTTGCAAAGGAGAAAACCAATAGTAACAACCACCATTTCCTGGGCACAGACTCGTCAGTGTCTCTTGTATTCCCTCACAGCCCCCCTTGCAAATAGGTACACGTTATATTCCCCGTTTATTTCTGTTTCCTCAAGAGGGGTCTGGGGCTCAGGGGGACGAGGTGACCTCACCATGCAGGGACAGGAGAGAAGCCAGGAGCTGGCTTGGCATGCAGACTACAGCTTTGTGCGAAGACAGTCCCTGTTCCCTGCAGGCTGGTGAGGTCTGGAGACGGAACAGAGGGGCGAGGAGGGTCAATGTGAACACGAATGTGTGTGTGTGGCTTCCCTCACTAAATTCCTACATTCTATAGGACTGATTTTGCCTGTTCTGTTCTCTGCCATCCCTCATTGCCCAGCACAGTGTTTGCTACTGCTGGGCGCTAAGTAAATATTGGTAGGAGGACAGAAGACAGGAGGGAGGGAGAAAGGAGAGAGGAAGGAGGGAGGAAGGAGGGAGGGAGGAGGAGGGATTGTCTTTCTCTTAGGGCCTGAGCCTGTTGCCCACAAGGCCACAGAGCTTGGGCTTTGCTGCATCCAGATGAATTTTGAAGCCAGTCCCCAGCTCAGTTCTGCTCCCCCAACCCAATTCTGCTCCCCCATATCCTCAGCAAGACTTTCCTGCCCACTGGCCACACGAGTGTCCTCAGGGAGCAGACGCAGGTAGGGGAGCCCTTGTGACCAGCAGAGAAAACAGGGCGGGCTGCTTTCCCGAGTGCCCGTGGAAGGGGTGTGACCTAGCAGCTCCATAAAGCCGCCTGGCCCAGCCCTGGGGCCGGAGTGCTCGATCCCTTCGTCACCAGAAGGGCCCGGGACAATGGCGCTGGCCCCGTGGGTCCTCAGTCTGCTGGGCTCAGCCTGTCTGGTGTTGGCCAACATCTTTGGTAAGTTCCTAGCCCAGGGCCATGCAGTAGGGGGAGGAGGGAGCTCTCAGGCCAGAGCTCCAGTTAGCCAGGCTCTACCCCAGGGCCTTTGAACATCTATGAACTCATTTAATCCCCACAATGTCCCCAGGTAGGTTATTTGCTCTTCCCTTTCCAGATGGAGAGACAGAGGTTCTGAGAGGTGGACTGAGTTGTCTGAGGTCACAGAGCTAGTGACTGGTGGACAGGAGATGGGAAACCAGATCTTCCTAATTTAATCCCAACTCCTGGCATCCCGCACTGTTAGTACTTTTTTGACATCGATGTTGTTTTTTAAATTAGATTTTCTTAGCTATCTCAAGGCCTAGTGAGCCATGAGATGCTTAAGGGATCCCATCTTTGAGTGGTCAGCAGGTAGGGGAAAAATCGACCTGTGGAGCGAAAATAGACACGTACTGTTCATGGCTCAGCCACCTACCGTGTGACCGAAAGTCTAAGCTGCAGCTCCCTCGTAAAGGAAGTGGACAGCACTTACCTTCTGACACGGTCGCATCTCCGAGTAGGGCCCTGCATACTTCATGTGCTCGCGATGCAAATAAGACATGTGCAACTTATTACGTTAATTTGTATTTCTTTTTTTTAATATTAAAAAAAATTTTTAATTGATTTTAGAGAGAGAGGAAGGGGGAGAGAGAGCGAGAGAGAGAGAGAGGAAGTGAGAGGAGAGATAGAAACATCGATGAGTGAGAACATCGATTGACTGCCTCCTGCATGCCCCCCACTGGGGATCAGGCCCACAACCTGGGCATGTGACCTGACCGGGAATCGAACTGGTGACTTTTTGGTGCATGGGTCAACGCTCACCCCCTGAACCACACCGGCCAGGCTAATTTGCATTTCTACTCTGTGCCAGGAAGGCGCTCTGTTTTCAGGGAGGGCTTGAGAAGTTGGGGAACATCCCCTTCATGGTGTTCTGACCTAACCCAACCACAGCTTTGGGGACGTACAGTCCGAGGGTTTGTTCTGAGTCCTTCCCTTGCCATCTGTGTGACCTTGAGCAGGTCACTTTCACTGTCCCATCATGTCACCTAAACTGATGGAGAGCCCGTTCTCTCCACCCCACCCAGGAGTGTGCGGGGAATGAAATGAGCTACTGTCATCCTCAGCAAAGTGTGGATAGTTGCAAACTGCAGGTCGGAACCTAAAGGTTAGCGAGGATGCTGGAAACAGGACCCAGAAGGGTCTGTGCCTCAGGGGTCCCGTCTTTGTTCCGGGACCCGGGCCACACTACTCTGACGAGCCGCTTCCCTCTGCAGAATACCAGGTGGACACCCAGCCTCTTCGTCCCTGCGAGCTGCAGCGGGAAGAGGCCTTTCAGGAGCGGGTGGACTACGTCCCCCAGTGCACGGAGGACGGCAGCTTCCAGTAGGTTCCGCCAGCCACGACACGCGTGGGTCCCTCGTTCCCCTCTCCCCGGTGCTGTGCCCTTCGCTCTCCCCCTCTGCTGAGATGTGGCCCTGACATCAGGAGGTGCCCGCCTCTCGGTCCCCCAGGCTCATCAGCACTGGAGAGTCTCACCCAGGGCCAGGACCAAGGGCATCCCTCCCTTCTGCGCCCAAACTTCTAACAAAAGGTGCAAAGGATGGACTGATCCCTGTTTTGGTGGCCGCCTTCCCCCTCTTGTCCTTTTGAGAAGTCGGAGGTGGGGGAGCAGAAGCTGGCCCCCGGTCACAGGCAGAGGCCACCGCTGGGCTACATGCTGCTGCCTCCCCAGCGAGAGCTCCCTCCGAAAGGGCTTCAGCTGCCCTGCCGTGAGCTGGGCCAGCACCTCCCGTCCAGGCCTGCAGGGTCCCTGGGAGTTCCGGGTGGGGGAGGGGCGGGACGGCCCACCTCCCCTGGCTCCGGCCTCTTGCAGTTTCCATCCACCCTCCTCTCCACCCGGAACCACTCTCGTGACACCCAGTCACCCTGCCAGCCTCCGTGCAGTCACTGCTGCTGGAAACCCACACATGTACTTCCCGGGGTCACTGCCACCAAGGCCCCGCTCTCTGATCCCCCCGCGAGGTGTCCCCACCCCTGGCCCACGTCGGAGGGCCCTGCCTTCACCGTCTGCAGCCTCCCGGTGGCTGAGGCATCACACAGGAGGGGCATTTGCACGGGGCCTGTGGGCTGGGCTGCAGGGCTTAGCTCTTGCAGAAAAGCACTTTCCTTCCCCAAGCCCCCGCCCTGCCGCCCCAACCTCTCCGTCCTGTGTCCTGTGCATCATGACAGCTTGGAGGGCGGGGAGGGCAGAGGGAAGGTAACCGTGCCTGTCTGTGCCTCTCCTGCCACAGGACCATCCAGTGTCGGAATGACGGCCGCGCCTGCTGGTGTGTGTGGGCCGACGGCAGCGAAGTGCCTGGCAGCAGGCAGCCTGGGCGGCCCGCCTCATGTACGTGGAGGAGGGGGGGCGGGTGTCCCATGGGAGGGGCGCCTTGCTAGGGCCACACACATCTGGGAAAGAGCGCGGGGCTTGGCATGTGACCCGGCCGTGTCCCTATGGGCTGCGGGTTCTTCCTCTGGGCGCCAAGCTGAGTCCTGCACACAAGGCCCTGTGTCCGGCAGGACCCCTGTGAAAATCAAATGGGACAGTCGGGTCACCTGTTGAGCAGGTAGTTTCAGAGTCCCCCATGGGCCGGGCCTGGGCTGGCGCTGAGGTCGCCAGGCTGAGCAGACACTGAAGGGCTCTGACCCAGAGAGCTGCTCTTCTCGCCCGAAGTGTTTCCGGGACTGACACTCAGCTCACTTCCCGTTACCATGACGATCGTGCTGAATGGTCAAAGGAACAGTCCTATTCGGATCATGTCATCGTTCAGCCTAAAACAAAGATCAAGTTAAGCGGGTCACCTTTAAACGGTGAAATTGTTGAGCCTAGAACCAAGCGACCCTTTGAGGGGCTGTGTTTTGGGGGCTGGTGTCCCAGGGCCAGCCTGGCCGGCCTAGGGGCAGGGGCTCCCCACATCCGGCTGAGTACCCCTGGGCAGGTGGGCCAGGCCTGCGGGCCATGTGAGGGCTCCACACGGGGGAACCCCAGGCAGTCCGCGCCTATTCAGCATAATGTCACCAGTCCATCAGCTGAGGAAGCAGGGGCATTTTCACGTCTACAGATAAGGAGCATGAGGCACAGAGAGGTGAAGCGACTTCCCCAGGGCGGCACAGCAAGCACGTGGGGGCGGGGACTCGGACAAGCCCTGTTAGCAGCCAGGCCTGCACTCCCTTCACACCAGGGCGATGGGGCGTCCAGAGCTGATGGGCAGGACGGAGCCTGGTCTGCCCTGACTCTGGCTGCAGGACACTGGAGGAGTCTTGGGAGAAAGGGGGACCCTTGGCACGCTGGTCCCCAGCTGCCCCCAGCTCACTGGGCATCAGCCTGGTGGCCACCTCTGCGGTGGGAAGGACCACCTTCCCCACTCGGGAGGTCGTGTGAGTTCTCCTGGGCGAGGCCTGACGCTGCTCCTGGTGCCCCCAGGTCTGTCCTTCTGCCAGCTGCACAGGCAGCAGGTCCTGCTGAGTGGCTACCTCAACAGCACGGCCACCTCCTACGTCCCGCAGTGTCAGGGCGCCGGGGAGTACGCGCCCGTGCAGTGTGACGTGCGGCGGGAGCAGTGCTGGTGTGTGGACACCGAGGGGATGGAGGTGTACGGGACCCGCCAGCCGGGCAGGCCCACGCGGTGTAAGTAGCTCCTGAGGAGGGGGGGCAGCTTTCCCCACGTAACCCGGAGGCCGAGAACCCGGTCCTCCGCACAGAGATCTTATTTGAGGAAGATCTCCCCACTCCCGATATTTCCACGTGGTGTGGTCAGTATTCACTGGCTGCGCCTGAGAAACATCAGCAGGGTTTCGGTGACCTGGGTCTGTCTGGTCCCCAGCTGTCACGCGCTTGGCGCGGGTCTCCACCTGAGACCACATGGACCTGTTCACACGCAGGACGTGACCTCTTCCCTTGACAATGTTCAGGTCCGAGAAGCTGCGAGATAAGGAACCGCCGCCTGCTCCACGGAGTGGGGGACAAGTCGCCACCCCAGTGTTCTCCGGAGGGCGACTTTCTGCCTGTCCAGTGCAAGTTTGTCAACACCACGGACATGATGGTCTTTGACCTGGTTCACAGCTACAACAGGTGAGGGAGGCCTGGGCATGCGGGTGCTCGCCACGGGTGGGCGCTGCGAGGCGGAGGGCCTGGGCCTGCGGGGAGCTGAGGGACGCCTGACTCGTACACGCCGATCCGAAGGGGGACAGTGTTTTGAACAAAGCAAGCTGGCAACAGCTAAGGGAATTAAAAATGCATGAACACTGAGGCCCAGCCAGCCCATGGAGATGAAAACAGCAGGATGTGAGGACATGTACAGGGGTGTCTACTGCATGGTTTCACTGGCAGAAAGCCGGGAACGGAGTGCGGGGCGGCCGAGGTGCCCACCCTGGATATTCGTGCAGCATCGAGCAGAATGTGTTAAATTGCTCCCGTTGACGGGGGAGGGCTCCGTGGCATGTTATGGTGACGTGATACAAGATACCAGGTGCAGATACTAGGAAATGACTTAGTTTTCAGAAAACAAACAAGCAAAGGGCCCTTTTATGTGCCTATCTGCGTATACGACTGTGCTAGCGAGACAAATACCACGTGCCGGGTGGGGTCCCCCGCGACCTGCGGGCCGGCGCCGCTGTGCAGAAGGGAATCGGCCGTGAGGGAAAACACGGATAGGGCCGTATTTATGCTTTTTCTGGGTAAGTTGTGACTATACATGTACTTAGAAATCAATTTAAAGATGTCAATGACAAACATCAAAAGGGAGATGCAGGACGGATCTCGGCCCAGGTCACCAGAGCGCCTGGCTCTTCAGGGTGGCCGCTTGATTCTGGTACAGGGCCCGCACAGACGCAGGGGGCAGGGAAAACGGCAGTGTCCTGAGGACGGCCGCCCCTCCTTATCCGCAGTATCAGTTGCCCGAGGTCCACCGCCGTCCAAAAATAGGAAATGCAAAATTCCAGCCGTAAACGATTCATACGTTTTAAATTGCACGATGTTCTGAGTCCTGTGATGGCATCTTGAGAGACCTGCTTGGGGCGTGACTTAGCCCTGAGTCACTCAGGAGCCACCTTGGTGATCAGATGGACGCACTGTTGTGGTGTCGCTGTTCAAGCCGCCCCGATTTTATTTATTAATGGTCCCAAAGCACAAGAGCAGTGTGTGGAATTCAGATCCGCCACAGAGAAGCCGGAAGGGCTTCCCTTAAGTGAGAAGGTGAGGGCGGCACAGTTAGATGTGAGCGAGAAACCACATCCATGTAACTTTTATTGCAGTGCATTGTTACAATTGTTCCATTTTATTACCAGCTATGGTTAATATCTTCCTTGCTTACTTTATAAGTTAAACTTGATCATAGGCAGGTATGTGCAGGAACAGACAGTGTATATAGATAGTGTTTGCTACTCTCTATGGTTTCGGGCAGCCACTGGGGGTCTTGGAACGTATCCCCCACGGATAAGGGAGACCACAGTAAAAATAAATAAGAATATTAGGCTGAGAATACTGACAGGAAATCTCTTGGAGAAACTGAGCTTTTTTTTTTTTTTTTTTTATCCTCACCCGAGGACATTTTTCCATTTTTTTTTGTTCAGAGAGAGCGGGAGGGAGAGAGAGGAAGAGAGAGAGAGAGAAACATCGACGCGAAGGGACACATCGAGTGGCTGCCACCCGCACGACCAACCAGGGCCGGGGACAAACTGCAACCGAAGTACGTGCCCTTAGTGGGAACCGAACCCGGGTCTCTCCGGACCGCAGGCCGACGCTCCAACCGCTGAGCCAAACCGGCCAGGGCGAGAACCTGAGCTTTTATGTGGCTTCCAAAGAGCCAGTTTCTTTCCCTGTGTGAGAGAAGTGTCCTTGGGGCGGTGCCCCAGGGGCCACAGACCAGCAGCCTGTGAATGGGACCTGTCCCATAGATGGGGCTTGTTTGAGCTGCATAATGCTTAAAACATTGGGGGATTTTAAGTCGAACTCTGAAATTTCTGCTCGTGTAGGCGATACTAGTTGAACATTACCAATCGCATCTGTTCGACCTAACATGCACAATTCTGAATTCCTGATTCTGAAGAACCCGGTGGGGGCTGTGTGCCTTCTCCCGCAGCACCAGGACGCTGGCCCTGAACGGTTGCTTTTAGGTGGAGCACACACCCTCCAGTGCGCAGGGACCCTCCATGTCCTGTCGCTGTGAGCCCTGCCTGCGCCACCCGGCGGCCTTACCTGCCTGGCCCCGTAGCGTTTGCTGTTGTGACTCTCATTTGGATTCTGACACTGCTTGGCAAAGTGGCCTAGTCACTTACCTCCTCTGAGCCTCAGTCACCCCATCTATAAAACGAAGCCAAGTGCTGCTTGCTAGGGCTTGGTGAAGGTCCGACGAAACCTCGTCTACGAAGCCACTGTGAAATGGTAAATTATTATGCATCTGTAGGGAATTATGATGCATAGCCCAGCTTTAGCAAATGTAGATGAGATTCTCCCCACCCCCGCCCAGGCCCTGAGGATGGCCTCCTGTGAGCACATAAGAATCTCCACAGTCTGCTGTACTGATGCTCATTGATGCAAACTAATGCGCGCTCAGCTTAGGTTCAAATGAGTGGGTGCCGCATACAGGGAATCTGACATCTTTTAGCCCACTTTAAATCTTACAGAAATAATTGGATGGACAATTATGGTCTCTAGCATACAATGAGGAGTCTGAAACACCAGAGGTTAAGGATTCGCCCTAAGAAGCACACTTAGCCCCTGCTAGAGCTGCCTGGCACCGAGCCTTGCACACAGTAGGCCTACAAGCTATGCTTACAGTACCGCATCAGAGAACCTTGTGGGAGCCAGTTTGAGGCGCACTTCCCAGCTCCTTCCACAAGAGGGCAGTCGAGTTAAATGCAAACGTTCAGGATTCAGCAGCCATTGTTTGAGACAGACACAAACATTTACTGCTGAAATGGGATCCTTTCTTTTTTGTAAGCGAGCATGTCTCAGAGCGAATTTTGATTTAGGAAGGTCATGGGAAGGGTCAGGCAGCCGGTTACTGGAAGCTCAGCCATATTCAGGCATTTTCTGATAAGCAGACCTGGGCAGTGCCAGGCCCAGCGACTCCACTGGGCGTGGGTGGCAGGAGCCCTGGAGGCCACGTGGAAAGTCTAGACTTAGCACCTACGGTTGCCAGATAAAAAAAAATACAGCATGGCCCATTATACTTGAGTTGAGAGAAGCACCGAGTACTTTCTTTAGAATACATATGTCCCTCCACAATATTGCACCAAGAATTTTAAGCCTGGGGTGGGGGTTGGGAATATCTTAATAACCATTGAACTTAAATTTAGAAAGAAAGGACTGGGATTGGAGAAGGGCGGAGTGGGTGCTGAGAGTAGGGGATGGAGAGGAGGGTGGAGAGATGGAGTGAGTTTGGAGAAATATTTACTAGGCGAAACCCATAGAACTCGGCAAAGGAATAGAGAGAGAGGGTGAGGGAGAGGAAGAAGCTAGGGTGAGTTTGGCTTTTCTTGGGCTGGCAGGGAAGGTGAGGAACCCAGTGAGGAGGAGGCTGAAGGCATGGCAGAGCCCCTCACGTCGGGGCGACACTCAAGTGCCCACGACGACAGATAGCGGAAGCAGCCGACCCACACGCTGACGGCCAGTTACGTGCTGGGGACAAGTCCCGAGTTCCTAGGTGGTGATACTGGTTCAGAAATCAGAGTGCACCGAATTGGATTTCAGGAGAAGGACGTCGAAGAAGATTCGGAGCCGGGACTGACGGTTGACCATAGAGCCGGCAGGGCCCTCTGGGCACCCCGCTTTGTTTACGTGGTGGCCTGTCCACCTGACTGGCTGCCATTGTCGAAAGAGCATCGGGCGTGGACTGGGTCATCTCGAACCGATCAGCTCTTTACCCTGAACCCCAATTTCCTCACTTAGGAAACGGAGCTTCGCAGGTGTTACTGTGCACATCGAATAAGTACAGAGAGTGCGTGGGGCAGTCGGCTCCCTCAGCCCGTGCCGCCGGCTGTTCTTTTATTAGCAGGAATTAACAGTGGCAATCATGTGGTTAGGCAGGGACTGGAATTCCGATGTGTCTGGCTCCAGGTCCTTGAATCCAGGAGGGACTGAAGAGGCCAGCACAGGTGTCCACCCCAGCAGGAGCGGAAGACAGCCCTAGAGAGGCTGGGAGGCAGTAGCTGGCCTTCGATGGTCTCCCCAGGAGAATGGGAAGGCCTCCCTCCAGCCGAAGACATGGTGACCTCCAATATGCAAGACAGGGGGTACGCTGAGGGTGAGGTCCATGCAAAAAGCACCGAGAGGGCCAGGTGCCAGGCAGCTCACAAGACTAGACACCCGGAGAGAAGGACTCTGACCCTAAGGTGATGGGATGAAAATGGCTCAAAGACCCTGCTGGCTGCGTTGGCCCCGGGACAGGACATGAGATGGGCCTTTGGGTGAACTGCAGAACACGGGACTAGAGTGACGTAGACATCCCATGACTCACCTGACGTGGGTTTCAGAACCGTCGACCAGCAAGGTGAGCCCTCAATGCGCTGATCAGCAGGTATGTCTGCATCGTTAGGTCTAGGTCAAGTTAGGGGTCAAGCATGCAGACAAGAATGTCGACCAGAGCAGAGTCACGTGACTTTCAGGAGATGGGGCCGAGCCCAGGCACGACCGAACACACACTGAGCAGCCCCACTGGCAGAGAAAGGTGTCCCGTGGAGCCTGAGACCAGGACTGGACCCTGAGCTCCCACCCGCCACTATTTTAAGACGGTGGTCAACATGCCTTACCTCTTAACCTTGAACATGGGGATCAAAAAATACCACCTTCCTTTTAGGAGTGTTCAGTGAATTAAACAAGTCCGTGGATTTTAAACATTTTGTGGATTGTCTTTTACAAAGTAGCGGCTGAATAAGTGAAAGTAATTCTTATAACTGCTAACAGTATTTTTAGAATTGAGTTATCCTAGGTTCCAATGAATGAGCTTTTATTATATTCCTTCAATCAGTGGCAACGGGCAGAGTGAGTTTGTAGTTTCTGTACGCATAACTCACGTACTGTAATTGTCTTTTTTTACGTACTCACGTACACAATCACAGATTGACAACATGGGAAAAAATCCATGATTCTGTAGTGCTTTCCTAGGCTTTTGAAAAAAATATTCATTTCCATTCAAATTAATGGATAACTGTTGCCTGGTGTGTTTTGCCTCCTGATATAGTTCATTTACAATCAATCACAGTGTGTGTACAGGTCATTTTGCATTCTACCCTTTTTATATAAGGTTATGTACACATCCATTTAGGGGAGTTACTATAATTGACTTTTTAAAGATTTTTTCCTTTTTTGATTTTAGAGAGAGAAGAAGGGAGAGGGAGAGAACGATAGAGACATCGATGAGAGAGAACATTGATCGGCCGCCTCCTGCACCCCCCCCCACTGGGGATTGAGCCCATAACCTGGGCATGTGTCCTGACTGGGAACCAAACCGGTGACCTCTTGGTGCAGGGGTCGATGCTCAACCACTGAGCCGCACTGGCTGGACTCTAACTGACCTTGGTTTTCCTATCGTCTGACACAATGTTGCTTCAGTAGATTGCTACACTGAATTCCGCAGCAACAGTGGAACGCTCTTGGGTCAGAGTGTCACTGCTAGTTTGGGGATCTATTTGCAGACTCGGGTAGAAACGCAGTAGGTTGGGTCTCAGGAACTAGCTACATGGGACACAAAACAGACCTCTCAGTGCTGCAGAGAGCTGCACAGCTCCTATCCGGCGGCTCATTGTCCACGGGAAGGGCTCCTTGATGCGGCTTTACTGTCGTCTCAGATGACTCCCAGGATGGGGACCCAGCCGGTCAGCTCCCGGTAGCCACCGCCAGGTCAGACATCATTAGGTGCACTGCTCCCCACCTTTGGAAAGGGTCGCCTCACCCTTGTGAGTGATGTCGGGATTCTGCGTGTTTTTCCAAACCATGGCGCTGCGAAATGTCCTTCTGAGAATTTCCTGCAGGGGAATCTGGCTCCTTCGCAAGTTCTTGAAAGCTTGCTAAGGGCTCTGAAGTCCTTTGATCTCCCGAATGAGATCATCTGCCACGTACCACATGTGTGTAAGCGAATGGGGCGGGCCTTTCGTCTCCGGAGTTCTACTCCGGTCCGGGAGCGCGCCAGGCGATGTTCATGGCCTGTGCCCTGCCTGCCCTACGAGGCACAGGCTTGGGTACAAGTTGGTGTCGGGCCAGGAGTGGGGAAAACAGCTAATTAGTAGAGGACAGCAAAGCACAGCTTTATTTAAACAGGCTCCCTCGGGCCAGGTAAAACCAATTTACATTGATGGCAGGAAGCCTGGAGCAAATGGCGGGAGATAAAAAAAAAAAAAAAAAAGGACACCCTCCTTTTGCCGGGATGAGACGAGGCCACACTTGTTTCTCTCTCCGGGAGGAGCTCGGGGTGACCATCCATCTCCCTCTCCTGTAGGTTTCCAGAGGCCTTTGTGACGTTCAGCGCCTTCCGGAGCAGGTTCCCCGAGGTGTCTGGGTACTGTCACTGTGCTGACAGCCAAGGGCGGGAGCTGGCTGAGACAGGTGAGGGCGCCTCGGGCCATCCGGGGAGCCTGGGCCTTCTTCCCTGCAAAGCCGGCAAACCTTCCTCCAGGGCGTGTGGATGTGCCTGGGAGAGAGGCGCCCTCTACCGGGTGCAGCTCTGAGCCTCCCGCCTGCCCTCCCTCCAGGGCTCCTTGTGCTGTGAGCAGCTGGCACAGCCGTGCCCAGCAGCCCTGACTGGGGAAACCATTGAACACGGTTCAGACCCGATGCCGATGCCCAGTGATGCCGGGAGGGCTCGGGTCCTCTGAACACCTGCTGGGGGTGGGGTGGGTGGGTGGAGCTCGGGTCCTCTGAACACCTACCTCCGGTACCAGATCAGGTCCTGCTTTTGGTCTGACTCCTGCTGTCTCTGCCCAGGCGTGGAGCTGCTGCTGGACGAGATCTATGACACCGTTTTCGCCGGCCTGGACCGTGCTCCCACCTTCGTGGAGACCGCCCTGTACCGGATCCTGCAGAGACGGTTCCTGGCAGTCCGCCTCGCCCTCTCCGGCAGGTTCCGATGTGAGGAAGGCCCTGGGGCTCCAGCGAAACGGGGCGGGGGACTGGGGTGACCGTCACCAGCAGGCAGAACGTGTGCTCTGAGCGCACCGGGTGTGGTGACCGGCTCCCCTTTACCGTGGGTTTCTCCCAGGCCCCACAAAGTGTGAAGTGGAGCGGTTCACAGCCACCAACCTCGGCCACCCCTACGTCCCGAGCTGCCGTGGAGGTGGGGACTACCAGGTGGCCCAGTGCCAGCGGGGAGGACCGTGCTGGTGCGTGGACGCCCAGGGGAAGGAGGTCCCCGGAACACGGCGGCCGGACGCGTCGCTGCCCTGTGGTGCGTTTCCGATCCTGGGCTCCCTTTGGTCTCCTCAGGTCCAGTTACTTTGTTTCTCCCGACCAGCCGTCCAGGACCCGTGCGTTCTCCTACCGCACAGGCCCTTCCAGTGGACGGGACCAACTCCCTCTCCTCATTAACTCCTAATGCGGTCCTCCTGGGTCAGACCCAGCTTCTTCCCCAGGAGCTCGGCGAATACCCAGGGCACAGAAAAGGAAACACGTCAAGTTCTGCCTTCACCGGAGGTGCAATTACATAGTAATTCTACGAAAACCCTCCGAACAGGCACCCCCCAATGTCCAGGTGGGAATGAAAAGCTAGGGTTTCCCCGTTACAACCAAGAGTGCTGTCCAACGCACGGGTCACACACTTCTCCTTTTCCTCCTTTCCAGCCTGTTTCTGTAGAAACAAACGCCACATGGAACCAATATCTGATTTTTATTTTTTTTTGCCGTGGTAACACTACACACGATGGAAGGGCGGTGCTCTTCATTTGGAAGGCAGTCGGCTTGATTCCTCCGCGCCTTTCCGTAAAGCCATCCGGGGGCGCCAGGCCTCGGGGGGATGTCCGCGGCCAGCCTCCCCCCACCCCTCTGACCACATGTTCCCCTTCCTCCTCGGTCGCCTGGCGACGGAGGAAAATTGGCTGGCTCTCTTTTTGGCATCCTTGCGAACGGAGGGGAAAGAATTATTCCAAAGAGTTGGGGTGCTGGGTGGTTGCAAACCTCGGACAGTTACCGTTTCAGGGGGGAAAGTAGAGCGTCTTTGCATTCACGTAGGTAACCGGGACACTGGAATTTGAATTCAGAATGATTTTTCTAGACGGGATTGCAGTCAACCCGGGGTCTTCGGATAGAATGACCTGGCCTGAGTCAATCGTTATTTAATTAGTAATTTCAAGGAAACCTCTAGAAACCTAGAAGAATGTGCTAAGTGTGTTTACCAAATAGGCATCATATTATATTATTATAGAAAATGTCATATTTCCTATGACATGTAATAATCTATATTACACCATAGGAAAAATATTTCTTATAGGAAACACTAATAGCATGGAAAGTATGCTTTCTGTCCTCAAAGAGATCATAAACCAGTTAGCCAGGAATAGACTGCCCACAAGGAAGAACGAGGATGCCCCCCAAGCGAGTAATGAAGCGTCCGGTCCACGAGGGCTCGGAGGAGAGGATGCTGGGAAACCACACTGCATTAACCACAGGACTGCGTTGGTGTGCTCGCTGCTGGCACAAGCACCACGCTCTGGGGGGCTCAAAACAACAGGAACTGGTCTTCCGTAGTGCTGGAGGCTGCAAGTCTGAAATCAAGGTGTCCGCAGGGCTGCGCTCTCTCTAGGGCTCCAGGGACGCCCCCTTCCGGGCCCATCCTGGCGTCTGGTGGGGTCGGGGGATTCCTTGGCTTACAGCTGGCTGCATCCCTGCCTCTGCCCTCCCGTGGCTTCTTCCCTGTATGTGTGCCCACGCTATCACGAGGCCCTCTCATCCAGACACCAGTCCTTGGATTCAGGGCCCACTCTGATCCACTATGACTTCACTGTAACTAATCGTATCTGCAAAGACCCTCTTTCCAAATAAGGTCACATGCTGAGGCTCCGGGTGGACATGAGTAATGAGGGGGGGGGGACATCATCAAGCCGGTATGTGGGTGCCTGTGTGCGGTGGGGTTTTCAGAAAGCGGGCTATGTCTCCGAGCCTTGCCTTAGAAGGGGGTCGCTAGTGAAAGCCAGGAGAGGAAGGCATGTCAGCTGGAAAACCCATTCCCCAAAGAGGCCTCCGTGGCCGTGGCTCAGAACAAAAGCCACAAACAAAAAGACACAGAGGAAAAAGGTACGTAGCGTAGGGGCCCTGGATTGAGTTTTTGACATCTCACTAGCAGAGTGATGATGCTAACATGTTTCCTGTTGGCTCTTCCCTGCAGCTGGAGACCAGGCTTGTACCTCCGAGAGGCGGCGGGCCCTGTCCAGACTCTACTTCGGGCCCTCGGGCTTCTTCAGCCTCCAGGGCGTGTCCTCGGAAAGACAGGTCTCTCCAAGAGGAGCCAGACTGGCTACGCCCTGCCCATCCTCGATCAGGGAGCTCTTTGTGGACTCGGGGATCCTCCGCCCCATGGTCGAAGGGCGGGATCAACAGCTTTCCACCTCAGGGAGTCTCCTCCCAGATGCCATCCGTGGGATTTTTCCTTCCCGAGAGCTAGCTCGTCTCGCCCTTCAGTTTACGACCAACCCAAAGCGACTCCAGCAAAACCTCTTTGGAGGGAAATTTCTGGTGAATGTTGGCCAGTTTAACTTGTCTGGAGCTCTTGGCACAAGAGGGACCTTCAACTTCAGTCAGTTTTACCAGCAACTTGGCCTCCCAGACTTCCAGAATGGAGGAGGACCTGTTGATCTAGCCAAGCCCCTCTCTGCGGGGCTGGGTTTGGATCCTGCTGTGGAAATACTGGGAGCCACTAAGAAGGGCAGGGCTATGAATAAAACGATTGTGGGCAGCTTTGGCTTTGAAATTAACTTACAAGAGAACCAAAATGCCCTGAAATCTCTCGCTTCTCTCCTGGACCTTCCAGAATTCCTTCTGTTCCTGCAACATGCCATTTCTGTGCCGGAAGACATAGCCGGGGATTTAGGTGACGTGATGGAAATGGTGCTCAGCTCCCAGGGTTGTGAGCTGACACCCGGCAGCCTTTTTGTCCCGTCATGCACGGCTGAAGGAAGCTACGAGGAGGTCCAGTGCTTTGCTGGAGAGTGCTGGTGTGTGGACTCCCAGGGCAAAGAACTGCCCGGCTCCAGGGTGAGAGGTGGCCGGCCCAGGTGCCCGACAGAGTGTGAAAAGCAAAGAGCTCGAATGCAGAGCCTCTCGGGCAGCCAGGCTGCAGGCTCCAGTCTGTTTGTGCCTTCGTGTACCAGCCAGGGGCACTTCTCACCTGTCCAGGGCTTCAACGCCGAGTGCTACTGCGTCGACGCCGAGGGTCGGGCTGTTCCTGGCAGTCCAAGCGCACCGGGGCAACCCCGGCAATGTGAGTCTGTCGGGTGTCCAACCTTCACTCTGATTCTATTTCGGGGCCTTGATACAATGCATTACAGAAAAAAAAAAAAAATGCGGTCCTAGCTGAATCTCAAAATTCTGTTCACGGCAAAATGTTCTGGTTGATTTATAAATCATCCGGAAAAGTCTTGACAGTGCTAACCGCGTCTGCAGTGTTGGCCACAGCGGGTCTCCGCACTGCCTGCTTAGGGAGGGGGTCAAATGTGCGGCCTATGCTTGTCTGGGGTTTTATTTTTTTTTATCCTCACCCGAGGACATTTTTTTTTTTTTTATATTTTGTTCAGATAGAGTGGGAGGGAGAGAGAGAGAGAGAAACATCGACATGAAAGGGACACATCGAGTGGTTGCCACCCACACGACCCAACCAGGGCCGGGGACAAACTGCAACCGAGATATATGCCCTTAGCGGGAACCGAACCCGGGTCTCTCTGGACCGCAGGCTGACGCTCTAACCGCTGAGCCAAACCGGCCAGGGCCTTGTCTGGGGTTTTAGATCGAGTTAGGACAATTCAGAGCTTCCGTCTTGGTCTCTGTGTGCACTCAAGTCCTGAGCCTGACACGCTTGCTCACGTTCCTCCCAGGCCCCACCCCCTGCCAGCTGCAGGCCGAGCAAGCCTTCCTGCGGTCCGTGCGGACCCTGGTCGCCAATCCCAGCGCGCCGCCCGCTCTCTCCAGCATCTCCATCCCGCACTGCAGCGCCGGCGGCCGGTGGAGTCGTGTGCAGTGTGACGGGCCCCCCGAGCAGGCCTTCGAGTGGTACGAGAGGTGGAGGGCTCAGAACAGTGGTGGCCAGGAGCTGACCGCTGCCAACCTGCTAATGAAGATCACGAGCTACAGGGAAGCCGCCTCTAGAAGCTTCCGTGACTTTATTCAAAGTTTGTATGAGGCTGGCCAACAGGGCGTCTTCCCGGGGTTGGCAAGGTACCCTTCTCTCCAGGATGTCCCACCGGCGGTGTGGGAAGGGAACCGGACCCAGGCTGGAGAGAATGTCCTCCTGGAGCCCTACGTCTTCTGGCGGGTCCTCAGTGGGCAGCTCGACCGGTACCCAGGGCCCTACTCCGACTTCAGCACCCCTCTGGCACACTTCGACCTTCGGACCTGCTGGTGTGTGGACGAAGCTGGGCAGGAGCTGGAGGGAACCCGGGCCGAGCCAGGCCAGCTCCCAGCTTGTGAGTAGAGCGTGGGAAGACATGCACTTGCGCACTGGAAGGGCGGGCATTACCTGTAGAAATGGCCAAGTACATCCCTTCCACCTGCGGCGGAGGAAACGCGATGCCTGTCGGCTTGGGCTGCTATGGCAACACGCTTGCCCGGGGGCCTTAGCCAGCAGACATTCTTTCCCACGGTTCTGGAGGCTGGCCGTCCAAGGTCAAGGTGCAGGCAGGTGGGGTTCCTAGCGAGAGCTGTCCCCCAGGCTCGCGATGGCCGCCTTCTGGCTGAGGACCCGCAGGGCGGAGCGAGCTCTGGTCTCTTCCTCTTCCACAGACGCCAATCCCGCCACGAGGCCCCCACCCGCACGGCCTCATCTAACCCTCGTCACCTCCCCAAGGCCCCGCCTCCAAATACCATCACACGGGGGGTTGGGGCGTCAGCACATACATTTCGGGGGGACACAGACATCCCGTGCAGAGCACTGCGGCTCATGGGAGGGACGTGATTTCCCCACGTCAGCCTGGGCAGGGTTGACCAAGTTAACGTGGTTGGTTATTAAGTGTCCGTATAATTATTTACGTCGGTGCTCAGATCTTAGCTGGACGTCTTCTGTTTACAACGCCCTCTGTGGGCCTGGGGGTGGCTGGGAAGTGGACGTGACTTGGCTCTTACCCCTGTGGCTGCTGCTTCCGCCCCCTCTCCCGTCAGGTGCATTGCTCCCTTAGCCACCACCTGTCTGACGGGCTCGTGGCTCACAGAGCCCTGCTAGGTGCCGGGGACCCCAGGAGCTCGGCCTGCCAACGGCCTCTCGCTTGAACAGAGGGACCACCAGGAGGGCCGTGAGCGAGGCCCGAGGTCCGGGTGGGGACAGGGGACCCGTGAGAAAGCTGTGGTGTGTGAGGCGTATGCAGGACGAGGCTGACTCGGTCCAATCAAAATGCCAATTACCCCGTAGACAGCAGCGGTTTGACCCCACAGCCAGACAGCGTCCACGCTGTCACTGTCAAGCCAGGCTCTGGCCAGTGTTGCTGATGTGACAGGCACAGGACAGCGGCCCCGTCCAGTGAACTCTGCCCGTTCGTCACAGGCAGTGTGCAGCACGGCCCCAACTTTCCGGGTCACGGCGGCCAGACCACTTCGACCTTCGCCACGGTTTAGCGTTAACAGCCAGTGGGCTTGACTGGTGACAGGAATGTGGTGACAGCCGTCATGCCCTGGGCGTTTCGAATGGTCTGAGACCCCGCGACGAGGGTCCCCCAGGAAAACGTCGAGTGGTAGAGATGGGCTGACCCTCCAAGTCACGTAGATTGAGCACAGAGCACAGCACGGTGCCTGCAGCTGACGTTTGCTACGACTCCTCTTGTCCCGTAGCAGGCCGGTCCCCCGTCAGCGTGGAGGGAGGGAGACTGGGGGACAGAGCAGAGAGAACATTCCAGGCCGTGGAAAGAGCTGGTGCCAAGGAAACAGCGGAGGCGTCAGTGTGTGCACGCGTGTGCACACGCGTGTGTGCACTTCCGAGGGGCCAAGGGGGCCCTGGGTGGTGGCGCACCGTCTGAGCGTCTCCCTCCCTCCAGGTCCCAGCTCCTGCGAGGAAGCGAAGCTTCGTGTTCTGCGGTTCATGAAGGACACGGCAGAGGTGGTCCTGGCGTCCAACCGTTCTTGGTTCCCCGTGGGAGAGAGTTTCTTAGCGGCCCAGGGAATCCTGCTGACCCGCGAGGAGCTGGCCCTGCCCCCCGGCGCCCCTTCTCGGGAGACTTTCTGGGAGCGGTTTCTGAGCCGGAGAGACTACGCCCTGCGGCTGGCGGCTCAGTCCAGTGAGTGTCCTGCCCGGTTCCCCTCCGGCTCCTGGGGAAGCAGAAGCTGGGACAGAGGCTCTTCAGGGCTTCGCTGCCTCAGTTTCCCCGGGCGCTGCGCTCCGGGGAGGGCCGAGGCAGGGGTTTTGTGGTGCCAGGCCGAGCCAGGGAGGGCAGAGGCAGGGGTTTTGTGGTGCCAGGCCGAGCAGGGGAGGGCAGAGGCAGGGGTGTTTGTGGTGCCAGGCCGAGCCAGGGGAGGGCAGAGGCAGGGGTTTTGTGGTGCCAGGCCGGACCAGGGAGGGGCAGAGGCAGGGGTTGTGTGTGGTGCCAGGCCGAGCAGGGGTGGGCCGAGGCAGGGGTTTTGTGGTGCCAGGCCGAGCCAGGGAGGGCAGAGGCAGGGGTTTTGTGGTGCCAGGCCGAGCCAGGGAGGGCAGAGGCAGGGGTTTTGTGGTGCCAGGCCGAGCCAGGGAGGGCAGAGGCAGGGGTTTTGTGGTGCCAGGCCGAGCCAGGGAGGGCAGAGGCAGGGGTTTTGTGGTGCCAGGCCGAGCAGGGGAGGACAGAGGCAGGGGTTTTGTGGTGCCAGGCCGAGCCGGGATGGGCAGAGGCAGGGGTTTTGTGGTGCCAGGCCGAGCCAGGGAGGGCAGAGGCAGGGGTTTTGTGGTGCCAGGCCGAGCCGGGATGGGCAGAGGCAGGGGTTTTGTGGTGCCAGGCCGAGCCGGGATGGGCAGAGGCAGGGGTTTTGTGGTGCCAGGCCGAGCCGGGATGGGCACAGCTCTCCAAGGTGCCCCCAGAGCCCCAGCAGAGCCACCCGCGGCCCCCATGAGGCCCAAGACTCTTGTTGAAACGTGCGCCAGCCCCAGTGCCCACGTCCCTCTTAGCGGCTTCCGAAGCCTCCCTCCGAGGGCGGAGGAGAGGAGCCCTCCTTACTGAAACAGCTGGTTTGGGGCCCTTCCACTTGCGGGCTCATCGAATCTGCTGGTGATCGCAAAAAACAAGCCACGTGGCCGAGACAGAAGCTTCGAGAGCCCACAGAGCCCCAGCCCATAATAACAGCTCTGGCTCCCTGGACACCTGCCCCGGCCGGGCACTCGTGTGCGGGATGACTAGGCCTTTGCCTCGGGCCCCCCAACAGTTCCGTGAGAGGGATGCTATAATCACCATCTGGTTTTTTTTTTCCAAATGCGGAAACTGAGGTTAAGTCACAGGCCCAGGGTCACCCCGTGAAATACAGCAGAGCCTCTGTGCCCGCTGACCCCCCAGCCAGTCTCCTCCCAGAGCCCCTGCTCTCCCTCCGCCGCCTGCAGCCTGCTGGCCAGGGGTTCGATGCCCCTCCAGCTCTCTCACTGACCGCAGGCCAGCTTGAGAGGGACAGAGGTTCCTGTCTCCACGCCTGTCCGAGTCCCCGCCCTTGTCCATGATCTCGGCTGACCCTCGCCTGGGGTTTTCTGGGCTTGGGGCCCGAACAGCAGAGCAGTCACCCCCGACACCACCTGCGCATCTGAGGGAAGACAGGCGCCCGCTGCCGTGGGCCGGAGCTCTGTGCTGTCCCAGGCCTGGGACATCTGCTGCCACCTGGGTGGCTCTGTGGCCTTTGTTCTCCTAACCCCCCGTGAGCGGAGACCTCCCACGTTCCACCTGTTTCCTGCTCCGTCCTTCGCCAGTCAATCCTGGTCTGGAGGACAAGGCCTTCCCTCTTGTCTGATTGGTCCTTCTGTCCCGGGCCTGGCACAGTGCCCGGCAGAGCGTAGCAGCCCAGGCCATGTTGGCTAAGCATCCTTCCTCCTTCTGCCCTCCTGTTTTCTCTTCCGTCACCCACCGCCCGGGGCCCAGGCACTTCCCTCTGGGCCGCCGAGGCCGGCGGACTTCTGCTTCGGCCAGGAAACCAGCTGTTTTGCATTTTGCGCAGCACAGGGTCTGATGTGAGCCCAGGCTGGAGGACAGGGCTGTGTCCAGGCGGCTGTGACGACCTGGGTGAAGGAGGAACGTGTGGGAAGGGAGCCGGAAGCTGTCGGTGCCCCGGAGATTTATTTGTTGAACGGCAGTGATGGCATTTTCTTCCAAAGTTGAGCTAAGGAAGATCCCGTGTACTTAGCCGCCCACTCCGGCCTGAGTTGTTTTCACGTCTGGGCTGCAGACAGAGGAAGTGTCTGCAGACCCCAGCAGGGCTGCTCGCCTCCCAGAATCCCTCCGGACGAGAAGTGGCGGCTCCTCGGTCGCAGAGAAGAGGAAGCTCTGAGCGTGCAGACCTCAGGATGGGTGGCCCAGGACTAGAAGGGCCTGAGGGCCACAGAGTGTCCTTGGCCAACAGAATATGGTAGCACTGTCCTCAGGCGGAGGGCGTGGGAGGAGACGCCCATAGCTGTGCCTGGCATGAGCTTGGTGGTCAAGCTCCTTTGATACAAATATCAGACTTACCCTGTTTAGTATTGTACCCATTTCACCGACGGGGACACTCAGGCTCAGAGAGGTTGGTAAGTTGCTCACGATCACACAGCCAAGAGATGCCACCGTGCCAGGAATCAGGCAGCAGCTTACGAGACTCCTGAGTCCCGTCCACTGCACCGAAGCGGATCCCGGTCTCCTCCGCTGAGTCCTGACTGGGGGGTGGCGTCCGGAGCACTGTTAGCTCTCTGCTCTGGGGACCGGAAAGCTCCTCTCTGGAAGGTGGCGAGCTGGGAGGAAGGCCTGAGGAGAGCCGACGCATGCACCCTGGGGTGTTCTGGATGGTGCCCCTTCTCCCTCCCTCCCTCCCCATCTCATACATTCCCTTCCACTCATCAGGTTGTTTGTCGAGTGCCTCCCATGAGACAGACACTGCTCCACATGCACAATAAACTTGGATCCTTGCACCACAGGGTGTCCGTACCACCACGGAAGGGACAGACCCGCACAAAGTGACAAGCGCACTATCGAGTGCGTCACCGGTGGAGGAAGCTGTGGGGAGCCCGCCGGGCGGGGACAGAGCTGAGCACGGCTCAGCTGGATTAGCAGCACCGTTGTCTGCAAGTCAGGGAATGGAATGCCGGCCCCTCTCGGAGGGGTTGAGGGTCCGTTTGACGAAAGGAAGTGTCCGTCCCTGCTGTCGCCTCGTGGATTAGACACTTTGTCGACCTCACTGACTTTATACCGCGGTCATTGCGAGAGGAGTACAGAGGCTCCTTCGGACTTCAGCCTGCATTGTTTTTAAAAAATAGTTTTTTCTTTATCGATTGTAGAGAGAGGAAGGGAGAGGGAGAGAGAGATAGAAACATCGAGGAGAGAGAACATCGATTTCAGCCTGCATTTTTATTCTCAAATATTTTTATTGAATTTTCGAGAGGGAGGAAAAGAGAGGGAGAGAGAGAAACATCGTTGTGAGAACGAAACATTGATCGGCTGCCCCCTGCGTGCCCCCTACCGGGGATCAGGCCCGCAACCTGGGCACGTGCCCTGCCTGGGAATCAACCAAAGACCTTTAGTTGCATAGGGTGACACACAACCGACTGAGCCACAGGGGCCAGGGACTGCGTTATTTTTAAAGGACAATCTGGTGATTGTCTACCCACCGTCTGAGGAGCCTCTGCCTCATTTTGGGTGGAAATGCGTGTCCCACAGGTCAGAAGGCCTGCTGCATCGGGACGGGGGTGCTTGGCTCTTGTCGGTGACAGGCCCCCCCGCCGGCCTCTCCAGGTGGGTTCTCACCCCTCTGCTCCTCTCTCCGGACTGCAGCCTTCGACTTCTACCAGAGCCGTCCCTTCCCCCCGGCCGATCCCTCGCCAGCCCCCCTTCTGCGGTCCGGCCTCTACGTGCCCCAGTGTGATGCCTTCGGACGTTGGGAGCCCGTGCAGTGCCACCCGGGGACTGGTGAGGGGGATGGGCGCCCGCGGGAGGCCGGGGACCCCCTCCTTTCCCTTTAGCGGAAGAACCCACACTGGGGGCAAGCGAGCTGGACTCCAGGCCCCTCATGGGAGCTGGTGGCAAAGCCCTTAGTTTCTGCGCTGGCTCATCTGTACAACGGGAGCAGTGACCTTCCACCAGCTTGAGAGCCAAGAGGGTGGGTGCTGCGGGGTTGGGGTGCTAAGGTCCACGGCTGTGAATAATGTTGGCCAGGGGCATGGAGGGGACCCTGCTGGCTCTGTTAGCAAAGGGAACGTGGATAGTTGTTTGTGAGACACAGCGGGAGGGTCCCCCAGGCACCTCCTGAACTCCGGCCCATGGCTCTTTCCTAGGGTACTGCTGGTGCGTGGACGGGAAGGGAGAGTATGTCTCGGCCTCGCTCACCGCCCGCTCCCCCCGGGCCCCCCAGTGTAAGTGAAGCCCGCAGCTCTCCCTCGCCTGACCCCGGTGTGGGCATTCAGGGCTGGTGGTGCCCACCGCTGTCGCCCAACAGGGAGGCTCCGTGGGCCGGCCCCCAGTGCACATCTCCCCAGGCCCCCAGGTCTGGAAGACCCTCGCAGACCTTGGCCCTTCCTAGTTTCCCAGGCGGACAGAAGCCGAGCGAGGTGAAGGCCTGGGTCCCCACACGCCTGCTGCCTGTGCGGTTTCATTCAGTCCCGTGCTTTCTACCACCACCTCCCGCTGCTCTGCAGCCAGCCTCTCCTGACCATGAAGCAACTGCCCACTGCACGTCTCAGACACGGGGCAGCCCTCTGGGTCGCCCACTCCTCTGAGATCCCAGCTGTCTGTCAGGGCACCTGCGGCCCCGTCGCGTGGCTCTGACACAGGGCCAGCCTGGGCGCTCCCTCTCCCCTGGACCCACGCCAGCCTGTTCTGAGCTGTCCCCTCTCCCGCAGGCCCCACCACCTGTGAGAAATCTCGAGCGAGTGGGCTGCTTGCCGGGTGGAAACAGGCCGCATCCCAGGGACACCCGTCTCCTGAAGACCTGTTCACCCCAACCTGCCTGGAGGTGAGGCTCCGAGGGCCGGGAAGGGTGTGCAGGGAGCCAGAACTTCCTCCCACAGGTCAGGGGTGACTTTTCCAGTTTTCAATAACTGTGTTTTTGTTAAAAACTCCCAGGCAGTTCTAGGTCTGGGTTTTTGTCTCCATCCTGTCAGAGTCTGTCTGGGTGACCTTGGGCAACTGACTTACCTTCCCTGTGCTTTAGTTTTTGTTTTCTTAAATCATATGATCGGACCACATGTATAGCCTACCTAGTGGTAGGATTGTTTTGAGGTTCCAAGAAAACGCCACTTATGAAAACCCTGAAAAATCATTTACAGTCTGGGGGTGGCAGGAAGGGGGTGGGAGCAGGGAGGAGGGGGTCCATGGAGGAAGAAGGGGAGACATCTGTAATACTTTCAACAATAAAGATTTAAAAAATAAGCCCTGGCCGGTTTGGCTCAGCGGTTAGAGCGTCGGCCTGTGGTCTGGAGAGTCCTGGGTTTGGTTCCCGCTAAGGGCACGTACCTCGGTTGCAGTTTGTCCCCGGCCCTGGTTGGGTTGTGCGGGTGGTAACCACTCGATGTGTCCCTTTCACGTCGATGTTTCTCTCTGTCTCTCTCCCTCCCACTCTATCTGAACAAAAAAATGGAAAAAATGTCCTCGGGTGAGGATTAAAAAATAATAATAATAATTTTCATGTTCCACAAAAAAAGAAAAAGAAGCATCATATTCACATATACGCACTTTTCCTGAAGTCATCTTGGCGAAGTCCTCACGTCGTTGTATCCCAGGTTCTCAGCATAAAGGGAAGACGTCACAAGCTCGCCTCCCCGCTCCAGGGGGTTGTGGTTCAGTGTAGCAGCTGGTGTCAGGAATGAAGGGTCCGAGAGAACGGGTTCATGCTAGAACCTCGCCACCGACGTGCGAGCGACGGGCAGTCCCTGTGCCCCGGTTGCCTCTCCCCAGAGACGGTCTGACAGGGGCACTGCCGCCCGCTCTGCTCAGCCCCAGGGCTTTGTGAGAATCAGTGAAACCCCTGGAATGGGGTAGCTGGCCCCTGCCCGTGGGCTGGTTCTGACAACCAGTTGAGGTAACGTGTGGAAAGAGTCTGGGCCAGGACAGCGCCTCCCCCACGCCACCTCCCCCCAGGTGGAGAAGCCGTCACTGGTGGTTTTGGGAAGAACATTCTTGACATCTGTGCACCGACTTGTGGGCTGCAAAAGCATCTTCCTGGGGGTGACCTTGGCTTTGTCTCAGACAGGAGAGTTTGCCAGGCTGCAGGCGTCGGAGGCTGGCATCTGGTGTGTGGACCAGGCCACAGGAGAGGGCACCCCACCCGGTACAAACGGCAGTGCCCAGTGTGAGTAGTCACCCCTCCCTCTGGGCCCCCAACTCCTCCCCATGCACCCTGGGCGTGGTGTCCCAAGAGCTGGCTTCATGTCCCAGCTCTGCCCCTTCCAGAGCCGAGGAAGCCCCTAACCTCACTGTGCCTCCGTCTTCTCATCTGTAAAATAGGCACAATACCCCCACCTCAGGGGCTCGTGGGAGAAACACACAGGCAGGGAGCAGGCCTCGCTTTGTGACTGAGAAGCGCAGGCCAGCACTGGTCCCAATTAGAGTGGGCACTGGTGCTTTTGCAGGGTGACCCGATGATGACCAAATTCCCCGCCTGGTCCCTGGGCTCCAGGCCTGGCCCTGCAACCTGGTTTCCACGGTGAAGTCAGGACGCTGTCCCTGAAGTGCCAATGGGCTGATGTCTCCTCTCTGCCTGAAAGCCGTCCGCACTCCCCCTGTCCCGAGGGGGCCGGGCCCCGGCTCCTCGCCGCGGTGCATGGGCCCCTCCCTGCGTGTGTGGCTCCTGTGTCGCTGGTTTCTCCACCCCTCACTGTTCAGGGTCGATGTAATCACTATAGTCAGACCCTAAGAAGGCAGCATTCTCTCCCCTGGGCCGCAGGGCTGTGGTTCTGCGCTGCCACATCCCCCCGCCCCCTCCCCCCTCCCCCCCCTGCCCGCCTGGCGAACCCTTAGTCCTCGCAGGCCTCCCCTCACGGCTGCGCTCAGGCCCTTCCCGGGGCCCCGTGCATCTCCCACTGTCACTCGTATCTCTCTGAACTACAGCTGCTCATACTAGTTTTGTGTGTGTGTTTATAAAAAATATGTTTTTAGTGATTTTTTACAGAGGGAGGAGGGGAGAGAGAGAGAGAACATTAACGTGAGAGAGAAACCTCGATCGGCTGCTTCCTGCACGCCCCCTACTGGGGACCAAGCTTGAAACCCCGCCCTGTGCCCCGACCGGGAATCGCACCGGGACCTCTAAGTCCCCGGGATGATGCTCAGTCCACTGAGCCACACCAGCCGGGATTGTTTTGTGTTTTAAGTGAGAGTTTATTTGAACCAAACTGATGACATCTGCTGGGGAGCAAGGTCTTGAAGGCTCACAATGACTCACTTGTTGAGTCTCCTCTGAGACTCTAAGCTCCTTGAGGGCAGGCAGTGCGTGCGTGCGTGTGTGTATGTGTGTATGTGTGTATGTGTTGGGAGGGAGAGGGGTACAGAGCCCAGTCTACCTTGCCCTAGATCAACACCCCAGTGGGAGGCAGCCTAGACCTAGGAGGACCCTACCAGCAGGTGGCAGCGCTCATGGGTGGTGAGGGCTATGGCGACCTCCAGGCAAAGATTCCATCTGGCTTGTTTTTGTGCCAAGGTCCCGGCCTCTGTGAACGGCTTCAGAGTGGCGTCCTGTCCAGGGGAGCCGGCCCAGGCTACAGCCCGGCCTGCAGGGCAGAGGACGGAGGCCTGTCCCCAGTGCAATGCGACCGGACCCAGAGCAGCTGCTGGTGTGTCCTGGGCAGCGGAGAGGAGGTGCCCGGGACCCGCGTGGCTGGCAGCCAGCCAGCCTGTGAGAGTAAGAAGTGACACCCTGGGCTCCCTGGGCTGGTGGGGCCCTGCTCAGGTATTCCTGCACCCAGGTTGGGGGCAGGAACTCTGAAGTACCAGGACGGTGGGGGCGGAGGGGTGCTGGGAAGAGCATGAGGATGGGGCTGTCGCTGATTCCCATGAGGTCGGACTGGTGTCTACTTCCCAGAGGCTCAGCCCACAGCCCAGGTCAGGCAGAGCCCGGTCTGGGTCTGGTCTCCCACCAGGAGAGGGGGAGGGGCCTGAGAGCAGAATCTCAGTGTGGGGGGGTCCATCCCAGCCGGGCGCTGCAGGGGTTTGTGCAGGTGCTGACCTGTCTATTTTTATTTCTGGTTTACAAATTGTTTGGATATCAAATATTGATATATTTATCATAGCAATATATGTTAGAAGACTGAAATAGATTGTTACATATTCAAATCTATTATTTAATTACCAGTTACCTTTTATTTGTGGAGCCACCAGCATTAACGTGAGCCCCCAAAAGGCTCTTCCTGCTGACCTACCGCAGAGTGTGGAGTAGACATAGATATGACAGCCAGACAGCCAGCCAGACAACCAGACAGCCAGCTCTCCACTTCCTTGCTGGGCGACCTCAGGCTAGCCCCTTAACCTCTCTGGGTCTGTTTCCCAATCTATGAAACAAGCCAGCAGAACCATAGCTGTTTCCTAGAGGCATTGTTAGGGTTCATGCAAATAGTCTCTGTAAACTGCTCAGCTGGGGGGCTCAGGCACAGCCTCTGGGGTCACACCTGGCTCTCTGCTTGCTGCTGTGGGCCTTAGGGCAGAAGGGTTCCCTCCCCCCGCTTTGGTGTCCTCATCTGCGGGAGAAAGGGTCTCGTCCAGTGACACCTACACGAACACCCGCACCCTAACACTTCAGCGCAGGCAAGCATGTATACTCCCTTTGTTGTTGATAATAACGATAACAACAGACATTTACTGAGCGTTTATTATGTTCCAGCAACTCTTCAAAGCTTTTTACGTCCTTACTTTATTTTTTATTTTTTTATAAATTTTATTTATTTATTTATTTATTTATTTATTTATTTATTTATTTATTTTTATCCTCACCCGAGGACATTTTTCCATTTTTTGTACAGATAGAGTGGGAGGGAGAGAGAGGAAGGGAGAGAAACATCGACGTGAAGGGACACATCGAGTGGCTGCCACCCGCACGACCAACCAGGACCGGGGACAAACTGCAACCGAAGTATGCGCCCTCAGCGGGAACCGAACCCGGGTCTCTCCGGACCGCAGGCCGACGCTCTAACCGCTGAGCCAAACTGGCCAGGGCCGTCCTTACTTTATTTTGATTCACACCATTCTTAGGGGAGGTAGGCATTCTTCTGTCCTTGCCATTTTATGGGTGGAGAAACTGAGTCACAGAGGAGTTAATTAACTTGCTCTAGGGCTCTCAACTGGAAAATGATGGAGCCAGAACTCAAAGCCTGGCAGGCTGGTCCCAGAGCCCACGGCCAGAGTGTCTGAATCCTCCCCCACATGCACACGGACATGGTGAGAGCCAACTCAACCAGCCGGCTGCAAATCACAGCCAACTCTCTGCAAGAGGTTGTTGCTCTTTTTTTAAAAAAAATGTGTTTATTGACTTTTTAGAGAGAGAGAGTAACATTGATGTGAGAGAGGAACATCCATTGGCTGCCTCCTGCACGCCCCCTACTGGGGATCGAGCCTGCAGCCCGGGCATGTGTCCTGACCGGGAATCGAACCAGGACCTCTCAGTCTATGGGACGATGTTCAATCCACTGAGCCACGCCGGCTGGGCAAGGTTGTCACTCTTATTAGAAAGAAGTCGAGGCTACACCTTGGAGATCACAATGAGTCCCTCTCCATCTCTGAGGCCCCCACGCACCCTTGAATCACCTGTGGATTGAAATCACAGAGCCCGACGTAAACAGGAAGGAAGGCCGTGCCCGAGAGTCAGAGAGTTAACTGAATCTCTCGTGTGAAATTGTCACACTGAGTGTGTCTATTCTTTTTTTATATCCTCACCCAAGGATATTTTTCCATTTATTTTCAGACAGAGTGGGAGGGAGAGACAGAGGGAGAGAAACGTTGACGTGAGAGAGACACATCAGTCTCCCACATGACGCTGGCCAGGGCCAGGGACAAACTGCAACGGAGGCGGAGGGAAGGGCACGCGGTGGGTGTGTGACGAGATCTGTCTGGGGGATGCAGCCATGCCCGAGGCCAAGGGGTCGGGACCTGAGAGGGAGTGAAGGCCAGGGCAGCAGGCCCGGGGGAGGGCGTCGTCCAGCTTCCCCAGGTTTCTCTCCTGGTGCTGAGGATGGGGTCGGCTGTGTGAGCAGAGCCGTAAGGGATGAGGCCCCGGCTCGGGAGCCCGGTGAGGAAGCCTCCGTAGCAATTCAAGGCAACACCGAGGGAGTGCAGTGGGGACACAGAGGAGCCGAGAGGGTGTGAGCCACAGCCTGCGGGGACGCCAGTGCGAGGAGGGGCGTCCGGATGGCCTGGGACAGCTGGGCTGGAGGCGCAGGTGCTGAGCGCCAGGCACTGGACCGGAGCAGGTGCGGTGGGCAGCGGCGAGGTGTGCGTGCTGGCTGGGAGCGGGGGGACCAGCTGGTAACCGGATTAGAGATGAGCAGAAGCTGGAGGGGTCTGAGCTGGAGATCAAGGTACAAGAGTCACCGTGCTCAGGTGTCTGTTACAGCTGACAGAGGACGAGCCCATCCACGAAGAGGGCTGAGACCAGGGTCCGAGGAGCCCCCGCATATCTGCGGGCAGGGAAGAGGAGGGGCGGGGCAGGAGCGCTTGGCCCCCTGCGCTGGCAGGTGCCCACAGCGGCCCTCTTTCCTTCTCCAGGCCCGCGGTGCCCGCTGCCCTTCAACGTGTCTCGGGGGGCCGGCGGAGTGATCCTGTGTGAGCCCGCCTCGGGCCCCGGGGGCGCCGTCCAGCGGTGCCGGCTGCTGTGCCGCCAGGGCTACCGGAGCGCGTTCCCGCCGGGGCCGCTGCTGTGCAGCCCGGAGAGGAGACGCTGGCTGTCGCAGCCGCCTCAGCCCCAGGCCTGCCGGCGTGAGTGGCCTCGCGAACGTCCGCCCTGGCGTTTCCCCCTCCGCGAGCCTGCGCGGGAGCCGGCATCGGGCAGGAGGGCGGGCTGCGGGCATGTCTAGGAGTCGAAGGGCTCCGCAGCCCCTCTGTGGCCTCCGCGGACCAGCGGGCCCTGGGAGCACTGCCGTCACTTCAGGCTCTGCGGGGACGCTGGGTGCAGGGCTGCGGCCAGCGGGGGGAAGCCGGGACCCTGGGTGCAGGGCTGCGGCCAGCAGGGGGAGCGGGGACCCTGGGTGCAGGGCTGCGGCCAGCAGGGGGGAGCTGGGGAGCTGGGTGCAGGGCTGCGGCCAGCAGGGGGAGCGGGGACCCTGGGTGCAGGGCTGCGGCCAGCAGGGGGAGCGGGGACCCTGGGCGCAGGGCTGCGGCCAGCAGGGAGGGGGGAGCCCCACGGCCTGATCGGTAACCATGTGCGGACAAGCGCTGCTTGTTCACCTCCAAGTGCAGCTCAGTCCACCTGGAGCCCAGGGCTGATGCCTGGCGCAGCTGTGGCCGGTGCCCTATTTGAATGCAGGTCAAGCTCCTGTCTGCCCGCCTAGTGACCCCACTTTCACAGGCACCTAGCTGTGAGGCAGCACGGGGCTCTGACCCGCTGGCCTGGCAAAGGCTGGCTGGTTACTCGGGCGGGCGGGCGGGCGGGTGTGCTGAGCCCGTCACTGGGCCCTCCCAGGGCAGTGGAAGGGCTGTCCCGGATTCAGCCCTGATCCTGGGACTGTCACAAGCCTCCAGATCGTCAGAGGACAGCACTGGTTGCAAAGCACTCTGGGATAGATCATGCTATCCAGAAAAAGTTGAAAATGAGACGTGGACAAATATGTGGACTGTCAGCACTGACCATGACAAATGGCCTAAGCTGAAATCAAGACCTGGCTGGACCCAGAGCGGGGACTTGGGAGGAGAGAGGCCGGGCACTCGGAAGCCGGAGGCAGGGCCGCCGTGTCCCGTGTGCAGGGTGTGTGCACCCTTGTGCTCCGAGCCAGCGAGGAGCGCAGCGCGCCCAGCACGTAGGCTGTGGTGTCCACTCTGAGCTGGCAAAACCACGCGGAGCTGCCCTGACCGGATGCACATAGCGTGGGCGCCCCTCCAGGAGGGGTGTCAGGGACCCCAAAATGCAAAGTGGCCTGGTGTCGGGGTGAGGCAGGACTGCAGTGGCGGCACTAAGCTAGGAAGTGTGCAGGCTCTGAGGAGGGCCCTGCAGAAGGGCAGCGCGGGCATGTCCCAGACTATGTTTGCAGAGAAAACAAAGCCAGAGGCTGGGAAAGGCTCCCCAGGTCTGTCACGGCCTCTGCTGACCCCGGACATGTCCCTGCAGGGCTGCAGCTGTGGCAGACCCTGCAGACGCGGGCACAGTTCCAGCTCCGGCTGCCCCCCGGCAAGGTGTGCAGCGCTGACTACGCGGGCTTGCTGGGGGCCTTCCAGGTCTTCATCCTCGACGAGCTCACAGCCCGCGGCTTCTGCCAGATCCAGGTGCGTGCCTGCCTTCCCCGTGGGAGCTCGGACTGAGCGCAGGGTCACGGGTTCAGAGAACCTCAGGGCTCAGCGACCCTGCAGTTCAACCCTCACTCGTTTCGTTAGCCGGCCCACCGAGGCCCAGAATGAGCAAGGAATCCGGCCAAGGCCAAACCCATCTCCTCACTGGCTGTTCTTTTTTTTTTTCTTTATTGATTTTAGAGCGAGAAGAAGGGGGAGGGAGGGAGAGAGAAACATCTATGAGAGAGAACATCGATTGACTGCCTCCTGCATGCCCCCCACTGGGGATCGGGCCCACAACCTGGGCGTGTGCCCTGACTAGGAATCGAACCAGCGACCTCTTGGTGCAGGGTCGACACTCAACCACTGAGCCACGCCGGCCGGGCTGGCCATTCATGCTCCATGAAGGTATCGCAGCAGGCATGTGCCAAGCTGCTGTGTGCCAGGCACTGTGCAGCCCTGGTCATGCAGTTGCTCAGGCCGTCTCCACCGTGACCCTATTATTGCTGGTCAGTAGATGGCGGAGTGAAGACCAGAGGGTTAAACAAGTGCCCGGAGTCACACAGCTGGGAAGTGGCAGGGCCTTGCTGGCTGCAGTGAGGGAGAGCTGTGACCCCCGAGGAGGACGGCCCCCTCTGGGCAGAGCCTGGGGCCATGGGAAGGCTGAGAGGCCATGACCCGGTCCCTGAACCACCGGCACAGATGCGTTTCTTAGCTCTGCGAGGGGTCACCATGCGACCTCCCTGGAAGAAAGTTGGCTCATGCAGGCTGGAAAGACGGAGAACCCAAAACAATGAACATCAGACTTTTCAGGCGTCTAACTGGCGAGGGTGATTTGAAGCCATGAGAATTCAGAGGGAGTCTTTAGAAGTCACTCAGTTCAGTAAGTTCGTGTGTTGCCCAAAGTGTGCCAACTCCTGAGAGCAGCTCATTTTTAGCTCCCGATGCTGAGAATTTTGCAGAACACCTATTTTCGCAAAACCAAATAGAGTATTGATTCTAAAACAAATAGAAACATGTACTGTTCCCTTTGCTCCAAAAAAAATGCGCGTGACCACAGTCTCAGCTATGCCTGTTACTTACTGGGCACCAGCTGGGTTGCTGGTACCATGTGAGACCTTGCACGTTCCTCATCTCCAGTGACTTCAGCGCCGCCAGTGGGTACCGTTGCCCTCCGTTTATCACCACGTTAACTGGAGCCCATAGACAGTGGTCGCCCAAGACTGCGTGTTGCTCAGGAAGCCCAGGTCCGTCGGGGCTCTCATCACACCAGATACGAAGCAGAAGGACCTGGGCCACACTGGGGAGACAGAGGGTGGTGTAGCAGGTCATGCCCGTGGGGAAAGGGAACCTCGGGAGGGGAAGGTTTAGGCTTGAGGGCTGGGTGTACACACGGTACTGCCATCTACTGAGATGACACAGTTGACCCTCGCACAATGAGGGGTGAGATAGTCCCGAATCCCCAGACCTGTGAGGGGTCCCTGCTGGAGACGGGGTCAGAGGGCAGCCTGGGCAGAGGCTAGTGGTGGGGCTTCCCGGGGAAGGTGTCAGGCAGGAGCGGGTGTCCTTCGGAGGTCAGTGATGGTACACGAGCTTCAGGGTAGATCTGGTCCAAATCCTGGTTCCACTTCCTACCTGCGTGACCTGGGGCTTGAGCCGCACAGCAGCCCTGAGCCGTGAGGCCCGTCGCCCCTCCGGGGGTCGGATTACGTGAGGTAACTCGTGCCTCCGAACTCCTTGCTCGTTACAGTGTGCAGAGAGGGCCAGTCCCGGGTTCTGGGGTAGCAGTCCCAGCTCCCCTTTGTTGGCTGTGTGTCCGTGGGCAGTTCCTCTGTCTCTCTGAGGCGGATTCCGCATCTGCAATGGGCTGTAACGTCGTCCCGACTCCGTACGTTTGTCTGGGAGACTAAGCTGGCCCGTATGTTCAGAACACTGCGCACGGGTCTAACTCGTGGAGAACGTTAAAGGTGTACCGTGCCGCCGCCTCAGGATGCGCAATCCCGGCACGGGGCAGGGGCCATCCAGTGACAGCACGGACACCATGTCCACATCCTCACCTCCTCCGGGCTGTGCTGTGGTACGGCTCACAGATCATGCTCGGTGCCAGCCTGTGGCCTGGCATGGCACGCGGATGGTGTCCTGAGACACAGGCTGCCCCCACAGAACTGTACCCCAGGTGCCCCGATTCTCCGTCACCTCTGGACCCCCCAGCTTGGGTGAGCTAACATCCCCTGGGGTTGGACATAGCAGCTCTTGGACTGTTACCCTTTGCAAGAGTGTGACGGGAGGAGGCAGGGTGAGCTGATGTTGAGCCCCGGCCCTATGCCCAGCAGTGTCCTTGGGCCGACCAGCCCCCTCGTCACCCCTCCCCCTGCCCTGAAGGAGCCTCTGAGTCATGGCAGTCAGTGGGCACTGCGGGCGGCCATGCCGGGCGGGGGAGAAGCCAGGCGGTGTGGCCGAAACGGGGGGGGGGGGGGGGGGGGGGAGGGGGCGTGGATGCGGTGGCCTTTGAGGAAGCGCCCCCGATGATTGGTGTGTCCTTCCCGCTGGGCGCACACACCACGGGACGTGGTGGAGCTGGCTGAGGTGGTTTCACTGGGGGAAGGAATTAGGAGCGTTGGGGCTTTGTGCAGTGGGTCTTACTCCACTTGCGTCTGTGAACTGTGTGACCAAGGCAGGTCCCCCGACTTCTCGGAAGCTCGTGTTTCCAGATGGGGTCAAGGGATTCATACTGCTCCCCCCCCCCCACCGAGAATCGCAGGGAGGATGACAGGAAGTAACGGTTGATTCTCAAACTGGCCCCTCCATGGATGGCACAGGGAGACCGGAGGAAGAGACCCGTCCAGAGGGGGAGGTGGCAGGTTTGAGGAGCAGGGGGCTCAGGTCCAGGCTCGTCATGGGCACTGAGGGGTGAGCGGATCTCCGCACCACCCACAGGAGCCCGCAGTGGGGTCCGGTCATGTTCACCTCCAGGCCGCATCCTTGAGACGGCTCCCTGTGCGGGAGAGGTGGGCAGAGAGCACATTGCTAGGTCGGAGGAGGGAGGAGGAGCCTCCGATGGCCTGGGTCCACCCGCAGGTGACCCTGCAGGCACGCCCTCGGGTCCCCTCCTCCAGCAGTCACCTAGAGCCATGCCGGGGACTGCTGTGGGCTCCCCAGAGCTGGCTCCCTGCTCTGTGTGCTTGAACTGAAGGCATCGTCTCCGTAGGTGAAGACTTTTGGGACCCCCGTGTCCATCCCTGTCTGTGACGACTCCGCGGTGCAGGTGGCATGTCTGACCCGGGAGCGTCTAGGCGTGAATGTCACGTGGCAGCTGTTGCTGGAGGACGTCCCCCCCGCCTCTCTCCCTGATCTGCACCACGTTGGTATGTTTCCCCACCTCGCTGCCTTGGAGAAGCAACGCAGAGCCCCCGACTCAGGTTCCTCTGCCGCCCAGTGGGGCTGGTGAAGCCGGGGTGCCCTCCTGTGAGTCTGCCGCGGGAAGGATCGATCTGGCCCTCGGGGATGTGAAAATCAATAGCTTTCTGGCCCTAGAGTTTAATAACCCCACCTGACTGTGTCCGTGAACGCTTTCCAGTTCTTCGCTTGGTTTTCTGGGCACAGAGAGGGGACGTAGGTGTGAAGAAAGGGTCAGGGGTGGGCGAGGGAGTCTCTGTTGGTTGTAAGTCACGTCCTGCCCGCTTCAGATGATACCACTTCTCAGACCACTCCCCCGTCTAAACCCTCTGCTCTGCTCCCTCGAGCAGGCGGCCAGAGTAAGGAAGAGTGAGGGCAGGCGGGCGCGAGGAGAAGCCACGTGCCCTTTATGACAGCCGAGGGTCGGGCTGGCTGGACCTCTGTTCTTTTTTTTTTATCCTCACCCGAGGACATTTTTCGATATTTTGTTCAGATAGAGTGAGAGGGAGAGAGAGAGAGAGAAACATCGACGTGAAAGGGACACATCAAGTGGCTGCCACCTGCACGACCAACCAGGGTCGGGGACAAACTGCAACCGAGGCACATGCCCTTAGCGGGAACCGAACCTGGGTCTCTAGGGACTGCAGGCCGACGCTCTAACTGCTGAGCCAGACCGGCCAGGGCTGGACCTCTGTTCTGTGAGGGGGCCTTCTGGAAGAGGTGGCCGGGTATCACCAGAAGGCGACGGGATCTCTGCTGTTCTCCAGTCCAAGAGTTCCCACCCCCAGCATTACGAAGGAAGGGTCCCTGTCGCCCCCTCAGGCGGCCTGGGTGCTTGGGCTATGTCTGAGGCTGCAGAGGATACGCCGCTGACTCCCAGCGTCAGCGATGACCGTGGTTTCAGGCCTTGGGCTGGCTTTGCGGGAGCCCGTTGTGAATAAGGGCTCGTCGCTGGGTCCCTCGGTCCCTCCCAGCTCCAGATGCGGGCTCGTCTTCCTTCCTGGGAAACCCTCGCAGTTCGACAGCGGGAGGCCTCTGGACACGGGGCGGAGGGCTTCACTGCCTCCTGGAGGCTCTGTCTCCTGCTGTGTGGCGCCTTCACACATTCCCTCCCATAATCCTCCCCAACGGCGACAGAGGCGTTGCCATTTTGCAGATGGGGAAACTGAGGCTCAGAGACGGTGGCATGCCAAGTTTATCCAGACAGGGCAGCTTGGAGCAGGCTGGAGTGATGACATCCTGCACCAGCGAGGTCACGTGGATGTGCAGGGAGGGCAGGGGCCACACACCTGCTGTGCTCTGACTTCCGTGTGACCTTGGCCAGTCAGTTCTCTTCTCTGGGCCTCAGGGTCTCCTGTTTACCACGAAGCACTGGGTGATGCCTTGTCTCCTTTGGGCTGCCCTGGGCGGCTCTGCCCCGGGACCCTCCCTGGCCCTTTCCGAGAACAGTGGAGGACACGCCTGCCTCACCCTGTGTCTTACAGAGGACGCCTTAGTGGGCCAGGATCTCGCCGGGCGCTTCGCAGATCTGATTCAAAGCGGAGCGTTGCAGCTTCGTCTGGATTCCAAGCTGTTCCCGGCGGACACCTCCATTCGCTTCCTGCAAGGGGACAGCTGGGGCGCCTCTCCCAGGACACGCTATGGGTGTTTGGAAGGCTTCCACCCAGTCTCGGCGCCCCGCAACGCCAGTCAGGACCCACTTGGGTGCGGTAGGTCCCCCCCTCCCCTGGACGGCTCTCTGAGGCTGTGAGGCTGCGGGAGAGGCCACCGGAGCTCGGAGACAGTGGACGTACACGTGGAGACTCCTTCCTTTCTATAGTCAGATGACGCTCAACCCTCCACGGTGTGTGGGCAGATAGCGGTCCCCCATTAGGTGGCAGCCGAAACTAGAGGCAGAGATGACAGGTCCGGAGGAAGAACCCCAAGGGCTAAAGTTATCCTCTCCCCTGGGTTCGTGCCGAGAGCTCGAACCCTGAACCCTGGGTTCTGGGCTGAGCTCCGTGTGGCCAAGGCTCATGTCTACCCTCTGTGCTCCGCGACATTTCTTAGTCGGGGCTGCAGCAGCACCGCATCCCCAAAGGGCCTCCAGTAGGCCAGCACTGCCCGCCCAGGGCTAACAACAGGGCGGCGGCTGGGCGCCCTCCTGCAGAGGCCGCACTTGGCTGGCGTTGAGAGGTTGCCCACGTTACTTGGCTCGTGGCTCCCTTCCTTGATTTTTTTTTTTTAAATCCTCAGCCGAGGACATTTTTTTCTATTTATCTTCAGACAGAGTGGGAGGGAGGGAGAGAGAATGAGCGAGAGAGAGACATTAATTAAGAGAGACACACTGACCAGTTGCCTCCCACACGACCCCGACCAGGCCCAGGGACCGAACTTCATCCGAGGTGCGTGCCCTTGACTGGAATCAAACCCAAGACTCATTGGTCTGCGGGCCAACGCTCTGACCGCTGAGCCAAACTGGCCAGGGCCCCTTCTTGGTTGCCAAACCCTGCGGTGTGTCAGCTCCCCACCCTTCTTCTGTGGGCGCAGCTGCCTGGGACCCTGTCTTTCATTTCTGAGGACTCTGTGGTCAAAAACAGCTGGATGACCCCGGACACCTCCCTATTTTAAGATCAGTTGATTAGTGACCTTAGTTCTATCTGCAACCTGGCTTTCCCTTTGCCACGGAACCTATCATAGTCTGGGTCCTGGGGGTTAGGACGTGGTCATCCTTGGGGGCCACTGTTCTGTCTACTGCTGAAACTCGCAGCGTCTCCTGATGAGAAGCCTACCTCCCACATGGCTGGAGACACGTGCACTTTCTCTGAGCCAAAGAAGGAGATGTCTGTTGGCTGTTTGTTTGTATTGGTCGCAGCACAAAAGCTACAGGGCCTTTCCTTTCATGAACGCCGTGCCCAGTTCTCAACTCCACGCCCAGTTCTCAACTCCACGCCCACCTGAAGCTGCTGCTAACTCTTAACCCAGGAGCCAGAAACAAGTGCTCTGCATGGACATCTGCGCAGGCTTTGGCCATTCAAGTACACCTTCACAGAGATGTAACTCTCACAACCCCCGCGGCTGCGGCGTCCCCATTTGACAGACGGAGAGGTGGAGACTCCCACGAAATGAGATCATGGGCCTGTAGAGCCTAGAGCAGGGCTGACTCAAAGTGGGGCTCAGGTTCCCGAAACCAGTGGTCTGTGGGTGAGTAACCCAGGTCCTCTGGGACCAGACCTCAGGATCCTTGCACTCACCAGGGCGGCCCAGGCACAGACCCAGAAACGGCAGCAGCAGTGAGTGGCACCACCTACGGGGTGGGCAAGACAGAGTCCCAGCGATAAAGGTGTTGAGAGCACCTGCTGCCGTGTCCCCAGACTTTCACGAAGCCTGGGCCCCACTGCCGTACTCTGAACCAGGAGGGGTGTGTGGGTGGCCAGAACCTGCTTTACAGTCACGCTGTTGTGCGGATACGGGGTCTGGGAGCCCCACTCTGAGGCTCCCTCACTCAGGTGCGCCCTCTGCAGAGCGGAGCCAACAGGTGGAGCAGTAGGACGCGGAGGAGAGGGGACTAGTTAAAGGCCAGGTCAGAGAACCTGTTCTACCTCTGTGCCTGGAAGCAAGTCCCGTTCCCTGGGGGTGCTGTTGGGGGAGCCGGCTGCGGGGTGGGGGTGGGGGTGGTAGGCGCCCATTTCCTGTAAAATGAAGGGCCTGGACTGGAAACCTGACCCTCAGCTTCCTTCCAAGGAACTGGGTTTTCAGATTATCCTTTCCTGCCCCCCAGATGGGCGGCCCAGCTCCACAGGGAGGGGACAGGGGCGCATCTTTGCAGAAGGGACACCTGCGTGTGTAACCAGTCAGAGCCTGGCAGGGGGCAGGCTGCAGAGAGCGAGGGGCCCGCGGGAACCCGAGGAAGGGACTGGAGGCAGGCTGTCCCCGAGCTACACTAACTAGCTCCGGAGCAGGAACAGGCGAACTTTATCTGTCAAGGGCCAGGTGGCAACTTTCTCGGGTTCTGCACATTGTATGGTTTTTGTCTCGATGATGCAGCTCGTCCGTGGCAGGGAGAGAAACGTGCTGTGTTCCAATAAAACTTTATTTGTCCCAGGGGCTGGGGCTGTAGTGTGTGTGGATCTGAGCTCTGCGTAAACCTACATTCTGTTTCCGAACTTCGGCAGTGTTGACCGACCCACAGTGAGTTGTCAGTCACACCCTTCAGCCCCGCCCCCTTACTCCAAGTGGTTGGAAAGATCCGGAATAGAACCCACAAAAGCGGCATGGGAAGCCCTGGCTTGTTTCCAGTATCAACAGTATGATAATATCTATTTGTTCCTGAGCTTCCGACATGTGCTGGGCCGACTAGCCCTGGGCTGGGTTGGAGTCAGGTGCTATTCACCCCGTGCTGCGGTGGACATCGCCAGGGGGGCGGTTACGAGTGTCAGGGAACTGCCCGTTGCAGGCAGGAGGGCCTGGCTTCAGGTCCCGGCTCCAACACCTCCTACACATGGGATCTGGGGACATTGCTTCTTCCGAGGCCCAATCTGAAAAGTAGGGCTGACGAAGCCTGTCTCGCAGGGGTTGTCGCCGGGATGGCTGAGTGAGCCAGGCCGAGCACGCCCTCACAGCGCCGTCCCAGCAGAGGCTCTGTGGTCCCTAGGCTGTGCCGAGGGCTATGCCCAGCTGTGTCTGACACCAAGTTCTCCGCCCTGTCCTCTGCATCACACGTCTCCTCCCCCACCAGGGGTCCGTGAAACCCACCCGCAACCCTGTTCCTGTTCTTGTCGACTTTTCCCTTCGGAGCACGTCTGGGGCCCAGCTGCGCGGCCGCAAGTGGAGCGCTGGCCTGGGGAGACGAGGCAGGGCTGCTGTGACTCTCGGGGGCGAGTCTGGGCGATCCCCTCGGTGCAGTGAGCATGTCCACCCCCGGGGCCCTGGCAGGCGTGGCAGCCTTTCTCCAGGGCCTGTGTTTGCGGCCCAGTGGGGTCAGTGATGCTCACCTTCTTGCCTCGAGGTCAGCTGTGGTTTTTCCTGGGAGCACCTGCCGGCGACCTTCCTGCCAGCTTGGTCCACTAAGGACAATTCTAGAGGAATTGTGTGACTTTTCCATTTTCTATTCTGGACAACATTAAATGTTACTCATTCACTATAGGTTCTTATAACAGAGCTAGTTCTCTAGGAAATTTTTCTGAAGTGATATTCCTTCCTTCCTCCCTCCCTCCCTCCCTCCCTCCCTCCCTTCCTTCCTTCCTTCCTTCCTTCCTTCCTTCCTTCCTTCCTTCCTCCATGCATACCTTCATCCTTCTAGCCATCCATCCATCTATCCATCCATCCATCCATCCACCCACCCATCTACCCATCCCTTCCTTCCTTCCTTCCTTCCTTCCTTCCTTCCTTCCTTCCAACAATCCATCCACCCATCCACCCACCCACCCATCTATCCTTCCTTCCTTCCTTCCTTCCTTCCTTCCTTCCTTCCTTCCTTCCTTCCTTCCTTCCTTCCTTCCAGGCTTTCACAATATAATTCTGCGTCGAGCCCCGTATTCCGTCCTCAGGGAGGCAGTCATAGCTGTCCTTTAAGGAACTGGCAGTGTCCGGGAGAGGAGAGGGAGGGGCCGCAGTGTCATGTGAGAAAGCTCTCCCACCCGGTCGGGCAGCCAGTGGAGGCTGGCGGGGAGCAGAGGCTGACTCGGGTCTTGAGCAGTGAGTCACAACTGCTGTTGACAAGAGCGGACGAGGAAGGGTGGCAGGTGTGCATTTGCACACACCCCTGTGCCCAGGACGCCGCAGCCTCCCAGGATGGGGAGGAGCCCGAGAGCAGGGTGGCACAGAGTGGCGTGGCACAGAGTGGCGTGTGGCTTGTGTATCTGGGGAATGAGGCGTGTGGGGAATGGGGCAGGACATGGGGTCAGAGCGACAGGCAGGGACCAGAGTGGGAGAGGCCAGGAGACATGCAGAGGTTCATACGACCAGGGAAGAACTAAGCGGCATGGCGTTGGCTGAGGCAGGCTGGGGGGCGAAGGACCTCTGCGTCCTCACAGGCACGTCTCTGCAGCTGACACCTGGCCGTCTCTGGTGCGGGCCTGTGGGCCAAAGCATTGGGAAACTCATCAACTCCACAGGCCGCTCGTCTCATTCATGGAGGAGGGAGCTGAGGCCGAAGGGCTTTTGACGATTTTCACGGAGGGAGTTAACTGAAGGATGAGTGTCCAGCTGGTGCCGAGGACCCGCAGGTCTTCGAGGGGACCCAGCTGCCGAGAGAAGGCTGATGGTCACCCAGCCACCGTCTCATTCTGACTCCCACGGGGTTCCTTTGCTGGAGGAGACGGCCGCTGTCAGCCATGGAGAGAAACAGAGTGCCTTCCCCGGGCCCCTCCAGAGGCCACCACGCCGAGCCGGCAGCCCCCCACCGCGCCTGGGGTTGGGGGACAGGCGGCTCAGGCGGCTGGAAAGGTTTTGTTTTCCTTTAGCGTGACTGTGGGGACCACTTGAGAAAACAGTCACAGCCCTGGGGTGACGATACTAGAGATGATCAACAACCTGACTCATAGGAGGAATGAAACTCCACTCTCTGAGCGAGGCTATTAATTGCTCGGGCGGACCGGAAAACACGCCGCGCAGTTTCCAGGACGTGTCTGAGTTTCTGATTTACTCAGAAGTGCTGGTAGCGAGACCTAGCAGCGCTGGGAGGTGTCAGCCACACAGCTCCCCTCGAGCACCTCCCATGTGTCGGCCTGCTGCGCCGTCAGGGGCGCTGGGTGCCTTGACGGATGGAGCAAGGCATTGGGGTGGAGGGGCTGGGGCTCACGTCCAAAGTCATTTAGGTATTGGGGAGAGGAACCTGACCCAACCTGCCTGACCCACGCTGCACTGCACGTCCTCAACTACGGGGAATGTTCCCACAGTGACTTGCCGTCTGACGTCATCTTTCAAGTTGCTCCCTGTGTCTCCTGTGCTTCACCTCTGTAGTCAGCTTTGTCTGACTTTTCCTCTTCCCTTTCCTTGAGTAATCCAGACTCGTTGCTGCCTCGGGAGGTTTTCACTTGCCCAGAATCCTCCTCTCCTAGACCTTTGCCCGGGGTACTTGTCATCATTCAAGTCTCAAGCGTCCCCTCTCAGAGGGGCCTCATCCCTCGGGTCCCCCCTCCCTGGAAGTCTGGCGCCTCCCGGAGAGAGGAACTTCCTGCCGTCTTCACAGCTTGTCCCTGGCGCTCAGCCTGACGCGCAGGCCCCAGTGCACGCGGGCTCGGCGAGGGTCCTGTACGGACTCGGGGTCACTGCAGGCTGTGAGGCTGTCGCTGTGGAGCAGGGTCTGGTCTTTAACAACACCCCTCTGTTTGCTTTTCCTAGTTGAGTGTCCTGAAGGAAGCTACTTTCAGGAGGAGCAGTGTGCTCCCTGTCCCGTTGGATTCTACCAAGAGCGGGCGGGGAGCTTGGCCTGTGCCCCGTGTCCTGTGGGCAGGACGACCATCTCCGCTGGAGCCTTCAGTCAGACTCACTGTAAGTCCTTCCGGGCCCTGCAGTGGAGACGCAGCAGGGGGTCTCCACCTTGGCACGGTTGACATTTGGGGCAGACGACTCTTCATGTTGGGGGCTGTCCCGTGTATGGCAGGATGTGTATTTAGCAGTGCCACGGGCCCTCACTTGCTAGATGGTAGTGGTGTCCCCTCATCCCACCAAGTGGTGACCACCAAACATGTCTCCAGACATTGTCTAGTGCCTTGATGGGGAACAACATTTCCCACCGTTGACAAGCGCCGAGTACGAGCACCGTAATCCACGGGGCGCCACCTTGGAATGCCCGTGCCGGCCAGCACGTAGGCCAGGCTTTTGCCTGTGTGGTCTCGGGCATCCTCCCAGCCCCTTCCAGGTAAACAGCATGAGCCGGACGCTCCCTGATAGGAAGGCTGGGACTCAGAGAAGTACTTCAGCCAAAGCCACACTGGCCTTTGATCTGGTATTGATTCCGAAACTTCTGTTTTTCATGTCAACCTTATCAGATCGAGGAGGGGAGGATGTTTTCCACCTACAGGCATCACAGAGCGTAGCTCATGTGCCCTTTGCCCTGTGCCTGGGCGGGGGCCGTGTGCACGCATGGCCTTCCCGAAAGTCACGTGAATTTCTCTTGGCCTCCTTTCTCACCAACCACCTGGTGCTGCTGGGTCCCCCGCTGAGGGCTCGGCGCCTGGCTGTGTGTTTTTCACGTCAGCCTGAAGTTGTGTCCGCAAGAGGGAAGCTGTGATTGCTTATCATCTGAGTAGTGGGGGACTGAGGACAGTTCATTGGAAGGGATGGAGTCCCCTTCTCTGACTGAGGCAGTGTCTCTGGTCCGGAGAGCAGTTGAAATAGGTGACGGTTCCAAGAAGGGGCGAGAAATGTTCTAGGCCAGGGCTCTGCCATTCCTCCTGCAGAGGACACACTGCAGCCAGTGCAGAGGCCTTGGCCCCCGAGTGTCACCCTCACTGGTCTGGGGCGACTGGAAGGGCTGTCACACTGCCAGAGGGACACTCTCTCGCAAGGGGACCAGCGTCAGGTGCTGACCCTTGTTAATGGAGAGAGTGCTACCAAAATACCAGGGACAGGATGAGGCGGAGGCCAGCACAACCAGACCATTTCTGTCCCTGCTCTCTCCTTCTGGTGCTGTCACTCGGGCCAACTCGAGTTCCTTCTCTGAAGGTCACCTTCCTCAGCTACTCAATGAGGCCAGGGCACCTCGTTCATGGGGTGGTTATCAAACACGTCAGATAGTTCAGGCTGCTGCCTGCAGACGTCCGCAGGCCGGGCGGCTCGCACAGCGAGTGCTCACGGCTCGTGGCTGAGGCTGCACGTCCTCGGCGAAGGCCTCCGTCCTGGTCACGTCCCCAGGACCTGGGCGGGCGGACATGCAGGGCGAGAGGTCTTCCCTTGTCAGCAGGGACGCGTTCCGTCATGGGGGTCCCACCTCTGTAACCTCACTTAAACCCCATTACCTCCCCAAGGTCCCATCTCCAAAAGCCATCACTTCGGGGCCCATGGCTTCCACCTGTGAACTTGGGGAGACACAAACATCCGGTCCCTAGCGAGGTGGAACCCATCACGGTGTTTAAGATGAGCAGTGAGCGTTCATTCCCATCCCGCGGTGGGGACGAGCTTTGTTGGAACGTCCACGCAGCAGGGGGGGCTGTCCCCTCGCTGCCCTCTCCCGGACACCTCGAGTCACAGGTTTCAGGGACGGGCCCCCAGGGCCAGGGGTGGAGTCTGTGCTCAGGTCTGTTTATATCTAAGAACTTGCCCGGGACTCACTCAGCCGCCGCTCTGTCTTCGTCTCACCTGGTCTGTTCTTAGATGGGAACCTATTAACGGGAAGCACAGGGCGACACTCTGCCAAGCTTCCCGTGACGCCAGGGGAGTGTATGTCCTTGGATCCCTTTCCTGTTAACATGGCCTTTAGAACTGCAGTCAGTAAGGTCTGTGTGGTAGCTCTCACTTACAAACACTTTGTTTCCTGACCTTGCAGGTCCACTGGACACTTTCTGAGGTTCTGCTGGTAACTGAGCAGCCACTGGTGATTGATTGCTTGATACAATAATTCATGTACAGCATGCATGGCACAGAAAGCATGTTATTTAAAAAGTAGCCTCTGTATCACTTTATAGAACAGGTTGTTGTCAATCAAGGGTTAGTCTTCTAGCTGAATCCTAAGAAATGGAGAATTAGATGTTACCAAGTGTCTGGGCTGCTGCTGCTGAACGTCTTTCACCTGCCTCCCCGCGCTGGAGAACCGGTCAAGGCCTTCCCTTTGCACATTCACTGGGAAATCAAAACAAGTGAAGATCAATTCCCTGTCCTCAAGATGTTTAGAGTCTGAGAGGAAAAGAGAAAATATTTACGGGTTTAAATAGAATGTAGTGTAACCAGTAGTACGATGGATGCGCACCTGGAAGCTACACTGATAACTAGCACTGGTCTTGAGGGACAGGTGGGGATTGGACAGGGGACCAGGCGGAGGGCGGGCTCCTGGGCGGAGGAAGCAGCCTGAGCCCAGGAATGAAGGTATCCGTCTATGGACCCAGCTGGTGCGTACTGATCGGTGGTCCCTTGTGTCCCCGGACCCAATTCTGATGTGTGTGTCAGCGGGATTCCTCGATAAAAACAATCAGCGCTTCCCAGATGCCGGCAGGGTGTCTGAGAATTCAGTTCATTTCTGGCACTGTCTAAACCTGGAGATAGCACCCCATTCCACTGGATGGAGGCTCAGTCCCCCCAGACTGCCCTCCACTCTCTTCAGATGCCAGCAGCGAGCCCAGGCGGTACCCACTGGCCAGCAATCAGAGCTTCCCATGACCCCTCCTTGTTGGATTAGTTCATGAGAAAGGCTCACAGAGCTCAGAAAAACACTTTGCTTCCTGGATCACAGTTTAGTATGAAAGGTTACGACTCAGGAATAGCCAGATGGAAGAGACGCACAGGCAAGGGGTGCAAAGGGCACAGAGCCCCCATACCTTCTCTGATGCCACTCTCCCGAATGTCCGTGTGCACCAGCCGGGAGCTCTCTGAGCCTGTCCTCCTGGGTTTTGTGGAGGCTTCATGACATAAGTGTGAGCGATCACATCATTGACCACTGGCCTTGATCCGCCCCCAGCCCCTCTCCTCTCCCCGAGGTCAGGACTTGGAAGTTCCAACCTCTAGTCGCTGGGCTGGTTCTGGCGGCGATCAGCCCTCATTTGTGAGTGCTGTCCTCAACAAAAAGTACCATGCCGGCTCCCATCCCTTAGGACGTCCCAAAGGTTTTCGGAGCAGGGACGAAGATGGCCTCTTTATTTTTTGTTGTAAATCACAATAGCACAGGGGGAGCCTGCACTGTGTGTCTGACGCTGGACACCGCAGGGAGAAAACCAGGTCAGGACCCCGCCCTCCCGGAGCTCCTGCGGGGGGCAGGGGGCCCCCCGGCAGTGGTCCGTGGTCTGTCATTCCCACGCAGACAGAGTCCTACTCACGCTCTGTGCCGTGCGGAGCGTCGGGGTGATAGGAGAGTGGGTAACGGGGACGTCAGGGACTGGAGGCTTCCCCCGAGGGGAGGGCGGGATGAGGATTGATTGAAAGCTGGTGAGCTGTGAGGAGGAGATGCCCTGAGGACTAGGGAAGCGATGACCAGAAGGACCGGCAGAGCAGAGCCTTGTTTGAGCCCGTGCCGTCTGAGGGGCGGTGGGTATGCATGCGCCGGGCTGCGGAAGGTCAGGCCCGTGTGCGGAATTGAAGTGTGGGGCCAGGTCACAGGGGCCTCGGTGGGCCACCAGGGAGCCTGGACGTCACACCTGGGTCAGGGCGGAGTCACTAGAGAGTTCTGAGCGAGTGTGTGGCTTAGCCCTGTGACTTGGATGTCTGATCAATGACTACGAGCCTGGGAGCCTGGGCCAGGGGGTCCCAGAAGCACCGGTGGTTGACTGCTGTGTCCGTCTCTCGGTTCCAGGTGTCACCGACTGTCAGAGGAATGAGGTGGGCCTGCAGTGTGACCAGGATGGCCAGTACCGAGCCAGCCAGCGGGACAGGGACAGTGGGAAGGCCTTCTGTGTGGATGCCGAGGGGCAGAGGCTGCCGTGGTCGGAAACCGAGGCCCCGCTCACGGACTCCCAGTGTCTGAGTAGGTACAGCCCTTGGCCCGCATGGTGCTGGGGCGATGGTGGTGCCCTGAGGACTCTCTGGAAAGGGGGAGACGTGGGAGATGCGTTGGTCTCCCACCTGTTAGGGTGAGCACTTCAATCCATGTAGACGTTGAAGGAATAGTAGTAGGGTGAACAAATGCAGAGCATCTAGATCCAACAAGTGTTAGTATTTTGCTCTTTGGTTCTCTCTTTTATTTTTAATCATGGGACGGTATGTTTTAGACATCATGAAACCTCACCCCTGAATATCAGTAAATGTATGAGAAATGAATTTTATTTATTTGAATATGTTTTTATTGATTTTTTTAGAGAGCGTGAGAGAAACATGGATGTGAGAGAGAAACATCAATTGGCCGCCTCCTGCACGCCCCCCACTGGGGATCAAACCCACAGCCCGGGCACGTGCCTTGACCCGGAATCGAACAGGATCTCTGTCCATGGGATGACGCTCAATCCACCGAGCCACACCGGCCGGGCGAGAAAGGGATTTTAAACGTCAGTCTGCGGAGGCTTCTTTGTTTTGTGGGCAGCCTGCCTCCAAGAAGCTGGGCAGCATTTCTCCCTGGGGGGGGAGGTGCTGAGGGAAGACTTGAGGGCCGGGCCTGGTGCCACAGTTTCCTTGCTGGGCAGCCCAGAGTGAGGTGCTCACCTCCCTGACCCTCAGCCCCCACAGTGGCCTCCTGCCTGCTCCCCGAGAGCCTGGGAAGGTGGATCCACCCCACGGAGATGGCGCATTCACTGAGCGCTGCTCTCTGCCAGCACAAGGCTCCCTGGGAGCTGACAGATGTCCGCGTGCTGCGGGGGGCGGTGGGGGGGGGGCAGAACTCGCTCGACCCCAGCGGTGCCCTTGGCTGGCTGTGTGGTCTTGGGCCAGGCCCTGGCCTCCAACAGTGTCCTCATCTGTAAAACGGAACGTCAGGGCTGCCGTATGGGGGAGCTGAGTGCGTTGCAGTGATGTGGCTGACGGAGGTAAACATCTTGGTTACCTGAGCAGACTCGGCACTGTGGCCGTGCTCCCTCACCTGCTAACCAGGGACATCTGCAAAGTCCTTTCAGCCGCCTGGCTTCCTAGCCCTGCGCCACCTTCCCGGGGCGCCGCCTTCCACTGCTCGAAGGCCCGGGGCTGACCTGGGCACACCTGGGCTGCCAGGGCCTCTTCGATCTGTGTGAGGAGAGCGAGGGCACCGTGGGCTTGCTGTGTGCCAGCTGCCTGCCAGGCATCTTATCCAGGCTGCCGTGGAAACGCCCCGGTGCCAGGGTAGATATTAGTCCCCGTCATTTGATCAAGGGAGGGGCAGAGTGTCCCAGGGACTTGTCTCTGGCACACCGACCTGCGTGTGTCTGACTCTGCCTCCGCAGTAACCACACCCAAATACGCACACTCGCACACACGGAACATTAGACAGAGCCCTCCTTTGGGGCCAGGACCGTACCTCACTTTCTGTTCTGTTCCAGAGCAGGTGGTGCTTGTCAGAATGAATGGATCGCTCTGGTTCTGAGCTCCTTGGAAGCTGTGTCCTAACGGTCACCAGGGAAGGAGATTCTCCCATCACTTGAATTCCTGCAGCCAGTTTTAAAAACCCTGACACTTAGGCCGGTGCTCTTGCAGGGGCAAAGGCATCCGGCACTTACTGAGTTGTTACTGTGTATCAGGTATTCCATGCCGGGCTGCTTAATCCTTGCAACCAGGAAACTGAGACAGGGGACATCCTAACATCCTTTCAAGTTTTCCTGGCATTGTGATGATCTTGGCCTCCATCCATCCATCCATCCATCCATCCGTCCGTCCTGCCATCATCCATTCTGCCATCATCCATCCATCCTGCCAGCCACCCACCCATCCATCCATCCATCCATCCATCCATCCATCCTGATCCATCCCTCCATCCTGGTCCATCCATCCATCCATCCATCCATCCATGCATCCATGCATCCATCCATCCATCCATCCATCCATCCATCCTGCCATCCTGCCATCCATCCATCCATCCATCCATCCATCCATCCATCCATCCATCCACCCTGCCATCCATCCATCCATCCATCCATCCATCCATCCATTCATCCATCCATCCATCCATCCTACCATCCATCCATCCATGCATCCATCCATCCTGCCATCCATCCATCCATCCATCTATCCATCCATCCATCCATCCATCCATCCATCCATCCATCCTGCCATCCTGCCATCCATCCATCCATCCATCCATCCATCCATCCATCCTACCATCCATCCATCCATCCATCCATCCATCCATCCATCCATCCTGCCATCCATCCTGCCATCCATCCATCCATCCTACCATCCATCCATCCATCCTGCCATCCATCCATCCTGTCATCCATCCATCCATCCATCCTGCCATCCTGCCATCCATCCATCCATCCATCCATCCATCCATCCATCCATCCTACCATCCATCCATCCATCCATCCATCCATCCATCCATCCATCCATCCTACCATCCATCCATCCATCCATCCATCCATCCATCCATCATCCATCCTGCCATCCATCCTGCCATCCATCCATCCATCCTACCATCCATCCATCCATCCTGCCATCCATCCATCCTGTCATCCATCCATCCATCCATCCTGCCATCCGTCCATCCTGCCATCCATCCAATTAGCACTAACTAGTATCTCTGTCACTATCCTTGCTAGTGGAGTTTCACATATTCTTGGAACACTGTCCTTGTCATGGAAAAAAACAGGCACATACATGTTGAGAATCATGATCAAATGTGCTCTGATGTCGACATTTTATGCTCTGCCCGACATCTGTACATATCTGCTCAGTAGAAATCCGGTGCGGGGGGAATCACACAAGCAGGACATGCGGATCTGCCAGCTAACGCAAGATTCCACACGTCACTGGCGAGTCAGCTCGCGGACGGCTTCAGAAATGTTCGGCCGCGAGCTCCCTCCTGGAGTGATGCAATGCGAAGATGATTACCAGGTTCCCCTTTCCTGAGAACAGCAGCTTCCCTGACTGACGTACTAAATCCCCCACACTTTCGGTTACTGGGAAGACTTGAGGCGGAAACTGAAGAACCACTCACATTTCATTTAGGCTTCTAGAGTCTTGTGAGCTTCTGGTCAAGATCAATCGAGCTGTAGGGATACTGGGGTGCAGATAGCGTGGTGTTTGCGGGGCTGGGGCTTGTAGTTCCTATAAACACCGTAAGAAGGAGGATAAAAATTAAGGGGGGGAGAGAGAGAACCTGAGAGCAGAGGGCTGGGAACGAGCTGAGCGCATGAACCGGGCAACTTTAATGATCAGTGGGAAAGACCCACTTTGTAAAACTTGAATTCTTTTCTACATCAACTATCCCGAAGGCTTAAAGCATGTCGCTTCTACAACAGTCACACTCCCCTCTCCCAACCTGATCCCAGAAGGAATAAACGATTTTTTTTCTGCACTTAAGAAAAACCAAGACAAGGTTGCTTTGCACGGCCTTGAATTGATTGACATAATGAAAACCAGCCTCGACACGGTCTCTCTTACAAAGCGGTGGGCACGTACGAGGCGGCGGGCTTACGGGCGGGCTCGCGGTTACACCTGCGGACGCCAGCGCTCACGCGCGTCGGGTGTGTTTATCTCTTGGACACCCGTGGGCATTTCGGCTTGCAAAGTACACGGTCTCTCTTACAAAGCGGTGGGCTCGTACGAGGCGGCGGGCTTACGGGCGGGCTCGCGGTTACACCTGCGGACACCAGCGCTCACGCGCGTCGGGTGTGTTTACCTCTTGGACACCCGTGGGCATTTCGGCTTGCAAAGTGAGGCTCGTTCCTGGCCAGTTTCCACATTTAACTTGGGGAAGAGTGAGCTCCAGGTCTCTCAGCCTTGGGAAACTGCATTTCTTTTCCCTCCCTCATCCGGTTCCAAGAGCACATGACGGCGTTAGTCCCACCAGGTCGAGCTCAGACATGCGGCTGGCAGCTAGAAAGACAGATGTAACGTATCGTTTCAACAATACTTGCCTCCTTCCCGAAAGAAGTGGCGTTGTCTTATGGAAAGAAAATTGTCAGTGAAAGCATGATAAGGTATAATTAGTATTCAAAGGTCAGGACAGGGAAATATCAATGTAGATAGCCAATCAGCAACAGTGAGGAAAAATGAGCTGTAAGGACTAACATAATACTGAGTTTCCTAAGCTTTCTCCTTAGTCCCGCAGCGCGGTTGAAAGCGGAGACACACGTCGTAGCTCAGCGCCGGGACCACCTTAGCGAGAATTCTCTCCCCGGGACGCGTGTGACCGGGGCTGTCAACGGGAGCTCGCTTTCTGACTTCTCCCCTTCAGAGTCGGATTCATAGATTTCAAATGTCCTTTCAGTGATGCAGAAATTTGAGAAGGCTCCAGAATCTGAGGTGGTGTTTGACGCCAACGTGGCTGTGGGTGTCGGGTCCGAAGTCCCCGGCCCCGGATCCCCACTGATGCAGTGCTTGGCAGGTGAGGGGGGTGGAAATGCGCTCTGCTGGCCTCACAAGGCAGATCAGACAGAACTACTAAACTATAATGAAAAGACACACTTTACGCCAAACACTGTCATCAGTCGATCCCCCAAGGGTACATTTCACTCGTAACTTCCCTTCGGGGGTCAGAGTGCATCCACGATACGCCAAGGACAGTAGGACAGTAAGGGTGGAGAACAGAAATGAAGGACACTGTTTCCTTATAGAGTTACTTGTCCCGGCTGGATGGGGCCGGCGAGGGGGTAATAACAGCTACCGTTTATTTATGGAGTATCTGCATGGATTGTTTCATGATCCTGAAATCATGCATGAATAATCATTGTCCTGTGTTGCAGCGAGTGTGTGTGTGTGTGTGTGTGTGTGTGTGTGTGTGCGCGCGTTGGGTGCAGGTTGTGGGGTGTGTGCCTGTCTGTCCTCAGCATCACCCATGAGGGACAGCTGGGTGACAGTCCCATGCTGCTTGCAGACTGTGCCTTGGATCAGGCCTGCGGCTTCCTCACAATGTCCGTGATGGGATCAGAAGCCTCGTGTGACCTCCATGCTTGGACAAGTGAGAACATCACCTGCACAGCTTCCGGTCAGGTGAGTCCTGGCTGCCACGCGGCACCTGTGCCTCTCATCCGTCCGTCAGACACGCGGGTGGAACGGGATGAGATTACCGAGAGCCCGTCCCATGTCGCTCCGTTTCTGCCAAGCGATGAGACTTCGGGAAACTGAAACAGCAATAGGGCTGCGTGGGCACCTGATGCCTCGGACGTGAAGGGTGGTCCTGAGCAGCCTGGGGTCCTGCCACAGCCGGAAGACAATCGGCACGGAGCCCCTTCCATCCCCACCAGCCCACTCATCGGGCAGGCTGGGCACTGGATGCCGCTGGCCACTGTCCAGAGCCCTGAGTGCCCTCTGACCCGCTAAGTCCTTCCCACTGCAGAAGTAAAGTATGACTCAGGTTTAAATAGAAAAAAAGTTAAATGTAAGTTAGAGCCGTGTGGACCTGCCGTTTCTGTAGGTCAAAGCTGATAGAACGTTGGCAGTGCCGTTGTTACCACGAACTAGGGCAGAAGGCTGTGGTGGAAGCCTTCCTCCGGTCTCCTGGCAACCCTGACACACTTGGGGGGCTCCATCGTCGCTCTCCAGCTCCTCACGGACCGTCCAGGAAATTGCTGTGTGTTTACAAGCATCTTTTTCGTTTACAGGCTACGATTTTATAATATGCGTCTTTCTCCCCTGTGTCTTAATAATTAACCATGTTCTTTTTAGTGGCGTAGACCAGTCCACTCTATGGATGTACGTACTTTACCTTACATTGGTTGAGGACACTGGTCAGCAGCTTTGCGGCATCGTCCACAGGGGTCCATTGCATGCATGTCCTTTGTCCGTGTACCTGTGCTCACCTGTGAGTGTGGATTCACGAGCCACTCCTGGGGCGCATGGAGGGCGCACCCCTGAGGTTTAGTCCTTTCTGTGCTCCCCGTTCCCAGTGGAATTCACCTGTCCCTCCCCTGTAATTACCTGCTCTTGAATTACACGTGTCTGTGCAGCTCGTGCTCGGGGCTGGAATTCGCGGCTTACAAGTCTGTGCGCCAGTGGACTGGGAGGAAAGAACCCCAGAGCCCGGCCGGAGCTAGGGTTCCACACACGTGTGTGGCCTCAGCTATCACAGGGTGATCAGGCAGCTTATTCCCTTCTCTAGGATCAAGACGCAATGGGGAACTCGAAGGCCACCAGCTTTGAGAGTCTCAGGTGCCGAGTGAAAGCGAGGAGCGGGCAGCAGGACCCTGGGGCTGTGTACCTGAAAAAGGGTGAGCGGTTCAGGTGGAGGCGGGCTCGGGGGCCTGATGGGGCCAGCATCAGGGGCGTTCGGGGGAGCCAGACCCCCCACACCACTCCGTGCCCCGAGCCCAGCTTCCCTCCTCTGCTCCTGGGGCAGACTTGTCACCCCGCCCGCCTCAGTCAACTGCTAAGGACTCCCCATGTCGTTTTCATGTGTACCCTCACGTTGATCCCCAATTATATTTACTATCCATCTTAAAAGTGACAAGGCACAGAGATTACTTTCTGAAAAGGAAAACAAATACAATCAGTAGCCTGCCCCCCCTCCAAAATTTAAAACTATACCTGGACCTTGTATCACATTTTAAAAAATGCAATTGGCCCTGGCTGGTTTGGCTCAGTGGTTGGAGCATCGACCTGCGGTCCAGAGAGACCCGGGTTCGGTTCCCGCTAAGGGCACATACCTTGGTTGCAGTTTGTCCCCGGCCCTGGTTGGGTCATGTGGGTGGCGACCACTCAATGTGTCCCTTTTGCATCAATGTTTCTCTCTCTCTCTCTCCCTCCCACTCTATCTGAACAAAAAATGGAAAAATGTCCTCGGGCGAGGATAAAAAAAAAATGCAATTGTATTTCTCGAGTGCTTGCTTTTTCTCCCCTCCTCCTCTCCCAGAAGTTCATCCTTTGGAGGAAATTGCAAGGGAAATTGAGGAGTTTCCTTGCTGCCAAACTAACCAAGGGCAGAGCTGCTTTTTGTTTCTTTTCTTTCTTTTCGGTCTTGTTTGGCTTTTTAAAACATTTTTACTTTTTAAGCAGGAAATGCAGAGACCCAGCCATTCTGGACTCTGGTGTAGTGGGGAGAGAAGGGAGGGTGGAATACGTTGGATCTGGCTTCAGATGCCTGTTCTGATCAAGAATTATGTATTAATTCTGCTTTCTGTCAATGGGAGTAAAACGTCGCAGCTGAGGAGAAGGACACATTTTCGGAGAGGCCCCAGCACAGTCTGTGGCACTGAGCAGGTGGACGAGCACAGCCACGCACATGCCTGAGCCCTGCGACCTGGACGAGGCGGCGTGACTGGTTGTCCCCTCTGTCCGGGTCTGCTGGCTCACACACCTGTAGGGCACGTCCAGAGACTCGAGGCACAGAGGGGCTCACCTGGGACCATGCACTGCCCCTGGCACGGGCAGAGGGTTCCTGTCCTACAGCCAGTAAACTGTCATCAAAACTCTGCATTGTAATTTTTTTTTTTAGAGAGGAAGGGAGAGGGAGAGAGAGAAACATTGATGTGGGAGAGAAGCTTCGATTGATTGCCGCCTGCACGTACCCGGAGCGGGAATCAAACCGTGACCTTTCGGTGTGCAGGATGGTGCCCAGCCAACTGAGCCACACGGGTGAGGGCTCAAACGTTTCTATTTCTGACTTTTCCCCAGGGCAAGAATTCAGCACAAGAAGTCAGAAAAGCTTCGAAAGAACTGGTTTCCAGAACGCGCTCTCCGGGATGTACCGCGCCGCCGTGTTCTCGGCCTCCGGGGCCAGTCTGACAGAGGCTCACCTCTTCTGCCTTCTCGTGTGCGACCGTGACGCGTGCTGTGACGGTTTCATCCTCACGCAAGTCCGAGGAGGTAACGTAGATTGCAACGTGGTCTGCAAAGGTCGGGGGATGTCTGGGGTCACGGAAGCCGGGGTGTGCGACATGGAGACTCCGTGGGAAGTTGTGGGCAGAAGGTGACATCCACATCCATGAGGTCAGGGACAGACCGCCTCTTCCAGAAGTCACACGCTGTGCTGGCCACTCACGCTCTGATTCCCATGCTTTCCTGACTGCTGTGTCCAGGGAGGTGTTGTGAAGTCCGTTTTACAGACCGAGCAGCTGAGGCTCAGGACGGCAGGCCATTTGCTCACAGACACAGGGCTGGCCAAGCGACAGAGCTGAGGTCTGAGCCCGGGTGTGCCTTCGGCAGCCTCTCATGGCCGCCTCCGGGGCCTGGACTGGTCACTTCGGTCAAAGAAATGTTAGTGCGATCCCACCATCCGTGGTCTTCCACTCCGGGATTATCTGTCGTGTGCCTACTGTATGCCAGGTTCTGTGATCAACAGGACTGGAATTTTCTGCTGTCTCTCAACCCTGGGGAGGGACTTCTGTCCACGAAAAGAGGTCCACGTACTTGGCTATGTTGACTGGTGGTTGAGAAGGGACTTTGGGGTCAGACAGACCGGGGTTCTCGTCACCTCTCTGTCACTTCCTAACTGTGCTAACTGGACACGTGGCTTAAACTATCTAAGTTCAGTTCCCTGGGCCATGAAATATAGACCATAACTCCCATCTGACTATTGGTTTTAAGGACAATGGGCACAGCACGGACTTGACCTGTGTTGTGCTGTACGTTTAGTAGCAGAGGGACGTAACTAAACCATCTGTGGGACTGGTTGCATTGAGCCTACGGAGAATTCTGAAGATTAAAAAAAGGTGGAAGAAGCCTTATTATCTTTTTTGCCCTCGTGTTCAGTCAGTAGTAAACTTCAGTCGACCACCACGGATGCGCAGAGCAGGGTGCTAGGTGTTGGGAACAGATAAAGAGCCCAGCGCCTGGGTGGGAAGGCAGGGGTACCGTGAGAGGACCGTGCCCGTCACCCGTTCGTTTGAGCTGCCATCCAGCAACACGCTGAGCACTGCCGTGCACCGGGCTCCATAGGCCAGGCAGCATGAGCGTCCAGACCGTCGGAGCCTCTGGTCACAGGACAGGGAGACCAAGGGACCTGGTAGTCAGGGAAGGCTTCCTGGAAGAGGCGGCAGCTGGGGAACTTCTGCGGGGTAGGTAGTGTTTAGATGACGAGAGAAGAGCGTCTGCCCGGGGTGGGCCTTCGTGAGCTGAGCTGGAGCCAGGGAGTCTCCGTGGGCTCTGAAGAACGTGAACCGTGACTCTGGGCTTCTCGGGAAGCAGACATTTGTACCGCACCTGCTTTCTATCCCCTGTGACGACTCCCAGAATCTCCACCGTCCCTCCTACTTCGTGGGCTAGAGCCCACTGCCCCCACCTGCTCGGGGCCCGGCCCCTCTGTCAGTCCTGTTGTCCGCCCTGTCTGTCCTCAGCCGCTGCCTTCACCGTCTCCCCTCTCTGCATGTCCAAGGTTCCTAGAGTCACCTCCTTAACAGGCACAGGAGCGTAACACCACAGGGCCCTTGAGCGCTGGTGTCCCCTCAGCCCCCGTCTGTTTGTCTCCTTCCCTGCCACAGCCAGACCTGCCGCCCGAAAGCACTCACTCCCGCAAGCTGCCGCCACCTGCTCACCAGGCACAGGGCCACCTTCCTGTCCCCCTTCGCCTGCTTGTCCCCACACGTGGACACTATGGGCCACTCCCCAGTTCTCTCACTCACCTCCCCCGACTTTTGAGACACCCTTGTCTTACTCAGGCCCCTGGGTCTCAGGCAGCTTCCTGAGCATGTGTGTTTGGGCCGAACTGTCCGTAGGCTCTGCCTTCTCCCCTCCTGGGCCTGCAGGGCTCCAGGTCCCCACACCCCTCTGCCGTCTGGAGAGATGGCCGGGACGTCCTGCGGCATCTCAGGTCGGCACGCCTCTACAGGAACAGGTGGACGGTACCCTCCGTGGGCTGCTTCTGTCATACACCTCATCCCCGGGAAGAGCACCCAGGCCGAGAGTCCGGGAACCGTGCGGCCTTGCCCTCCGCCCTCCCTCCGCCCACGGATTTCTCACCCCAGGTCTTCTCGCCGGTCCCTATTTTATTTGGGGTGAAGATTCATTTCATCTCCACCTCTGCTGTCTGTAATCCGGACTCTATTACTATTATTATTATTTTGCCGTCTGTGTCCATCTCTTAATTGTTCTCTCACCTCGACCCCAAGGCTGGTCCTCCAGCCTCAAAATCAGTGCAAACAACTCTGAGCCTGGCTGCAGCTTTCTCCTCCCGCAACAGGATGTTGTCTCTTCTCTTTGTATCCGAGCTCAGGTGTCTGGCAAGACGCAGTAGCCATGTATCCCCGGCCCCTCGGAGATGCCTGACACACGCTGAGTGTAGCTCGTAGCAGCTGGTAGTGGCGGAAATGAGAATGCTTTGCTGGAGGGGAGGGGAAGGGCCCGGATCGGAACACGCAATCTTAAAGTTCCTTGCGGGTTTAATGCTCTGGGATTCTATGGTGTGCATTCGCGTTAGTATTTAGCTAAGCGAAAGATAGAGCGATGATAGACACACACACGTGCACACGAACACACACATGTCTACAGCATGTTTTGTGTGCACATCTGTTGAGAGAGCCTGCCATTCAAATCCAGGAAGCCTTCTGCCTTCTTTGAACTAAATGTCTTTTCTGAGGACACCAGCTCCCCCAGAGGCTCAATTGCTCACCAGACGATAGGATTTCTCTAGCTGGAAAGGCTGACTTCATCTCCCTTAGCATCGCATGTGGAAGAAGGTTTTGTTCCAGGAGCAGTGAGCCCACAAGCCCCCTTTCCAGGCGTTTCTGGCTGGCGGCCTGCTAGCCTCCCCTCCCTGCGGCACCCGGGGTCTGGGCTCGGGGGGTGGAACGGCCCCCCCATCTGCTGCACGCTAAGCTCTCTGCGAGACGGACGTGAAACGCCAGGCAGATGTCTTTCCCAGTCTGTCCAGTGGGCAGACTTGGAGCGTTAACTATGAAGCGTTGGCTGGATCTGCTGACGACCAGGAAGAGAATCCTGCCCCATCCCCTCCCTGCGGTCTGGAAAGTCATTTAATGGCGGGTGGACCCCCTCCTCCCTGCTCCCCTCTCCTCCCTCCAGCCCAGCAACACGCCAGCCTCCTCCAACCCCCAACCCCCAACACCGGAGTGGCTGCGTTTCCACTCACAGTGGTGAACGGAAATTCATGATGCTTCCAGGCCTACATCTCTGTGAAGGCTACTTGGAAGTAGGGCTCAGAGGGCCTCCCCAGGCCCCAGGTGCATGTCATGGAAACTGGCAATATGATCAGCAAAGTGACTTCTGACCTGTAGCTGGCCCCTCCCAGACACATGGCGTTCTCACTGAGACCTCGTCACCTGGAGAAGAAAATTGCCCGGTTTCTCTTCTGAGGGCTGAGAGCAGAAGGAAAAAGACACCTGCCTCTGGGTTGGTGTCATGAGTCTGTCATTCGGCTGGTGAGAGGGGCAGCCACAGCGCTCAGACCCTCTTCCTGTACCCCTGCCGGGCCTGGCGGAGGTACCCCTGCCTGCTGGCCACCCTCTCCCTTTCCGTGGCTCCGATTCCTCACCTGTGAGGTGGTCGCACCAGGTCAGGGGCCCTGGAATCTGTCTGCTCCCTAGAATCATCTATGGTGCTGTTCACAAATATGCACACCCAAGTGTCCCCCATCAGGCAGGGACTCCGTGGTTCCGTGGTTGGTGCCGAGGAATTAGCATTTCCGAAACTCTCCCTGTGCTGCGTTTATTTTTTAATCCTCACCTGAGGATCTTTTTCTATTTATCATCAGATAAATAGCATAGAAGAGAGGGAGAGAGAGAGAAACATCGCCTGGTTGCCTCCTGCACGACCCGGCCAGGGCCGGGGTGAACCGCAACTGAGGTACGTGCCCTTGATTGGAATCGAACCCACGACTCACTGGTCCGTGGGCCGACGCTCCAACCTCGGAGCCAAACCAGCCAGGGCTCTCTCCCTGTGTTTTAGACGTCGGTCTAAGCCCCCTGGAGTGAGAACCACCCTATTAGAGGACCTCTGGCTAAGGCAGCTTCTGTCACACAGAGACACTGCTGCCGTGGCTGGGTTTCAAGGACACGGCAGGTGAACGGTGGTCAGCGGAAGGGAGGCAGACGATGTCGCCTCACCAGCCAGACGTGAGTTGTCTGCTCGGGGCAAGTTCTGCGAGAGAGAAGTCTGACGCTGTGTCTGGGTTTGGCCATAAATTAGGAGAGGAAGGGAATGGGACTTGTCAGGTGGTGTGTTTCCTTTTAAATTTATTTTAGGAGAATCTGAACAACAGAACCACCTAACAAGATTATTCATCCGAATAATATGTAACTTATTCAATTTCTAGGTCTGTGTAAATTTGGGCGATTAACTTATACGAGACTCATTTTTTTTTCCATCACTAAAATGGAACTAATAACGTCAAGAATGAAGGGGATCGATACATGTAAAGCACTTACATGCTAACTGGCATATTGTCAACATACAAAACACTTATGTTCCCTAGATTTATGCAACTAAAATCACGATCAAATTCAGTTAGATTGGGAGTAGGTCTTCCTGATACTAAATAAAGTCGTTTTAGGACAGATTTTTTTAAAAATTCAAAATTAGAAGACCTATTCAAGACAAAATAGTCCAGTGCTTCCACTTGTTATAGAGTTCTCTCTATACATCTCAGGCACGTGGGCATACAGCTTCTGCTTGGATGCCTCCAGGGACACGAAGCTCACCCCCTAACAAGAAATCCTCTGCTGTAGGGCACAGATCTCGGTTTGTAATAATTTCTGACTTTGAGGCTAAATGTTCCTTCCTGAGTCCCTTCCAGGTTGCTTTCCTTTGTGTGGTGTGTGTGTGTGTGTGTGTGTGGTGTGTGTGTGTGTGTGTGTGTGTGTGTGAGAGAGAGAGAGAGAGAGAGAGAGAGAGAGAGAGAGACTGCCCGTTCATTTCCCTGAAGCCTCAAAAAGATCACTCTGTTGGGTGCAAGTAGACAGTGGGGACAGACGTTTCTGGCAGTAGGACTAGGGGCACAGGAGACGTCGTCACCACCGCTGGCCCTTGAAGAAGGGCTCGGATGAGGAGGGAAGGGCTGGGAGGCATGGTGGTTCCCCTTCCTTGGGAATTTGCCATTAAGCCAGCACATGACTGTCAGGGGAGAAGAACCCCATTTAACACCAGGCTCCTGTGTTCCGGTGTCCCTGTCCACATCCGGGGAATTGTCCCCATCCCATTCTGCAAGCCCCTCTGGTCACAGGGATGAGTCTCTAAAGAGAGTCTGATTGTCCCCGTCACGCCAACCTCTCCTCCCTCTTGTGACCCTGCAGGTCCCATCATCTGTGGCTTGCTGAGCTCCCCCGATGTCCTGCTTTGCCATGTCGAAGACTGGAGGGACCCCTCCAAAGCCACGGTGAACGCTACCTGTCCTGGTGTGACGTATGACCAGCCGAGCCAGCAGGTGACCCTGCGGCTGGGAGGCCAGGAGTTCGAGAGTAAGTCTCTGCCTCCTGCCCACGCTCCTTGAGAGCTGGTTCTCCTCCCCAGCAAGGTTCATGCTGCTTTCTCTGGAGCCCCTCGGCACCCCGAGGAAGTTACTTCTGCAAGGACACTGGACCAGAACGGCCGCGTAAACCCCCACGCGGCGTCTCTGCGGCATCCCCACGGCAACCCGCCGGAGCTACTGTGTGCTCAGGGCCGCAGGTCGCGGGAGCGAGGCCGGGGAGGCTGGGCCGCTCTGTGCGCCTCGACCCGGTGCGCTCATGCATCTGGGCTTCCGTGGCAGGGGCTGGTCTGGATGTGGCTGGGGTGGCCTGGCCCTGCTCCTCGGGTCTCTCACCCTTCGCCTGCTGAGCACACCCCCCTGTAGACGGCAGGGGCTGGGGAGGACCAGAAGAACGAGCCAGGCCTCTGAAGGCTGAGCCTTGGATCTGATGGTCACTTCTGTCGGTCACTTCTGACAGTCACTGCGCCGGCCACCGCAGAGCATGTGGCCGACTGACAGTCTGTGTGTGGGAAGAATACATGTGCCCTGCAGTGTGTGATGAATGTGACCACAAAGGGGTGAAGACCTGCGGCTCGAAATGCCACCTGTGCCCCAGCCAGTGCCCCTCGGGCACATGTCCTCTCTGGGCTGATAGTTCACTGTCCAGTCTCATCCCGGGTGCAGGGAGTGTGGGCCCCACTGTGCGGCTCGGTCAACAGAAAGAACCAGTGAGCGTCCTCCGTCCCCTTCTTCCTGTTGGAAGCTCTTCCAGCCTCTTTGCCAGTCCTAGCCTGTGAGCTCAGGGTCACCTCTGAGGTCACCTGCCCAGCCCTCACCTTACGGGGAGACCGACAGCGCCTGGGGCCCCGGGGCGCAGTCAGAACTCCCGTCTCGGCCTCTCGGGAGCCCTGTGTTGCCGCTCATTTCTGTTCTGGGTTAAGGACTGGACGGTCTCTTGACTCTGGGATTCCCACCGTCGAGTGCAGGGCCTGGCCTGGAGAGTGCAGAGGATCCGAGCGTGCGCGTTTCCCGGAGCTGCCGTTCGGAGGAATTCCACGGCGCTCAGTTCCTGCGGGGGGTAAATAAAACCAAACGGCTCGTCTAGGTGACGAATCCTCAACATATGGTAACGATCACTCTGCGAGGGAGCCCAGGATGAAAAGCGTTTGAAGAGAGACGTCTGAGATATTCATGGGCAGTAAATCCAGCGAATTGCTTCACACGGAGCATGTACTTGGTCTGTGCCCAGAAACAGAGTGTGCCCTCGTCTGGCCCCCGAGGACTGATTACTGAAGGACTTTGGAAGTTCTGGGTTTTTTTCCGGTGTCTAGCGTGTATGTGCCCATGTTAGGGTGCGGCCAGCACTTTAAGAAGGATACCCCAAGCCCTGGCCAGTTTGGCTCAGCGGTTAGAGCGTCGGCCTGCGGTCCGGAGAGACCCGGGTTCGGTTCCCACTAAGGGCACGTACTTCGGTTGCAGTTTGTCCCCGGCCCTGGTTGGTCGTGCGGGTGGCAGCCACTCGATGTGTCCCTTTCACATCGATGTTTCTCTCTCTCTCTCCCTTCCTCTCTCTCCCTCCCACTCTATCTGTACAAAAAATGGAAAAATATCCTCGGGTGAGGATAAAAAAAAAAAAAAAAAAGAAGGATACCCCATGATGGGGATTTCAGGCAGCCCGAGGCGTGCTCCCGACGCTCCAAGTGCAGGTGGGAGCCACCAGCACGTTCTACGCCGCGATCTAAAGGGCTGTGTGGAGAAAGGGATAAAGGTCCAGAACGGCGGGGCGCGGGGAGCGGGGCTGGTTTGCAGAGAGGGGCTGGAGGTGTGAACAGCCAGGAGGAGGGATGGGCTCAGCCATCCATCTGTTTCTGTTTAACCTTTGACCTGCGCTGCAAGTCGGAATCCACGCAGGGCCTGCACCCCCCGGCTTCCAGGGGTGCCTCTGGACGTTTTCAGCTGTCAGGTGGTGGCCGGATTCATCTTCCAATTTCCAAGAAAAAAGGCTTAGAAAGCCCCAGACTGCACATGTCTCATTTCTGACCATGTCCTGAAGCGTCGGTGAACGAAAACAGGCCGATTAGACGTCTCCGAAGGCCCATGGGGACAGACGTTTGTCAGGGAAAGCAGGCCCTGCAGAAATGCTCCAGGTTTATTCCGAATTTCAAAGGCTTCCTGTTATTGAGCAACAGTGAGCTGCAGGCTGGTGCCGGGCGTTGCCCCTCTGGACTCTGTTTTGTATCAGTGATTCATTATCTCGGGGTGCTGGGCGCTTGGAGAAACTACAATGCATGGGTGAAGCTCACTGTCACCAGACGCCCCCGGAGCAGATGTCTGATGGGTACCTACAGAGGCAAAGATCCTATTAGTTCTTTACAACATCAGTGGTTGCGTGTAACTGCGCTTGGCACTAAGCGGAGCTCAGGACAAGGTTTCAGAAGTCCGGTTGCTTTAGGAAGGGTGAGAAATACAAGGGGAGACATGGGGGAAGCGATGCGGGGAGGAGACAGCAGCGAGAGGCGCCCTGGAACCGGGGGGTCCAGGTTCGAGTCCTGCCCCTCCAGCACGTGCTCTCGCAGAGTTAAGTGAAGACCCCGCCCCTGTCAGCCCCCAAGGACAGGCTCCAGGCTGAACCCCCAAAGCTCTATGTGTGTACACGCGCCTGCAGCCTTGACTGGGGGCGAGCGTGCCGAGGAGTCAGAGCACAGGCCTGTTTGTGCGACAGGGACATTCTACCCAGCCCCACGGGAGGGGTGCAGCGATGTCTGCAGTCAGCCCGGCTCTGTGGCGGGCACGGGAGAGGGTGTGTGGTGCCCTCAGGACTGGAGAGTAAGTCCCCAGGCTCCAGAGATCGATGTAGGTCTCCCACACGCCACAGTCTGTGTGTCCCCAGTTTCATAGCTGGCCATGGGGTGATTAGGGGTGGGTCCTTTAAGGAAACGTTTCACCCCCGTATCAGGCAGCCTGAGAAATTCCAGCGTCATCGCTCGTTTCCACTTCAGAAGCAAAACCGAAGGGAAGCTCAGCTCAGTGCCTTGGGCAGAGAGCACGCCATGGCTGTGGGGACCCATGGGTGTGGGGGGACCCATGGGTGTGGGGACCCATGGCTGTGGTGGGGACCCATGGGTGTGGGGACCCATGGCTGTGGTGGTGACCCATGGCTGTGGGGACCCATGGCTGTGGGGACCCATGGCTGTGGTGGGGACCCATGGGTGTGGGGACCCATGGGTGTGGTGGGGACCCATGGGTGTGGTGGGGACCCATGTCTATGGTGGGGACCCATGGGTGTGGTGACCCATGGGTGTAGTAGGGACCCATGGGTGTGGTGGGGACCCATGGGTGTGGTGGGGACCCATGGGTGTGGGGACCCATGGCTGTGGGGACCCATGGCTGTGGTGGGGACCCATGGCTGTGGGGACCCATGGGTTTGGTGGGGACCCATGGGTGTGATGGGGACCCATAGGTGTGGGGACCCATGGGTGTGGTGGGGACCCATGTCTATGGTGGGGACCCATGGCTGTGGTGGGTGGGGGCCCATGGCTGTGGTGGGTGGGGACCCATGTCTATGGTGGGGACCCATGGGTGTGGTGGGGACCCATGGGTGTGGTGGGGACCCATGGCTGTGGTGGGTGGGGACCCATGTCTATGGTGGGGACCCATGGGTGTGGTGGGGACCCATGGCTGTGGTGGGGGCCCATGGCTGTGGTGGGTGGGGACCCATGTCTATGGTGGGGACCCATGGGTGTGGTGGGGACCCATGGGTGTGGTGGGGACCCATTCCTCTGATAGCTGAGTTTTCCAAGTAGTTCAGTGTTTAACGTGACCTCTCTTAACTTCCTTAACTACCTGTTTAAACACGTGAACCTTTACAAATGTCTGCCACTTGAGATGGGCGGACTCTGAGATAGATTAGCTTCTCCCAAGCGTGGTGGTCAGAGCTGGGACGTGGGCCGAGGAGATGGGATTTGAATTCTGGCCCGTGGGTCTTCCCTGGAAGTTGACGCCGACCTGACCCGTGCGGCTGAAGTCAGACAGTGTCTGGAAGGTGCTCACTCTGGTGCTGGGTAAATGGCGATGGTTCCGAGTGATCATCGGCTGTGGTGACCCATGGCCCTTGAAAACAATTCCGGGTACAGCGAGCGCTGTTTTTGCCGTGAGTGGTGCCCAGCTGCCTCCTCCAGGGCGTGGGCTCGTTTGCCCGCAGACTCTGTGTCCTGCGCTCGTGTCTCCGCCTTTAAGGTCAGCGGGGTGGGCGGGGCCCAGCCGGTGTCAGGAGATGGCTGGCAAACCCAGGCTGCTCCAGGTGATGTCCGGGGGAGTGCAGTTCTGCAGAGACGGACGTTTAATAATATCAGAAATAAACTGAGCAGTGGCAGCTACCGATACCAGGGTGCATGTGAGACACTGCAGAAGACCGTTCTGTACAGTGTCCCTTTGCTCACAGTTAGCATCCCCGGTGGCCGACGAGGCAGGAGTCTCAGGGGACTTGAGTGACATAGAAAATTAAGACAGTTCTCCCGTCTCCTGGGAGCTCCCGTCCCCCACTCCTTAGGTGAGTCTCTTCCTCATAGGTCCATGACCCCTCACCACAGTGGTCCCTTTGGTGCCCTAAGCAAGGGGCCAGGCATGGCCAGCTCTGCTGTTGTGCCAGGGAGCTAGAAGAGAGCTCCAGGAGGCTTTGAGGGGTGCACTTGTGCGGCGGGAGAGGCAGTGGGGGGCGGTGAGGGCCAGCCCGCTCAAACTCACGAGGCTACACATCTTCCTTTGCAGGTCTCACACCCCTGGAAGGGACTCGGGACACCTCGAGCAGTTTCCAGCAGGTTTATCTCTGGAAAGGTAAGCTCCGGGGGGGGGGGGGGGTTGGGGGGAGCAGGACGCTGATCACAGGACCCTGTCCAGTCCTAACCTGCACTCACAGGGCGCCCGGCCCCCAGAGACGCAGCGGCAGAGAGCGCCCTCCCAAGTTCGTGCTCTATGTGGAGCAGAAGGGCCTCAGCTCCCAGCAGATAAGATATGAAAGTCTGAAAGCGAAGTGAAAAGTGTGGATACCTGAGAAAGGATGGGGGAAGGAAACACTGGCTCCCGGCGGTCGAGTCCCCTGACCACGGGCTGCCTGTCCCTGGGAGCTCCGAGGCCGCGCCAACGACCTTCCTCAAGCGGACGTGGCCACAGGGGCCTGTCTCCCCGAGGTCAGGGTGAAGGACAAGCCCCCAGGTGGTGGGGGCGTGGATTCCTGCTACTGCAATGCCCAGAGCAGGTGGGGGATGGGGAGGCTCACACATTTCCTTCCTGTGTGTTTGGCCTCCTTTGAGCCTCCTGAACATTGGCCAAGTGCCTGCTCAGAACCAGGGGCTGCGAAGGCATTTGGGACGAGTCTGAGGACTATGGATGCTAGAGACGGGCGAGGCACCCCAGTCTAGAGGGAGCAGGCCAGAAGTGGACCATGACACGTCATGGCCGAAGGTGCGGGTGAGGGGCGTGAGGAGGTCCCAGCCCGTGTCACTGCCTCCTCCCATGACCCCTCCTTCCCGCTCTCCAGTCCCCTAAGAGACAGAACGGGGACCTGTTTCTGTGCCTGAGAGGCAGTGTGAAGAGCACAGAGTGTGGACTTAGAGTGACTGGGCATGAATTCTGTTTCATTACTTACCCTCTGTGTGACCTTGAGCACATCAGTTAGCCCCCCAAGCCCAGATTTTGTTAGTAAAACAGCAACAAAAATAGTACTTACCTCTGGGAGTGGTGTGGGTGCTGGCACCTTGTAAACACGTGTGAAGTGCTTAGAACCGTGCTCAGCGCATGGTCAAGGGCGATCCATGCAGGAGGTGGTGGTGGTGATGAATGGGTGGACAGCAGAAGGAAGAAGGAGGAAGAGGAAGAAAGGGAGGAAGAGAGAGAAAAGAAAGTGCCTACCACCATTTTTTTGGTGAAACGATATGATGAGGTTATACACCCCTTCCCTCATTTAGTCCTACCTATAAGGTCAGTATGCAGAGGGGGTGACATTTTTGTTCCTTTTTCAGACAAGAAAAGTGAGACTTGGAGTGGCGAAGTGAAATGCCCACAAGGGGTCGTGGGCGTGGGACCCGGGCACTAGTCCCAAGTCCAGAGCTCTCAGTTATCGGAAAGTTCTGGTACATAAGGTGCTAGCTGGTGGAAAATGATGAAACTGCTTTTCCCCAGAACATTTCCCCACCAAACAGGAGCACCCCAGACTGTCTGATATCCCATTCTCCCCACCAGCTCACCCTGCTTCCAGGGAAGACTGTCCCCCGCTTGGACACTTTATTAAATTTTCTGGACTTCTGATTGATCTACTTATCACCTGCATGTCTGGGATAAGTTATTTTACCTCCAGGTCTCAGTTTTCTCCAGAGTGAAATGATAACCTTACTCCTTACCTTCTCAGGGCGTTGTGAGGACCATTTCTGAGCATGTTTCGTTGACTGAAGGGGTTTGCAAATGGTACTAATTTCAGCACCTGGACAACGGTGTGCTGTTCCCGAGGGTTGGCCGGCCGTGCAGAGGGCAAAGGGTGCACACCTGTGACCCTGCACGGGTCCCAGGTCGCGTCCTGGGCACCAGGCTCAGATGGTCTTTCATGTTGCCACGGCCACTTTGTTGACCTTCTCTTTCCTCCCCAACATTAGAGCAACAATTCTCTTTCTTCTCCTAGACTCTGACATGGGATCTCGGTCTGAGTCTATGGGATGTAGAAGTGTTATGGAACCACGGTCAGCATCTCCACCAGAAACAGGTACCAACCCTAAGCCCTTTTAGCAAACTCGGGTGTCTCGCTTGGAGACGAGACGGTGGTGCGAAGGGTCCAACATGGGTGGACCCATTGCCGTGGCTCTGGGCTGCAGCCCCGAGCCCCTGAGAGCTTCTAACCCACTTCATAAACACGGACAGCTCAGGAGGGGCAGCTGGCACCGGAAGTAAGGCGAAGTCATTGAAAAATCACCACTGCTCCGGGAGAAAACAGCCACAGCGAAACCAGCCCGATTTATTAAAGGAGAGGTTCATCTGTCCGTGGTCAGTGGAAGAGTGGAAGCAAAATGTAAACACGGTGGAGTTGCTCACGAGAGATGTCTGCGGGAGCCTTCGAGAGCGTCCTCGTGTGCATGGAGATACAAATACCTACGTCAATCAATAGGGCAGCATGTCTGTGATGTCTGAGACTCCTCTGTCCCCAGCGTCTATAACTCTTATTCCTTAGGTAGAGCCGGAGGGAGGGAGAGATGGCAGACGAGGAGGGAGGGAGCAGGAGAAGGAGGAAGAAGAAGAGGAAGAAAGGAGAAGAGATGAGGGGAAAGGAGAGGGCAGAGGGGGGACGGATGAGCTGGAACTTCCAGGTTTGGGGCTGAGCGGAGTGGACAGCGTCTTCACGGAGGAAGGCTGCTGTTCGGGGCGGAGCTGGACCTCCCGTGTGGCTTCAGAAGGCAGACCCGAGCAGGCAGCAGTGCCTCGAAGTTACAGTCCGCGGGGCCGCCTCCCGATGGCGGGCGGCTGCTGTGCTCAGCGCAGAGGGGCGGCTGGGCTGCAGGGGCAGCGGCCAGAAATAACACGGGAAACATCCTGGGGTGGGGGGGTGAACCAGATGGCTTCCCAGGTTTCTTCCAAACAAAGATTCGAAGATATTTGTAACTGCATAATTTTTAGGACTTTCTGGGACCTTCTGAAGCTGTCTTGCTTGACCAGACTCTGTTGACTTCAGATCTGCTTTGGCCTCACACACCCTGAAAGTGTGTGTGTGTGTGTGTGTGTGAGACAGACAGACAGACAGACAGACATGGAACGATGGACTGATAGACTGGTTGTGGACATAAAGGCGCACGACGCTGACTCCTCCCTTCCGCTTCGGATTCCACAGCCGAGCTGTTCTCCCCTGTGGACCTGGGCCAGGTCGTGGTCAGTGGGAACCGATCCCTGCCCAGCCAGCAGCACTGGCTTTTCAAGCACCTGTTCTCGCCTCCGCAGGCGAGCCTGTGGTGCCTTTCTCGTAAGTGTCCTTAGACCCCGTCCTTCTTCCCGGCCCCTGGTCAGCGTCACAGGCCCAGGGTAACAACTCTGGAGAAGAATAAGATCAAACTCCCACTGCGCTTCAGTGTTAGCACCATGGGGGTACAAAGAAAGGACGTAACCCGTATCTTCAAGATGCTTGTAGTATAGTTCATTTCTACTCTGCTCCCAGAACCTATTGTCCATCCATCACTAAGTAATTCATCCACCCACCCACCCACCCATCCACCCATACTATCCACCTATCCACCTAATCTTTCCTCCCTCCCTCCCTCCCTCCCTCCCTCCCTCCCTCCCTCCCTCCCTCCCTCCCTCCCTTCCTTCCTTCCTTCCTTCCTTCCTTCCTTCCTTCCTTCTTTCCTTCCTTCCTTCCATTCTCCCACCCACCCATCCATCCACCCATACTATCCACCTATCCACCTAATCTTTCCTCCCTCCCTCCCTCCCTCCCTCCCTCCCTCCCTCCCTCCCTCCCTCCCTCCTTTCCTTCCTTCCTTCCTTCCTTCCTTCCTTCCTTCCTTCCTTCCTTCCTTCCTTCCATTCTCCCACCCACCCACCCATCCATCCTTCATCTATCCTTTACCCAACAGGCATAACCTATGTTCTAGACCTTGTGTCTGACCTTGGGATGAGGGAAAAACCCAAACACCCCTGTCCAAGAGCTCACCTATACCAGCAGCGAAGTCTAGCCAGGGAGCAGGAGCAGGGAGATCATTCTTGAAGTTCCCACATTCTACTGCCCTGTGGCCTGGGCTGAAGCTCCTGACTGTCTGAGATGGTCCTGGGTGGACGCAATGGACTCTCTCCTCCTTCTGGATGACTCACCCCTCCCCCTACCACACTCTGCCTTTGTTCAGAGCCACACGGACCCCTGCTGTGTGCATGGCCCTCTCCCTAGCTATCAGAACCCCAGCGTTTCTCCTGGGCCGTCCAGGCTGGATAGCCTCCACTGTCCTGGGCCTCTGGCTGCCTAGGAAGAATTCCGAGGCATGTCCTGCAGCGGTCACCGGCCCTGCAGCCTCCCCTGCAGTGGGGGCGCTAACCTCTGCTCCCGCTGTAGGCTGTGCCCAGGAGCCCTCCTTCTGTCAGCTGGCGGAGCTACGAGACAGCGCCCCCTTGTACTTCACCTGCACCCTCTACCCAGAGGCCCAGGTGTGTGATGATGTCCTAGAGTCAAGTGCCACGGGCTGCAGACTGACCCTGCCCCACCGACCCAGTGCCCTGTTCCGGAAGAAAGGTGAGCGCTTGGTGCGATTGGCACAGATGACATTCCATTGGGCGGGGCTATGCAGATCAGTTCTTCCTTTTATGAAAAGTAGTTATCTGTGTGCATTCCAGTGGGCGGGACTATGCAGATCAGTTCTTCCTTTTATGAAAAGTAGTTATCTGTGTGCATTCCAGTGGGCGGGACTATGCAGATCAGTTCTTCCTTTTATGAAAAGTAGTTATCTGTGTGCATTCCAGTGGGCGGGACTATGCAGATCAGTTCTTCCTTTTATGAAAAGTAGTTATCTGTGCGCATTCCAGTGGGCGGGACTATGCAGATCAGTTCTTCCTTTTATGAAAGTCGTTATCCGTGCTCCTGGTAGTGGTGAAGGCACTCAGAAATGCATCCAATTACAGAGAGAATAGTTCTGCCCTCAGAGAAAGCTACTGCGAATGCTTGGAGCCGTTGGAATCCCTGGGCTGGATGCTCCAGAAAACCCCACCAGGGGCTCTAGCCAGACAGAAGTTGATTTTTCTTTCTAGGGCATTAATGACACCATATATATATATATATGCATATGTGTGTGTGTGTATGTATTTGAATTTTTTCCACTCGGCACAGTCTCCATTTCTTCCGGGATGTTCTCTTTCATTGACTGTCCCATTGCCTTTGCTGGAGGCCTTTCTCAGCTATCTGGTGACCCCTGGTTTTCTACTCAAATGTGAGAGAAGGGCCCAGAAGGTGACTGGGAAGCTCCAAGGAGGAGCGTGTTAATTTTCAGGTCCCCGGGAAGATAACCTGGTTGGGCCACCAGTTGGGGAATCCATCACGTCATTATTTGTAGGTCCTACCCACAGAGGAATCTTCTGGTATCTGGCCTGGGGGCATAAAGCGGGGTGCTATTGGTTTGGATTCCTAATAAGGGTGGGGGAAAGAGTCTCAATGCTGACCACATACATTGCCTCTCGTTTTAGTGGGGCGGTCCCCCCATTAACTGTCCCTGGGGCACCCTGTTCTGTCCTCTGAGAAATGAAGGCCCTCGTCTCCTTCTTTGTTGGGGTGAGGGCAGAAAGCAGAGGGGCCCCTGGAGACCCAGTGCTTCCGAGGGGTTCGTGCCCACCTGTGTTGGCACACTGTGCCCCCGCTGCCGACCTTAAACCCGGGGGATTGCAGAGTGGACGGAGTTGCTTCTTGGTTCTTCCCACAGAAAAGACTTAACTGTTTAGGTCTGTGAACTCAATTTTGTCCTCTTCTGTGCGTCTGGCTTCCGGAATTGTGTTGCTGTCCCCTAGTGCGATTCGCTTTGTCTGTGTGTGTGTCTTTACAGGGGTCCCGCCACGGCTCACGGTGAGATTGGGAGTTTAGCACACCTTCTTCATCGGAAGGCCTCGGTCTGCCTTGTACGCCTTCATCCCTGTATTTTTATGGATACCACAAATCTCTCCCTAAATAATGCTGTTTCTTTCTTCCCCGGTGTAGTTGTGCTGCAAGATAAGGTGAAGAACTTTTACACCCGCCTGCCCTTCCGGAAGCTGGCAGGGATTTCCACCAGAAGCAAAGTGCCCATGTCGGGGAGGTCCATCTCCAGTGGGTAAGCTGCTGCATCTGCCCCCACCTCACTGCCAATATTTATCCGAAAGGCCCCTCTACCTGCATGATAAGGAAGGTGGCACAGGGCCAGTTAAAGGCACACTCATGATAAAAACTGCCAAACTCAAAGCCAAGGTTGAAAAAGGTAATAAAGTAACCGTGTCTAGGAATCGTGGCGAAGGTAGGTGACTCATATCAAACACACAATGGAGCCCTGGACCTCCGGTCAGTTGATGCGATAGGAAACGCAAGAGGACACGAGCCCTGTCTTATCAATTAATAATACATATCAGACGTGGTAATAAGCTTGATTGGCAAAGTCTCTTCTGCAGAGCAAATAGAACTTTCAACAGGACCATAGGCTTGTATGGACTTTTAACTTATTTTGTTCAGTAGTTTAGAAATGGATTTTGTTATTTTTTTGTTAGTTAGCTGCTACATAGTTGTTTGCATTGAAGGTGATGCTTCTCTCCACCTGGTCTGGGGATCTCACCTGTCAGAATCAGCTGGAAGACTTTTTGCAAACCACATTCCCGAGCTCTTCCCTGGACCTACTGAGTCAGCATTTTGGGGCGGGGGGGGGGGGGGGGGGGGCTCAAAAATCTGAATTTTAAGTAAGCTTCCCCTCCTGGTGATTGTTTTGTCCTGTAGAATTCGGGTCACTGCTCTGCGCACTGTTGATCTAGGAAGCGTTGTTGGTTGTGAAACTGTCACGTTGCTGGTGTCTGACGTCTACTTTTGAAAGTGGAGAGAGAAAGATGATGATCTGGCTGAGCACTGGCCATGCTGACGGGAGGGGGCAAGAGGAGGGGGGTTGCAGCCAGGGCTCAGCCTGACCCTGGTGTGGGGAAGGGCTGAGGGACCCAGAGGAGGGTGGCTTGATGGGAAAGCACATTATCCAGGCCGGAGCTTAGCGTGAGCTTCCAACAGAGGACAGCAAAGCGGTGGGCAGGAGGGCGGGCAGGGCTCCGGGAGGGGGAACCATCAGGACGGAGATACCGCCAGCATCGGGGAGAATGAGGCAGGGGCCCCACACTGAAAAGGAACTCAGGTGGAGCGAGCTCAGGAATCAGGAATGAGTGGGCTGAACCGGGACATATGGTCGTGGCAGAGAGGACACAGCACTGAGCCCAGGGCATTGGTTTGGAGACACCAAGTTCCTCCTGGCAGGACTGGTCCTCGGCGGTGAGGGTGGGGTCCCGGAGCCACACTGGGTAATGAAGCAGAGCAGGTCCTCAGTGGGAGACTGGAGGGTCTGACCAGCGAACTCCAGGGCTCTGGGTGTGATTAGCCTGTGTGATGGAGTGGGGGCTGGGGCACAGCTCTTTGCCACCTAAACAGGCACCTGTTTGGGTCACTCCAACTGCAAGCCCATGGGACCCCTATTTCTGGAGATGCCTTCCCTACCATTTTCACCTTGTCCTAGAACCCAAGCTGGAACTCTCCCTACCTGAAAGGTTGTAGGTGTACACTCAGGATGCTGGGTTAGCCTGGCTTGGAGCCTGGCGCATAGTACGCACAGAATTCACGCTCAACGAATGAATGAGGGAATGAATGAAGATGCAGGGCGATATTCCCAAGAGAAGAGGAGATTGTTTTCAGAGAAAACCCTCAACGCTAGGAATCCACTCATGCACATTGGCCAGAACACCCCCCCCCCCATTTATGTCGTCATGACGAAAGCGGGCCCCCAGAGTAAGAATGACTGCAGTCAGCATCCACACCTCTGGTCGATCCCGGCCACCCATGAGACCTGGGGCCTGCTTTTTCTCGTCTTATGCCAGGTTCTTTGAGTGTGAGCGACTGTGCGATGCGGACCCGTGCTGCACCGGCTTCGGCTTTCTGAACGTTTCCCAGTCCAAAGGTAATCGTGATGACAGCCCTCACTGCAGACAGCACTGCAGTCCAGAAAATGTGTTCGCATCCACGATCTATTCTAATCCTCAGCATCTCCTCGTGGTGGGTGGGAGGGGTGACCCTTGTTCTCAGATGGGAAGTGGGGCTGGGAGAGGGGAGGAGGCCCCTGGTCTAGTGCCTGGTCAGCCTTACACAGCACGTGTACTGGATCAGACAGCTTTCCTCACATCTCGTAGCTGTCTGCTCATCTTTCAAGACTCAGGTCAGGCAGCTTTCTGGAGTGAACTTTGGATCCATCCATATGATCTGTATTCAAAACCTGATTCAGTCACTTACTAGTGGTGTGATCCTGGAAAAGTTACTTAATCTCTGAGCCTCTGTTTCCTCGTCTACAAATAGGGATACAAATGTTACCTCCTCATAGGGTTGTGTGAGGACCAAGAGATATGATGCAGACAGCCCGAGCACAGCCCTGCTTCATAAGTGTTAGCTGCCGTCATTCCTGTGCTCTTGGAGCAGAGACATTAAGGTATCAGGTTGTTCATCAGTGGCTAAGATCATACTTAGAATATAGTTATGAACCCCAAATATCTACTAAAAAATGAGTTTGCAGGATTTCCCTCTTTGAATTAGAATCTTCTGTCCTGATCATCGTCCTGGTCTTGGTTATTCATTTTTAACTGTATTTTTTTCTTTTTATTGAATTTTTTGGGGTGACATTGGTTAATAAAATTATATGGGTCTCAAGAAGTTAAAAGGTATCTTGAAACAAGTAAAAATGAGAACACAACAACCCAAATCTCTGGGATACAGCAAACGCAGTCCTAAGAGGGAAATTCATAGCATTACTGTTCCTGGTTATTTTTTGCTGCAGGCGGAGAAGTAACATGCCTAACTCTGAACAGCTTGGGACTTCAGACCTGTAGTGAGGAAACTGGAGGAACCTGGCGCATTTTGGATTGTAGATCTCCCGATACTGAGGTCCGCACCTATCCCTTCGGATGGTACCAGAAGCCTGGTAAGTAACTTGCCCCAAACTGTTACATGGGCATCTTTAGTTGACTGGTTTCCAACCACGTATTAGGATGATGTCCTGGGTCCTGGAAGTAGATTATTCAGGATTCACTGGGTGCAAGCAACAGAAACTGATTCTATTTAATTTAAGCAGAAAAGGAATTTGTTGCAAGTCTGCTCATAGACTCAAAGGAAGGAAGACCAACTAAGTCTCAGCAACATGGACATATTGAGCAGGAATGAATGGCCAGCTTCCTTGTATGTCATTCTTCTCTTCCAAAGGGTTTTGGTGGTTGTATTCAAGCTTTAAATTCAAGGGAGATAGTTTGGCCCAGCTTGGGCTGTGAGCCCACCTGTGGGGGTGGGGGTGGGGCATCTTGAGTGACAGTCCAGTGAGACCGGATGCTTCGCAGTGAGGAGTTTCCCGACAGTGGGTGAAGGTGCTGTTACCGGACAGGGGAGTGGACAGACACGAACTCCGCTGGGTTCCCTTGGTTTTCTCGTCCAGTCAGTTAGGACCATGTAACACTTCTCTCCTCCTCTACCTCTTCCCGGCTCCTCATCCCCCCAAATGCTGGAACATGACATTTCCCAGCTTACTATTGCTCGGGTAACCATTGGGTGAAGCGCTGAAGAGATAGTTCATTTGTTCAGAAATACCCTGGGCCTCAGAGAGCTTCACATGGCAATGGTCACATAACCTCGTGCCCGAGCCATGTTCACAGAACAAAGGTAGAGGCGGAGCAGGTACAGTTCAGGAGGAGGAGAGCACAAGCCTGGGGCAGGAGCCCAGGAGGCCACGAGGCCTGCGGGGACGGGCCTCTGACTTTGTTGTCCGCAGTGCACAGACAGCCCCATGTGTCAGCCCCGAACCGAGGGCCCCGCTGAGCCACTGTGAATGCAAATGCAGCGTTTGCAGCGTCTTCCTGGCAGTGGGGCCCACAGAGGAAGTGTTCTTAACACCCAGGGTGGGCGCGCAGGGGCCCGCGGAGCTCTGAGGTCAAGCATTGCCCCAGAGACGCGGGTTTCCTGGAAGGGCCGGGCCCTGCAGCCTGGGCGCCCTCTGTGCTCTGAAGAACCCGGCTGCTCGTTCTCTCTGCAGCTGTGTGAGGCCTGCGACTGGGACGGGTCACTGGTTTGTTTTCATAGTCAAATGTGGCTCCTAGAAAAACAGTGGACGCTTCCAAGTTTCCCTCTTCTTCTGCTAAGCACTTGGACCCCGTAGCCATTCCAGATACGGGAACTTACCCTGGAAAGGAGGTGAGAAGCTCTTGTAATCAGGTCTGTCTGCAGAGAAGAGGCCACATGAGCTAGTTTTGTACCATCCGCTTCTCACCATCGTTCACATCCTCGCAAAGCATGTACTAAGCACAGAGTTGCTCCAGGCTCTAGGCTGGCATTCCGCAGAAAACATCTCATTTAGTCCTCAGACAACCCCAGGAGGGTCGCCCCTGGTGCTACCCACTCCCCACGCCCTGCCCATCCAGTGCTGCGCTGGCAGATGTTTTACAGCTGGTGAAGATGGAGGGAAGCCCTGGTTTCTAGTGGCTGCCCTTTGCCATGGTGTAAATGCTCTCGCCACGGCCAGTTTCAAGCTACCCACTTGCTGTCTCGGAAGACGGAGCTGGAAGAAGCAAGACCAGCAGTGATTTGTTTAACAAATGCGAATGAGCCAAGTGAATTGCTCAAGGTTTCACTGTGAGGTCTCCAGGGCGGTGTCGGCCCCCCCAGGGAGGGAGGGTGTTGATGGGGCCCAGGGAAGCTGAGCAGCCTCACAGCACGGCTATTTCTGTACAGTGACAAAGGTCCCACCCAAAGGGCTGTGAGACTCTGATGGTGGGTGAGGAAGAGTGAGGAAAGGGAACACCAGCCGTGGAACGTGGCGGCCACGTCCCTGCTGAGATGCGCCGTGGGCAGCTCACACGTTCCCGTGGTGTTCGTTGTGCCGCTCACGGCGTTTCATCAGTGTTGCCTGCACGTTCCTTTGCAAACCACGCTTATTCTGAATTGCAAGATACATTTCCAAAAGCACAGTTACTGGGCCCGAGGCATGAGCATTTCCGCGCCCTTCGTAGAAGGTCAGACTGCTCTCCGAACACTGCGCTGATGCCAGGGTCCTGGCCCCGGGAGCCGCGGTCTTCCGGGAAGGTCCGACATGGACACAGACAAGCGGGTGCCAGGGCCACGCTGCCAGCGGGGTGGGTGTCTCAGAGCACGGCGGATGGCTGGCCGTAACTCCGAGTGTTGTCTGAAGAGCTCACGGAATATGGATGCCCCAAGCCTCCGTCAGTGGTCCTCAGAGTATGGCCCGGGAGCAGCAGAGTCAGCACGTCCCGGGAACGTGTTAGACAAGGCAAACCTCAGGCCCCACCGCAGTGCACACGCGGTGCGTGGGAGGGAGAGGCCACCCTTTGCTGTTGTAAGCCCCTGAGGTGTTGCGATGGTCACTTGGGCGTACCCGAGCCCATGCTGACTGACACAGGGACAGGGCCATGCTGGCGGCCACACGCTCTGTTTTCCAAGCCTCATTCTGCTGTCACCAAATCGCTCCTCTCTGATGCCCCAGGACCCAATGGCGTGGAGGGTGAGGGAGAGCTAACAGGTTGTCTTTTTCTTCTTTGCAGTTGCTCAAAATGGTGCTCCGAGCTTTTGCCCTCCGGTGGTCCTGCCCTCCCTCACAGAGAAGGGTGAGTTCCCGTCCTGTCAATGTCTCTGATGACGCAGCCGCCGCCCCTTTCTTTGTGCTCCTTCCTTTTGTCCAGGAGCTTACAGCCCGCGGACCCTCTCAACGCATCAGTCCCAGCTCCTGTCGATTGCACACATGCATAGACAGGCCAGATGCGAGCCCATTTTACAGACGGGCAAACTGACTCTCAGCACTTGCGCGGCTTGGTCAGACAACGCAGCTAACTGGGAGCAGAGTGGGACGCAAGCCCCGTTCTCCCAGTTCTCATTCCAAGGGTTGTTTCGCCCTGTCAAGGGATGGCTAGACCTGCACAGCCCTGGGCAACGTCAGACGTGGAGGTGCTTGTGGCCAACAAGTGCAAAACTCGTTCTTCATGAGTGCGAAGGAGCTCAAGCCCACGGCCGTCAGCACACTGGGTGGCACTGTGGCATCTACGCAGGGCACCAGCGTGAGCCTGGGAGCACGGCCCACACTGAGGCTGCCGTCCCGGGCTGGCCACGTGGCAGCAGGAAGCGAGGGAGGTGGCTGCTCTGGGGGGTGGGGTGGGAGCCAGGCGGCCAGCGTGGGCCTCACCGCACGTCCCTTCTCTGCCTTCCTGTGCTCAGGAAATGACAGGCTCTGAGCAGTGTTAATTCCTGCCCTGTGACATGATGTCTGAGGGGCTCTAGACGTCTGTCATTACGGTCCTGGCAGACGAGACAGAATCAGCTCGGTAGGAGGCGGTGGTTGACGGCCAAGGCTGCGGCTGGGAGTATAAATGCTCCCAGCCCACACTGTCCGTTCCCGCCTCTCCGTGAAAATTGCTAACTTGGGAGATCATAGCTGTATTTGCACACATTCCGTACAGGAGCCTGAGCCGGGGCACTGGAAGGCTTTCGGTCCAAGCACTCCACCTGCGCGACCTGGCGTCAGGCCCCTGATGCACTGGAGGTGGGCATCAGTCCTGCCAAGACAGGGTGGCAGGGTGGGGCGTAGGGAGAGGTGAACACACTCGAGGCCAAACCCGGTACGCGTCCGAGCCAGATGCTGGTCAGATGGATTCTGAGCTTTATAATATACAAACATCTGAAATAACCAAATAGTTCCCCACAGGTTTTTATTTTAGTCAACGTGTCCCCGTCTCACCTCTACCCCTGCCCTTTGCACACCCCGAGGCCACCACCGTCAATGTTTTTAGCTATTTTTTTCTGTTTCTAAATAATATGTTCCGTGATTTGTCCATTTTGGAAGTGACTACTGAGTTCATACCTTGATAGGCGAGGGCTTAGATTTCTCTTTTATCACCTTGTTCTCGATTTTCTCTTCATTCTCAAAACCCAGTGCTGTCAAGACTCGCGGTTGAGACACGTGTATTTCATTGTGATGGCCGCGTAAATACGGTTCACCTTGCAGCCCCACAGGGTAACAGCGATCTTCTGTTATCACCATCCACCGCCAGTGGGGTCTGAGGCCGGTCGTCCTATTTCCAGCCCCATGTTCCACACCTGCCTTCCAAGGGACCCCCTGCTTCCTGAGGTTCCCGGGGCCCGTGGAGGAAAGGGGCATGTCCGAACCTGCTCTGCGGACACCTGGAATATTAGTTACTCCGGCTGCTGTGCCCCTCGGCACCTCCCTTCCGTCTCAGCTTCTGTCTAAATCCGCTTATGTACACTGTCTTCTGGGCTCTCTTCGCGGGGTTAGACTTTCTATTCTTTACTCCATTTCATAGGGGTTTGTGGAGGGAGAGAAGAGAGATGTGCCACGTTTAATTAAAAGCAATACTATCCTATTTTTGGGAACCTTTCAACATTTAATGAAAACTTTATGTTGTCCTCAGCACCGTGCTAAACATTTGCTCCTCACACAAACGTCAAGAGACGGGTCCTGATTTAATAGTTACTGCTTTTCATAGAAAATTATGAGCACTGCAGAAGTATGGAAGGAGAGCCCACAGAGTTATTACGCAGTTCCTCATGTCTTAGTGCATGAGTTTGTTTTCAGTCTCCGTAGGCTCTTTCTGTATGCTCTGAAGGAGCTGTAGTCTCTCTACAGGGTTACTTTTTTCACCTAATATTTGCATGATGTGTATATTTCCATATTGTTATACAGGGTAGGGCAAAACTCGGTTTGCAGTTGTTCGTATGGAAAATAATACAGTAATTAATCAATTATAATACAAGAATAAACTGTTTCACGTACTCAGGACTCTAAACCTACTTCTGCCCACCCTGTGTTTCTCTCTGAGCCGGCCACGAGCACGCTCATCCATTCATTCCTGCGTGTCCTCCTCCCACGAGGCGCCCACCCTGGTGATGAGGAGACCGTACAGTGTGGTCAGTGCCAGTCATCCCGTTATCCCACCAGGTGGACACACTGCTGTTCACAAATGCATCCCTCTCTCCTTGGACATTTGTTTCCGAGTCTGCATCGTTAGGAAACTACTCCAGGGAACACCTTGGTACACGAAGCTTTTGTCCAGGTTACTTCCTGGGGGCACGTCCCCCAAAGTGAAATGACTGTATTTGCAAACTTTGTATTTTAAGAGTCTAGATTTATATTGCCAGTTTGGTCTCAAGCAGTTGTTCCTAGTGCCTGTGTTTTTTCTGCCACATCCTTGGAATCCTGAAGCAGCATCACCTGCAAATGTTATTTATTAAAATTGTGCGTGAAGAGTGCTTTACTCTCTCACCGTCGACGCACATGTTCAACACCCATCAACCAGAGTGTAAATATCTCGGAGCGACTGCCCGTCCCTACACCCTGGTTTCCTTTTTCTTTCTAAAGATTTGTAGTACTGAGATGTGAATTACCGGGAGAAGGAAAACAAACGATAGGGTATAGCCCACCTCCCTTCCCACGCACCACAAGCTGCGGATCTGAGTCGCTGTTTCGAAGGTGGAGTGTGCAGTCGCAGTATTTTTAAATGCGCCTTTGACAAGTGTGATTTGCAGGCGGGAGACATTCCATCTGTGCTCAGGGCTCATGACTTGGAATGTGGGGTCTGAGCATGTGCCTTTGATGTGAGTCAGAGGGAGAGCATAATTCTGCCTCCGGGATACGGATATGTCAGCGTGAGTCTGACATGGATTGTGCGTGCGTGTGTGCATGATGCATATGTATAATGCTCATCTTTTATGCAGTTTCTATTCAGGGAGCTAAGGAGATATTTATTAAATACCAAACATGTCATAAATCATGTAACACTCACGAGAAAGTTTGATGGTAGCAAGAGCTGTTTTTCAAATAAGGACCCTGAGACTCTGTTGGGTGAAGTGACCAAGCTGGGATCTGAACCCACATGTTTCTGGCCCCTCAGAGGTATAGAGCATTTGGTCTGAGCTTCTGGAAAGGGTGAGAGGTGGGATTCAAGTCCTTGTCTGGAGACCGAATCTCTTGTCCGTATTTCTTGTAGGAGCAGGTATCGGTTGCCCCTTCTAAGTCCAGGGTGAAAGGGGATTCTGATGCTCTGATTGGTCGATGGGGATGGCGTGAGGAGGAGGGGCCTTCTGCAATCTCCCAGGCCTGTCCTGGGTACAAACCGTGTGCTAAAAGCTTCTCTGAGCACTTCATTGGTCTTGCTCCAGAGGAGGCTCCTCACACATGGGCTGGGTTATTAAAAGGACGAGTTTCAAAAAATCGTTCAAAAGATGGTGATTTGTCTGTGCAAAGGCCCTGGGGCATGAGATCAGACTGGAGAGTTTGGCAGGGCAGACATAGGGCCATCAGCGGGAGGCGGCAGAAGACGAGCAGTAGAAGGCTCCGGTGGCCGAGCGTGAAGCCGGTGCCAGAGACTTCCTCCCGGGGTTGGAGCTGGGCCTTGGCAAGGTCTCCTGGGTGCGTGAGTGAGCAGGAGAGCCACACGGGCTCCGGGCGGCCGGGAATGGAAAGGCGTCAGGAGGAAGGGAGCGGCTTTCACTTCGGTGGGGTTCGGTTCCGTGAACGCGCACACGCCAGCCGCTTGGGGGCGCTGTCTTCCGAATGTCCGCCTCCACTGCAGAAGAGGCGCTGTGCTGGGGGTGGGGGCCTCCACCTCTGGTCAGGGGGAGGCCCAGGAAGTTCGGGAGAAGAGCCTCTCGCACCGCAGGGAACGACTTGCAGTGGGAGGCGGGGAAGGCTCCCCCAAATTTACCCCCGGCAGGCAGGGGTGGACCACAGGCACCTCAGGGCCACGCCAGGACATCAAGGACTAGCCTTTGTCGTGGCCAGGAGGGGCGGGGGCGTCCTGGGCAGGGGGTGGGCGTGAACGAGCCCAGGGCACGGATCGGCTCGCACTCGGAAGCACAGCAGTTCAGGACTGAAGGCGGAGGGCAGCGGGAGGCCGAGGGCGCCGAACGGCGGGTGCGCAGGGCGCCACGCGTCCTCCGAGGGCTCCCGCGGTAGCACCGTGAGCTTTGAAAGTGTGTGGAAGCTCTTCATTTGGGCGGTGAAGGGGCAAGCTAGGTTTGGAGACAATGAGGTCAACAGTGTCACCTGGGTACAGAGCATCATTTGACTCTTGTCAGGGGGAAAAAAAGTACATTTTTTTAAACAAACAAAACAGTAAAGGTGGTATTTCTTCTTAAGAGAAAAATGTCCCGTTGCTGTTTAAAAGCCGCCCAGCACCCACTCCAGAGGGTGCCCCGGGTTAGCGAGGGTTGTCTGCTCAGGCACCGGAGCCTGCCTGCGAGGTGAGCACGGTGTCCCCTCCCCTGCACCCCTAGACCTCGGGTCTCCGGAGGGCTGCTCCCAGGACAGCTCCCCCTTTGCTTCCTCGCACCATTTCAGGGGCACATTGCTGTCAGTCTACTGACGCAGGGGGCGCCTTGGATCAAGAGCCAGAGGGAGACACAGAAAGTGGTTGTTAGGAAAGGGTATTCTGAGCGCCCTGGTGGGGCGGGCCCAGCACAGGATGCTGCCAGCAGAGAGTGAGGCTGCAGCTGCGGGCGGGGTGCTGAGGGAGAGCCTTCCCGGCGCCACCCCAACCTCATCCTGGAGCTCAGTGACGGCGACGAAGCTTGAATTCGGGGTAGACTGAGCGGAGGC